TCAAGTCTGCCACTCTTTAAAGGAGAACACCGCAATCCAGAACGCAACCACGGACACACAAACGACAGAGCCCCATAAAGGGTGCTGGTGACGAGGAATGCGGGACAATGTGACCAGTTACAGGAGATCGATCAATGAATTAAACAGATCCAGAAATGACAGAGAACTAGCAGGTAACAATACGTAAAATGGCTACTATGAACCTGTTGAACGTGCTACAAATTTTAAAGGAGAACTTGAATAATGAGGAATGAACCTGTCCCAACTAGGAAGGTTGTGGAAAAAAAAGAGACAAACCTGAGTCACTGTCACACATCGGAGGTGAATGGGGAGGCGTGGGGACCTTGAGGCGTCCTGGATCCGGGCCTGGAAAAGCAAAGGAATGGAACTGGGAAAACTGGTCACAGGAGCCGTGCGTGCAGTTCACCTGACAGCTGCGTGCAGGCTGCGTTCACGCCTGTTCTGACCCCGCCCACGGCCACGCGAGAGGAGGCCGAGTCAGGGGATTTGGGGCCTGTATTTCTTCGCAACTTTTCGGAAAATTTAAAATTACCCTGGCATAAACTGTACTTAAAAGACTAGTAAATCGCTGTGACACTCTTAAGGTTGCACGTCTGAAAAGACTTCATTTTGCCGTGTACAAGGCACACCTAGGCCTTTGTGTGCATTATTACACAAGGGAGTGTTTTGCTTACGTATCATTACGCGCATCCTTATTTTCCCCTCAAAAATTTGGGCAAAAAAGTGCTCAATACACATGGCAAAATACAGTAACTCATCACAGCATTATATACGAGAAAATAATTGTAAACTACCCAGACAGCTCACGGGGTTTCTTCTTCTTGTCTTCCCTGCCTTCGTTTGCTTTTAAACGGGAATTTTAATCACAAAAGATCATCGCATAGTCTTACACAGGTATTCATTTCCACTGTGGAAAGTAATGCATCGATCCATTTCAGCCACTGTCCTCCCCCCTCAGGGCCCATGAGGGGAGGCGGCCCAGCAGACTCACCTCTCGGAGCTGCGAGGGGCGAGGCGGACACGCAGCCTGGACAGGCGCGCGAGGCAGCAGGAAGCAGCAGGCCCTGTGGGAGGGCGTGCTTAGGTGGGGTCTCCTGGGTGGATGCCTGGGCGGGTGGAGCTGCCACCGACAGGAAGTATCAGCGGAGCCACTTTAGGAAAGAAAATAAAGGTTGAGTCTTCCAGTGTAGCTTTGACGGTACCAGGCGCAGCCAGGGCAGAGAAAGAGCGGCTCTGGCCATACCTGGGTTTGCAGAGGGGAGCCGTCTGGGAAGCTGTTGCCGTGTAAGTTGACGCCATGGGGTGAGGCCAGCGGGCTCGGGAGCCCAGGATGGAGACCTGGGGAGAGCTACCGTGGCCGCTGCTGGGGGCTGGGGCGGGGGCAGGCGGGGGACAGCATGGGACGGCCTCAGGGCGAGCTGGCGTGCACTTGCGTTTGCGCAGCACAGAGGGGAAGCACGTTCTCCATGCCAGCGGCTGGAGAAGGCCGTCCGCAGCCCTGAGAACTCAGACCAGCCCGGGCGCCCGCCCTGGGGCAGAGCGGCGGGCAGGGGGCAGCTTCCCCAGGGCAGGTGGCGGGGACCCAGGGACCTCGGCCGCCGCTGGGAGAGCGCCAGGCCTGGCTGTCGCTGCTGATCAGAGGAGCCGCCCTGTCTTCCTCCCCACAGGACATGGGGTCCAGCTCAGGTGGTTACAGAAGTGGTAGGAACCCTCCTGGAGCCACGGCTGAGGAGGGTGCCGGCCACGGCGCGGCGGGTCCCCACCAAGTCCTCATGCCCGTTCGGGTCTGTGGAGGCATCTGCAAGCAGGAGCGACGCGGGGCTCCTCGCTGCTCCGGAATCGTCCCGCGAGGGGTCCCAGGCCGACGGGCCGTGCAGGCGGCTTTAAGAAACCCCGGTCCTCTGAAAACTGTCCTTACAAACGGAGGCTTCCCTTCTGTTACGTAGACAAAATATTGAAACAAACGTAGCGCTTCTTGCAGGTGTGGTCATGGGTGCAGAGAAACCGGCTGCAGGGGGCCCGCCAGCCAAGGGGCTTCCACGGCGGCACCTGGGGCCAGATGTCCTCGCATCGCAGGAGCCAGGGACGCCTGCTCAGCTGGGCTTTCCTGGAGGAGGTGACCTTCCGGAAGGTGTTTTTCAGGTCGAAATCACGTCACTTTTAAAATTAAACAGGTCAGGCCAGTGGGCGGGGCAAAGGCGAGGCGGGGGTCATTCCGAAGACCCCATCGCGCGCGTCTCTCCCCAAGACACCCGGCGGCTCCGGCTCCACAGTCCTGCTCCACCAGCCCCTCTCTGAACCAGCGGGGCCGCCCAGCCGTCTTCGCAGGGATGGGCCTCTGCTCAGCAGCACGGCTGCCTCGCGCCAGCCGGGGTCACGGCGCCCCTCTCGGCGCTTCCCGCGGCGCCCAGGTCTCCAGGATCCCTGCGGGCTCGCGCTCCGGTCCCATCTCACCTCCTGCCGCGGGCCCCGCCTCGCAGACCTCAGGCCTCTGGCGCAGGCTGGGGAGGCCTTGCCTCCGCCCCGCTGCCCGCTGTCTCTTCGTTCCTCTGGCTTCGCTTCGGTGCCACCTCAGGGAGGCCTCTCCTGCCTCCCAGCTCACCACATGAGATTTCTGTCCTAAAAACGGCCGCGTTCGGTCTGTGTCCTGCCGCACAGAAGCCCTGTGACTCAGGATCCAGAGCAGAGCCCACACGGACAGGATGGGAGGGCCGGGATGCGGACCAGGCTGGCCGCGTGGCGGGTAAAAACCGGGAGGGACAGCTCGGCTCCGGAGGCCGCCCGGGTGAGCGAGGGGCCCCAGCCCCACACCAGCACCAGAAGAAAAGTCCCCAGTGATACTCGGTCGTGGAGACCAGAGGGACTGTGTCCCAGGAAGATGCACGCGCCCAGCCTGCGGCTCCAGCGACCCGGCTAATGCCGTGCCCACCCCGCCGGCTCGAGACCCTGTCCCGCCCTGCTCACGGTTCAGCCAGAACCTCCTCCAGCACCTCCCCCACCCGAGCGGCCAGCGGCGGCCTTGGCGAGCCCCGGCCCTTTGGCTGAGTGGCCGCAGGCCTGGCACCGGCAGCGATCGGGTGCAGGTCACGTGGGCTTTATTCCCAGGGAGCAAGGCTGGTTCAGCATCTACAATTAATGCGACTCACAACATAAACAGAATGAAGCATAAAAATCACATCATCCTATCAATCGCTGCAGAAAAAGCATTGGGCAAAACCCAGCGTTTACAATGAAAACTCTGCACAGTGGGGACGGGGGAACGTAGCGCCACACAATGAAGGCCACGCGTGACAAACCCACAGCGAGTACACCCAGCCGTGCAAAGCTGAAAGCAGGCCTTCTCTTTACAATCAGGAACAAGATAAGGGCGTCCACTTGCACCATTTTATTCAACATAGTACTGGGAGTCCTGGCCCAGGCCGGAGGACAAGGGACCCAAATTAAAAACAGAAGTAAAACTGTCCACGTTTGCCGATGACGTATGATGGAGAGCCCTAAAGATTCCACCAAAATTTTTTTAGAATAAAACTATTTCAACTCATACACCACCACCAAAAGAAAACCCCCGATCGCTTTAAAAAAGGGGCAACGGAATTGAACGGACACTTTTCCAGGAGGACACACAGCTGGCCAACAGACATATGAAAAGATGCCCAACGTCACTCATCATCAGAGAGATGCAAACCAAAACCACAAATGAGCTCGCCCCTCACAGCTGTCCCAAAGGCCGCCATCAATACACCAGAAACAAGAAGCGCCGGCGGGGATGTGGGGCAGCGGGACCCTGCTGCACCGCTGGGGACCGCGAACCGGTGCGCCCGCTGCGGAAAAGTGTGCAGTGTCCTCAGAAAACGACTGCCTTACGATCCAGTGCTTCCTCTTCTGGGCATTTATGCAGACACTCAAAACACTCATTCAAAAAGCTATACGAACCCCCTGCTACGTTCAGTGCACTGTTCTTTACAGTCGCCGAGATACAGGGCAACCCAAGCGTCCACCGACCGACCGGTGGACAGGAGAGGCGGCGTGTGCGCACCGTGGACTGCGACTCGGCCATAACAGGGAATGGAACCTCCGACAGCGTGGACGGCCCCGGGAGCTACGCTAAGTGCAGGAAGCTGGAGGAAGGCCAGGGCCGTCGAAAGACACTGATACGCGAAATCTAAGAAAAATAAACAAACTCACAGATACAAGGGATGAACTGGTGGTCGCCAAGCGTCGTGGCGGGGGATGGATAAGAACGTACGGAGACTAGGAAGTAGCAACTGCCAGTTACAGGAACAGTCGCGGGGACGCAGGGCGCAGCACAAGATCACTGCGTGATACACCGTCACTGCGTAGTACGCCCGAAACGAGTAAAATATTGTACATATCAACTGTAATTGAGAATAAGAAAAATTTGAAAATAAAAGGCAGCTCACCTTGTACACAGGATTTTACTGAAATTAGAAAAAATAAACACATAAAAGGCTTCGGGTTTCTTCACAAATTGTAACACACGTCTTTACTACGGTAAAAACAAAAAGTCTTGAGGGGGGATTCAGAGCCACTTCAATTCTCAGTTAACTCCGTAAATAAGGATGTTCAATACTGTCAGTGTTAGAGACCAAATAAAGTCTTTAACATGTACAAAAAAACTAGGAGAGCAGTTGAACAGTTAACAAAAACAGACTTTAAACAAGGGCATAAAGCACAACACATATTTCTTAATCAGAAACCGAGGTTCTCTGTTCGGCTGCCAGGAAGAGAGAGTCTCCATGGGCAATGGGCTGGGGACCGGCGACTTGCAGGGGGCGGGCAAAGTTGACCATCTCAACACGCCAGTGATTCTCGAAGGCAGACGGGCCGGCGGTGAATCCCCAGCAGCCGCCAGTTCCGGAGCTCAAACCGGAACACGAGAGGGGTTAACAGAGACACAGGTGGCTTTTGTAGATGTAAAATATTTTATTTGTAAATGGTGATTTTCTAAATCTGTGTCCACAAATTCCAAAACCCATAACACTCTGTATACTTCAAAAAATTCAATTTTTGCCAACATTAGATACTATTATACAGAACAGAAAACAAAACAAAAACCCGGTAGGACAAATACTGGTAGGATGTCAGAATATTGTACAAGAGAAGAAAAATATTCAAGAAACAAATTTCATACAGCTATTTATCAAGAGAAAAATATATACAATTGATTTATTCTGTAAGATAAAAATACATCATGCCATATACATTACAAGTTCAGAACTGCGTCACTGAATATACCAACAGCTTACAGCCCACTTGAATTGTGCACACAAAACTTCATTTTATCCTTAGCCTGCGAAGTGTCAGTACCAGAATTTTAAGTACAAAATAAAAAGCTAACCTGGTTCAAAATGCTGATTAAGTTTCTACAAGCAAACACAAAACAGTGTGTTTTTTATTAAAGAAATGTAAACAAACAGTTCATACAAACACATTTTAAAATTACACCTTCCAAACCCTTCTGCCAGAGCTGGGCCACTGCCGGCCCGGTCACGCCCGCTCTTTGCTCCTCCCCCCCAATTTCCGTGTTAAATAGAAGGCTAGAGAGTTAGCTCCGAGTTCCTGCTACATGATCCTAGTATGTTTACATGACTTTTTTGTGGCTTGAAACAAAGTTCTAATCAAAACTACTCTTGCTGAAAAAACACTCAGCCTCCATTTGGATGTCTTGTAAGCCGTTATTCACAGTTATCACAAAGTGTAAGCACAAAACCTGACTGAAGGAGCAGGGATGCAACAATATAACAGGAAAAAATTAGTTCCAATTACGAAAACAGCTAGAAAAGTCGTCGCCGTGGCCATTCTATCAGAAGTCAGGTGTATAAAACAGTAAGAACTAATTGACCGTAGTTTCCAAAAAACCCCAAACACTCTAGGTTGAAATTTTGGTTATTACATAATTATAATGGCGTATTTAATAACACAAAATTATATTGTAACATCCCGATGAACATTTTATAAGCACCCGAGCTGCTGCAGAGCCTGGTAGCATTTGGTCAATAACTATTTTTATACTGTATTTTTTTCTCAAAATATTTACATATTTGTACAAAGTAACAGGTTTGTTAGTTCTGCAGGTAACAGCAGCAGCTTGGCTTTCTTCTAACTTTTATTTAAAAATAGCTTCATTCACTTATTCAATAATAAATACAAAAAGTTTCTCTTATTTTACAGAAATCAAAAACTACAATAAACTGACTCATGGAATCAAGTATTTAAATGTATTTTAGTGCAAGTTATTATCCCTTAGCTCTATCCCTAAGGAAGTCATTCAGTACATTCCTTGTTCAGTGGTGTCTACTGTATTTAAAAAACGTTAGCTTAGAGGGCCTGCCCCTGTTCCCGATAAGGCGGTGGCCAGCACTTTGGACGTCTCCCTTTCGCTGGTGATTTCAGTCTTACATTCATAGAAGGCCCCTGCCCCGGGGCAGGGCAGCCATCGGCTCTTTGCCCCAGTAAAAGTTTCTCCTTAGTGAGACTAAAACAACAAAACAAAATAAAACCCACCCACAGAAAGAAAAAGGAAGGAAAGGAAAAGAAAAAGTGCTGGACCGTTCTGTCGTTCTGGTCGGCCTCGGCCGCAGCAGGCGCGGTGCGCGAGGCGGCGCTCGGAGGGCCGAGGAAATCAGAACTCCCAGAAGCTAGTTTTCAAAGTCATAAAACAGAAAAAAAACCTTTCTGCTGCCAAATCCAAACGGTGCGTTGAGTCGCGTGTTCCTAGGGACGAGCCGCCCGCCGAGAAGGCAAGGAATGCGTTCAGTTCATCCACTTGCGGCAGTTCACGGCCCCGCAGTGGCAGGGGATCTTGTGCTGGTCGTCTTCAAAGTCGAACTTATAGTCATAGCACAGCTGCCACGGCAGAGACACGGAGTGAGAGGGGCCGCCGGGGGGCGCGGGGTCCCGGCCTCCCCCTCCCCCTGCCCAGGAATCTCAACCAGCCAGCAAAACAGAAGCTACAGGAAGGTCCGGGCACGAGGGGGAACCTTGAGAGGAAGTGAAGGGACAGCCTGGCTGTGTTCACCTGGGACCCCAAAGGGACAGGGGGAACCGGGGAAGGCGGGCCACTGTTCTCAGCCCTGGCCCGGCGAGAGAAAGGGTGGCTGGCCAGAGCGGCGTTCCCGGCTGTCCCCCAGGCTGCCCCTGTGGGAGGCCACGTGGGCGCACCCCGCCGAGGCCCCTCCCTGCCGGCCAATGGGGCACCTACGTCGCGCAGGGCGGACTCCCCCTTGCTACCTACCACCGCTCTCCTCCGCTGGTCCTCCCTTAAAAGGACACGGCAAAGGTATCTTTCTACCGGGCTCCCCCAGGGGGTACCATCTCAGGCCAACCCCATTGTCAAGGTGGCGGGCACCTGCCCGGGACGGCCCAGCACACGCTGGGCTCCTCACGTACTTTCTCTTAGGTGCCCATCAAGTTACTTCAAGGTGTGCGAGATGGGTCTTGGGGCAATTCTTCATTTAAAAAGGAGAATTCCAAAAAGGGGACCAAAAGACACAGGCAGGATCCCACAGCTCTGCTCATGAAGGGCTGGGGGCGCCACCCAGGGCGAGGCCCCCTGCAGAGTCGCGCCCTGCTCGGCGGGGGCGCCGTGGCAGACGCAGGCCTGAGCCGGGGAGCTCTGGATGCGTGCCGGACGCATCAGGGGCGGCAAAGTGGGGCGCGGCGGGCGCGGCAAGGAGGACTAAGGGTAAAATCTGAACTGTCATCTGCAAGACCGAAGAACAGAGGTCAAGGTCCACGTTTAGCACTTTGAAGCAAAGGAAAAAAATAAAGTAGCCAAACTCTTCAAATCTGTGGACATGAACCGCCGGGAGGCGTGTCCTCCTGTGTGACCTGTGGGGGCCGCACGCCACAGGCCGAGCACACGGGGGCAGCAGTGGCATGGCCGGCGCAGACCGTCTGTTCAAGGCAGGGCTCAGCCTCTTCAGTCTCTACAGGAGGGGACCCGGCCCGCCTGCGGCCAGGCTGCGGGAGGGGGTCCCGAGACACAGGGCGTGGCGCCCCATGCGCGACACGGGAATGGAGCGCGGGGGCAGCGCGGCGGCAGCACACACACAGCGCTGCCGGGGAGAGCAGCGCGCGGTGAGACGCGACGGGGCGGCGACCCGGGGCCTCCCCAGCGGAGGCTGCTTCCAGCAGCAGGGCCCTGGGAAACCGCCCGACAAACTGCATGGCCCGCACGGCGAGGGCGAGGGCGCAGCCGCAGCCGCGCCCGGCGCCCTTACCTCCTCTCCCTTCTGGATCCTCCGGCTGGAGCTGATGATGATTTTGTGTCCTCTCTCAAACGTCACCACTTCAGCCACACAGTTAGGTGCGCACGAATGGTTGATGTATCTGTAAACCGCCGTTTCAGATAACGATGAATCAACCGCAAGCTTTAAAAACCTGCAGCTCACAGGGTGAACTGCTTCCTCAGTACATTTCTACTTGCCCATAGAACAAGGACACACATAGTTCTAAAGAAAACTCTTCGGAACTCATCTGCCCTGAGCTGCCCACCCGACAGGCTGCGGCCAGCTCCGGGCTCCGGGCGGGGGCGCGCCTGGCCCGCCGGCTGTCTCACCTTGCAGGCCCTCCTGTGAGCGTCGCGTCGATCACGTGGTCGTTGTCCATGCGGAACATGTACACGCCCCGGTTCTGAAAGAGAAGCCATTCAGACTCCTCCCTGTGGCCGGGCCAAGCTGGGGAGGCTCCCCGGGGGCCGACCTGCACTGCGTCTGCAGGGGTCTCACGCCAGCCCGCAGGCGCACTGGAGCGACAGCCGGCTCCGGCCCTGCCTCTCGGGCGGCCCGTGCACAAGGAGGGTGGCCGGCTGGGGCCCGTACCTGAGACTCGTACAGTTTCTCTTTTCTGTTTGCCACTTCGTTCCGAATGATGGTCCCGATGTACTCAATGACCATGGTGTGCTTCTCGATGTCTCTGGCGGCGTAGAGGCCCAGCCCCTGCAAGGGAGCGCGCGTGTGTGTACCTCGAAAGCTCGGCCGTTCTCGGCCAACAAACCTGCACTGTCTCTCATACAAAGGTCCTATCAACGGCCGCGCTGAAGATGCCACCGGACTCCGTGACCTTGTGTCGGCCGTGCTACCTGAGGACCGGACACGTGACCTCTCACAGCTCTGCCTTGTCCGTGCGCCTTTTCCACACCTGATTCAGGCGCTGCTGACGGGTCAGCCCCACTTTGCACCAGGCCTTCCCACCTCCCACGTGTTGTCACATGAGATCTCACCCGCTAAACAGGCCAATGGCCCCTGGCGTTTACCCTGTCCCATCACGATTTCTAAAGGGGCTTGACATGGCCGTAAACACAGTAAAACGGAACCAGGGCTCACTGTAAGGGGTTATGAATGAAAAACGGATTTCACATCTGGTGGTGAGTTTCCAGAAGCTGGGGCAAAAAAGAGAAACAGGAAAAGCGAATTTAATTACCAGGAAAATTAGAAAGAAAGGAAGTTCTTGGGAAAGTCAACTTATACCCCTAACGTACAATCCTGCTACAGAAATGCAGAGGAACCCAAATCGATGAAAACACCAGCGCATGCTCTCCGGTGGCCTCTGCGCCTCCGGCACCGGCAGCCCTGACATGTCATGCACCGCCTGCACCATCTGCTGTCCTTAGCGCCACAGAGTCTGGGAATAAATGGGCAATTCCCGCAGAGATCTGTGCTTTCTTCCCCCAAGCCCGGTTTCTGCCTGCTCTGCCCACACTGACCCGGCGTGCCACTGGTATTGTACCACTCCTCCTGGGGGGCAAAGGCTGCTCTGTAGCTACGGAAAACACCACACAGTGAGGCCTCACTGACTGAAAAACGGACAAAGGCTACGAGCGTGTGACCTCCCGGGAGAGCAAATCCCTTTGTAATGAAAGTTACAGGGTCAGTCTGCACTTAGTGCTGGCGACACAATAAAAAGGCCGTAACATCTGCTACATGCAGAACACAGGCCCATCGCCAACGCAGCCTTCTCAGGAAAGCAGCCGTGCCGGCTGCAGCACCAAGTGCCTGGGTGTTTACGTGGAATCGTGCTCTTGGGAAACCACCCACGGGGGTGAGGTGATCAATACACAGGGAGAGTTACACACGCTACGGATGGCAACGCTGGTGTCTTCGGGAAAAGTTGTACACAAAAATGTGCATTGGTAGCGGAACAGGTTAATTTCAGCTCAGCGCCGTCGCCGAGCAGCAGAGCCGTGGAGGATGAGAGGGCAGCCTCGGTTGGTCTAGAGACTATCAGTGAAAAAAGGTGCAGAAAAATAGAAATAACACAAATCCACTTTCACACATGCACACAGAGGCGGCAGCAGAGCAGGTAGTAGCACGAGATCGCCTGGGAGGTAGAACGGAGGAAGACAGAGAAAAAAAAAACGCTTTCAGGTTAAGGTGACAGACTAAACACAGGTTGTTATGAAACTCTGAAAATCACGGTAAGGCAACAGCAGCAACGCACAGAAGCAGGAATGGGCAAGAGGGCTGAGCGGTCTGCAAGCGGGCGGAAGGGAAGGCGACCGATTTAGCAGAGACGTCAGCACCACTACCAGGAGCAGGGACCCAGCACACGCTTAGCTACTTAAAAAAAAAAAAAAGAAAAGAAAAAAAAAGACGAGCAGGTGAGTAGAAGCCTCAGAACAAGACCAAAGAAACCAGAGGAGAAGCGGGCGAGCAGGGTCGAGGCCAGTCCGGGGTTCTCTGGCTGCGCGGGAGCACCGGGCCCCGGCTCGGCGGCCCCACGCCTGCAGGTCTTTAGCAAGGCCCGGGGGAAGCCAGCGCCGCTGGCTGCGGCCACGCTGCGGCCCCGGATCTCAGGGGTCTGGCATGCGCCCGTTATGTGCAAAGAAGAGGAATCAGGAATTCACAAAAGAACAAATGCGACAACACTTTTCAGACTGAAGGTCACACGCTCCCACATTGGAAGGGCTCGTCAAGTGAGGAAATTAATGAATCAGTAAGACCTCAGTGCAGGTGTGTTGTTGCTAGATGCCCAAACACCAAGAATAGAGAGAAGGCCCTGGCTGGTGTGGCTCAGTGGGGTGAGTGCCGGCCTGTGAACCAAAGGTTGTGGGTTCGATTCCCAGTCAGGCAGGTCTGCGGTGCTGCAGGCAGTGAGGTAGGAGATTAAACAAGGCTGGCAGGGCCTGAGTGGAGATCGGAGAGCAATTCCAACCAGGGACGCCCGGGGTGATGCTGGCTAGGCTCTGGTGGCCGAGTCTGCAGCTTGGAGAGCGCAGACTACACGTGAGCATGGTCCACGCTGGGCCTGCAGGCGGCTGCGCTGTGCAAGATCCCACAAGCCACCTGCCAGGAAGTACGTAATGATTTCCTGGGAAGAAGCTTCCAGAACCTAACCTCCGAAATTTGGAAACGCTCTCATTGGACTGTTCTCGTCACAAATGCTCGAGAGCACAGCGGGGCGTGTGGAGGCCAGCGCCAGCCGTGGCCTTGGGCATGGGGGTGGGGAAGCCATGCAGCGCGCGCTCCCCACTCGTGCGTGGACTCACTCGCTCCATACACTGACGAGCTCTGACGGAAGTGGGGCCCTGCTCCCGCGCCACCTGCAGCCTGCTGCACACACCAGCCCCCGCCCCGGCCCCTTCCCGAGACGGAGGCCTTTCCCACCTGAATCCGCGACCGGGCGAGGTACACGTTGGACTTCCACTCGGTCTTCATCTTCCGGTACTGCGAGGACTTGGAGTGGACGAACTGCTTGCTGTAGGGGGCGTTCAGCTCCCCGGTGACGGTGCTCTGAAAGGACTTGGAGGTGCTGGTGCTGTTCAGGGTGTGCGGCCTGCAGACAAGGGCGTGCCGCCAGGAAGGGAGAGAAGGAGAAGTGAAGACCCCTCTGAGCCCGGTCGGGCGGCCGCGGCGGCCGGGGCGCGTGCACACGGAAAGCTGCCTAGCAGAGCCCCGCGGGCGCTCCCTGGCTGGGCGGGCGGGCGGGCGGGCGCAGCCCGAGGCGGCGGGATGTGCAAGCGGCAGGCAGATCGAGCACAGAGACCCCTGCTAGGCCTAGAAGCCCTGGGCTGAGCTATGTGAAGTTAAAACAAAATACCTTAACACAAACCTCTTGACATGGGCACTCATCTTCGGTTCGGACCGGGCACAGCCCGTGGGGTTGACAGCCAGAGGCAGCTCCATGAGGGGGTTCCGGCCGTACCGGAAGGTGTAGTTCTCGCACGCCTCGGCCCCAGGCAGCTGGAAAGAAGCACAGCAGGCGCCCCCTGAGCTGGCCAGCGGGCCTCCCGCTCCGGCTGGAGGGCGCATTCAGAATGCCACTCAATGCGCGCAGCCTGCGCTCTGCGCTGCTGGAGGACACCCAAGGCCGGCGCCCACGCAGAATGCAATGGCACCGGTGTGCGGGCCTGGGGGTGGCAGGGCCCGCAACTCCAACATCCCCAAATGGGGGTGAGGGGCGGGCGGCTTCGCGCACAGCTCTTTCACCCAAGTTAACGGCAATGTTCGTGGCCTCGGAATGTGAAAAGTTTAGTTAGAAACCATTCATACGGGCTACTTTCGTGATCGCTCCTCCCTTCTCTCCACCTGACCATGGCGGGGACACTGTCACTCTCGTGCCCTAGGAGCACAGGTGGCACCTTAGGGGGAACTTGTACAATGATTTAGATGGCAAAGGCCTTTTCTCGAATACGTTTCTTGCGCACGCGTCTCTCGACAGACACAGCAGACGTACTGCGCAGGCCGGGCTCTCCACTCAGGGAGGCAACCGGGCCGACGGCTCAGGGGCTTTGGGTCCTTTGCTTCTCCTAAGACCCATCAGCGAGCTCCTACTCTCAGGAAAAAGGCCTTATGATCACGCAGTTTTCCAAAACTGCGTGTAGACTCATTGGCAAAGGCGCTTGTGATCCTGAAAGATCACAAAGAGGAGGCGCGTGTTCTCCTGAGACCCAGCAGCAGCTGTAAACGCCCCGCGACAGCGCAGGGCAGCCGGAGCCACGGGCAGGGGGGCCTGCGCCGCGTGGGCCGCCTGACCGAGCAGACGCCAGCCCTTGTGGAGCCGTCCCGATGCACCGCGACGCCTCGTGAGAGGCCGGTGCGCGTCTGCCGGCCACGCCGCCGCTGCACGTGCCACAGCGGTCACCCGGCAGCCCCGCCTCATGCCACACTCACTGATTCCGCGATCCGAGCCACCGCTGAGACGGTCAGGCCGAACAGGTCCTCTCCTTTCAAATACGCTGGGAAAAGCTGGAGCATGTCAGACTTTTTCCTCACACATGCCACAGGCTCCAGAATTTTATCCCAGACACCTACATGTGGACGAAGGAAAAAAGTCTGTCTGACAAACTAGCGAAACAGGACGCAGCGCACAGTGTAGAGCAGAGCGGGACCGATCCTTGCAGGCCCGCGCCCGGGCCCCATGGCCTGGCACGCCGGCCGGCAGGGCCCCTTGGAGGCCCTGAAACCTGGAGCACAAGCCTGTGCCGTACTAAGGACAGTAGGCAGGGCAAGTGAAAAATAACATGTAAAATAACTGAAATTTATACAGTAGTAAATTCATTTTCATATGGGCTACGTAACATACTAGGTTTTAAAATGTCCATTTACTGATATCTCTCGAAGAGTTACTTTTGCCTCAGATATAAATTATATTATGAAATTTATATTTTTATTGGAATCATCTTTAGAGCATTTCATACATTTTTAAAGAACCACCAACTTTTTAAAAAAGCAGTTCTCCGGTACATTTTAAAAATTTTATTGCTTGGTTTTAGAGAAGGAGGAAGGTGGGGAGAGAGAGAGAGAGAGAAAGAGACACCCCCCTCACTTCCTTGGGCACTCGTTGCTTGAATCCTGCCTGTGCCCTGACCAGGGACTGAACCACAACCCTGGCCTATTGGGGCGATGCTCTAACCCACCGAGCCACCCAGCCAGGACCCCAGTGACATCCCTCCCACGTCAGAGTGACGGCGATACGTAGGCTCAACACTAGATGTTAAAACTAAGGGCCTACTTTCTAGCTCTAAATGTGACACCTGATGCCCCTGAGAAAAGACAATCCCCAGAACGTGCTCGACAGGTGGAGTGCGCCTTCTCCAGGGCAGCGAGAAGCAGGTCCCCAATGCAAAGGGCAGGCAACCTTTATCGGCAAATTTTTCTATCTGTTCTATCAACTCTGTATTTGATTATATATCCTGATTGAGAGTAAGTCTAGCAAGTGTCTATGCAACTGTACAGCAAAGAGCTGGTTCAATCACATGAAGCAGCTCAGATTTGCATTTGTAAATGAAAAACCCACATCTGTCGTTACCAAGTATGAAACAAACACGAGAGAAGACAGGGAAACGCCGGCCTGAAACGTCCAGCGCCGGACAGCGGAGGGACCGCGCCGCGGGCGGCTCTCACCTTTGGGGGAGGAGTCACTCAGGACGAGGTCCTCGTGGCCCTGCTCCACGACCCTGACGACAAACACAGGGCGCCCGTCCTTCTCCTCGATCGAGCACAGGTAGCGGCAGCGCCGGTTGGCGTAGCGTGTGCTCCAGTACAGGCGGCTGGCCTCGTAGCCCACGGGGAAGAGTGCCTTGGGGGAGTGGAACGCCTGCATCTGCTGCGGGAGCAGCTGGCCGATGGCGTGGAAGATGAGGCTCCCGACGCGGAAGGTGTGGTCGCGCTCGCCTCGCTGCACGATGCTGGCGATCTGCCGCACCTCGTCCCGCTGCACGTAGACCCTCCGGAAGACCGCAAAGTAGTTCAGCTCCTGCTCATGAATTCCCTTTGGTTTGTGCATGGGACAAAGCATAGTTTTATCCTTAAAAAACATGCATTGTGCTTTCATGGCGCAGGTAAAGTGGTAAATGTTGGTGCACCGCAGTCTGTGGCAGCCACTGGTGGCGCCCATTTTGTGACAGAAGACGCACTTCATGTGCAGGCCTCGCCGCAGGGCCAGCTCCACATTGATTAAGGCACCAGCCTGGGTCTCATAGACCTCTGTGGACCACAGAGCGCAGTTCAAGTGGACCCACAGGTCCAAGTCAAGGTTGAGCAGCCTTGCCGGCCCATCAGTCAAACCATCGCCCTCCTCGTGACAAAAACAGCACTTCCGGTAGTCTTTGGGCACAGGGTCGGGTTTAAGGGACGTGCCCAGCTTCTTCAGGAATTCGTCGATCTCATCCTCACAAGGCGGCTGGAACGTGCCCTTGGGGATCACGATGTGAATGCTCCACTTCTTCCACTTCATTCCTCTCCACTTCTTGTTGATTGGCCTGCAGTCCTCAAACCCACCGTGGACAGTTCGTAGCCGAGGCTTCAACTTGACTGTGACCTTGAGCTCATCTGGCTTGGCCTCGACTTTGGCTGCTTCAAAAGCAGGAGGGAAGGTGATGGGAGGCGAGGCCGGCGGGGACGCCGCCTCCTGGAGCTGCGGGAGACAGTGCACGTCCAGCGTGGAGATGTTGTTGCTGTACTGATGGAACACTCGGGAAGGCGACTCTTTTACAGGCGACTGTGGCAACGAAGGAACAGCCTCCTGGGCAAGAAAAGGGAGAGTAATTCACAAGCTCTAAAAGCCTTTCTTGCTGACATGCAAAGCCAGGCCACTCGGTTTAACAGGGTGTGTGGCCAGCAGGCAGGGGACAGAGTCTGTAAGCAGGTGGTGAGGACACGGGCCCAGCAGAGCCGATGTCGCACACCTGTGGAGTGACAGGGCTGGTGAGGGAGGCAGCTGCGGGTGGACCCAACTCTGCGGAGCCGCGACGCCGGAGCACTGCTCTCGCCCCCCCTGGACACTGCGGTCCCTCCCCATTACAAAGCCAGAGGGGCCAAGGCCACAGAGGAGTTAGTGGGTTTAACTGGTACGATGGAGCAATGCTCTTCTTAAACCAAGCGAGCACTTCGAAAAGCTCTCCTATGAGCTTATCCCCACTCTCCGGCCTCCCTGCCTATTCCTCTCGACTCCACTGCTGGCACACGTGGGAAGGAAGGGGAGGGCCCTGCCCCTAAGCCAATGGACCATCCTCTGAAGCTGTTCAGGCTCAAACTCAGGCGCTCCTTCGGCAGCACGCCCTCAGTTCACGGTCCGGCCCCCGAGTTCCCTTTCCTCACGTTCCCCCATCCTGCCGGCTCCCCGAGAAGAGGGCGCACCTCGGGGAGAACCCAGGAATCGCACACCGACTAAAGACACTCGTGAAAAGACATTCCTTCCTGCACACAAGATAAGACACCCTCATTTCAAGTTGGAACCTTTTGGGCATACAGCTCGGACTCCACACCTCGGCACTGGGGCCTGCTGCCCGCTGGCAAAATGAGGGTCTCAGGACATGCGCCCCAGGGACCCCAGGACAGCGAGAACCTGGGGGGGGAGCGGCGGGCGGCGCGGGCGGTCCCCCCGCCCCCGCAGTGGCTTGAGAGCGGCTGCCCACACGCACAGCCAGCAGGCTCAGGGGGAGGCGCCTGCGCCACGGGCCATCGGAGAGACGCCAGCTGGGGCCACAGCGAGACCCAGCGTACGCCGGTCCAAGTGGCGTCCTCAGGAACAAGCCAGGGAGGATGTGCGGAAAGGGGAGTCGCCAGCACTGCTGGGGGGGCGCAGGCTGGGGCAGCCGCCGGGGAAGCGCTGCGGCGGCTCCCCAGAAAGTCGGAACTGCCTTCTGACCCAGCAATTCCACTTCTGGGTGTTTATCTGAAGAATCCAAAACACTGATGTGAAAAGATGTGTCTATCCCTATGTTCACTGCGGCGTTATCGACAACCACCAAGGTATAGAAGCAGCCCAAGTGCCCAGCCACAGACAAGTGGATAAAGAAGAGGTGGTGCGTCTATACAATGGGCTGGGACTTGGCTATACAAAAACAATGAAATCTTGCCATTTGCGAAGGCCTGGGTGGACCTGGAGAGTATTATGCTAAATGAAACAAGTCACAGAGATAAATACTGTATGATCTCACTTACATATTGAAACAAAACAAAAACAAAACAACAAAAATACCCCAAAACAAAACAGAAATGGGAGACCAAACTGATGGGTCACCAGAATGGAGGAGTTTGGGACACGAGCAAAAAAAAAAAAAAAAAAAGAAAAAAAAAAAAAGGAACTTAGAAGTACAGACTGCTAGTTACAAAAATACCCAGGAGGACGTAAGCGCAGCGCAGCAGCGGCTGTGTACACGGCTGGATGGGCACCGGGCTTACGGGCGTGGGCTTCGGGGGGAGGGGGCGGGCGGGGGGCCTATGAGTCGCTAATCACTACGCTGCACACCTGAAAGTCACGTGACTCTGCAGTTCAAGTGTGTTTGAAAATAAATTTTTCAAAAAGTAGAAGAGTAATAGAAACAGATACAGTTGTGCTAGAAAACCAAACATCTCCATCAACTACACACTTAGATACACTTAAATTACACAAAATTAAGTAGCCCATTTCTGCCAAGATAGGAACAAAGTAACTTCTCCCCAAAATACTTGCACAGACTTGTTTGTGAACAGGTTTTCCCGCTGGGATAAGATCAATAAAAACAATATTCTACAGTTGTAATTAAGATATGTGTAACTAAACAAAACCAAATATTTTAGGGTCAATATTTTATTCAATTCTGAACTTTTAAGATCTAATTCAGGTCTCTCCGCCCAACAAACAAATCATTTCACCTGCAGCGGCCGCCTGGACCGAGGGGTGGGGGAGCCACGCTCTCACTCGGAACGGCGCCCACCCCCGGATCCCTGTTGGTTCCCTGATGTGTCCCTAGAACACAGAAGTCACCCACTGTCTACTGCGCATTAGCTGAAACTGGACTAACTGTACCTTGCTCTCCGAGGTTTTTGCTTGTGCGGTTGATGCATAAAGAATAAAGCAGTTATTGCTACAGAAGACAATGTCCTTTTCCACTCTGTTGGAGCTTTCGCGAGAATCCTGGAAAGCAAAGAGAAACGTGTGGGGATCTCAACAAATTCCAATTTAATAAAAACAGAATCTATAGAGTGTTGGTTTTTATCTCATGTTGAAGGTGAAAGGAGCTTCCTATCTTGAGTAAAAACAAAATGATGCATCTACTTACCATAGAATGTAATCACAGAGAAAATAAATGTGTCAAAGTAAACTTTACTATCTATATCCGTTGCGCTTAAAAATACATCTTCAGAACACCCAGTTTCAGCCTGCTGTAGTTTGTGTGTGTCCAGACCGTCACATGCGTGCCGACACACTGCCCGGAACACGTGTCCCGGGCGGTTCCCAGAGGGGCCCTCCCGGACTGGGCAGCAGAGCGCGGCCCAGGACGCTTCCTGCGGCGGGGCCCGGGGGTGGGGAAGGGGCGTCCCCCTACCTTGCTGCCGAAGGCCAGGTCCCTGAACGACTTCCGCACGCCGCTCCCAAGAACGACCACCTTGCAGTGAGAGCACCACTGGGCCCTGAGGGCCGTGCCCTCTGCCACACGGTGACTGGCATCCTTGTACCCAGAGAGACCTGGGGGCGAGAGTCCTGTCAGGGACGGAAACGCCCAACACCACGCGGCGGCGTGGGTTTGTGCTCTGTTACCTCCTCACAAGGGCTCGCTGAGCTGACCTCCGTTATTCCCCGTTAATTCATAAAAACCTCCTCTTCCGGGCAGAGGCTACGGGGCGCCGACAACGTGCATGGCCCGGCACAGGGGAGGGAGCACGGCTCTGCCCAAGCAGCTGCGGAGATGCTGCTGCGCACGGGGCGGGACGGACACCGCGGCGCGCGACCACCTCGTCTGGGGGCCGGGGGCCGGGGGCCGGGGGCAAGCTCTTGCTTTTGCTTGAGGGTTAGGATGACGATACAAAAACATTTTATGAGAGGCGAGAGGTATGTGCGCCAGAGTCTTAAGTAAGTTTGATTTGGACAAGGAGGGATAAGCCATATTCCAGAGCCAAGGTAAGAGTCAGGACTCACGCAGGGCACGGTGGCAGAAGCAGGGAAAACGGGGAAGCAGGACCGCGAGGGACGAAGGGTTCAAAACCCACCCTGGCGACTCTCCTTCGGGGCTCGGGGGTAAGGAGTGGGGACCACTCGGTCCCGACAGCAGCGGATGGACAGAAACAGGCCGCAGGGCTGGCCGGAGAGGGTGGAAGCAGGGCCGGGAGTAGAGCACAGGAAGGGAGCCTGCCTGGGGACGGCGGCCCCAGCGCAGACGGCGCAGAGGGATGGCGAGTGGTGACAGAAGACGCAGAAGAAAAGGAAACGGGCAAGTCCCGGCCCTCTGGGCTCAATGTGGAGCCATGCTCGCGGGGTGAGGGTCTGGGCATGCAGAGACCAAGAGATGCTTCCAGTAACCTGCTCAGGGGTGCACTCAAATACTTCCTGCCACATCGCACGTCATACACACCCCAAAGCACCAGAGGTCAAAATCACCCCACGGGGCACAGACCTCCCGCATAAGGTTCATGCACTGACGGCTACACTCCAAGATGTGGCCTGTGACGTGCTAACAATCACACTGAAATTGTACGAGGAGTAAAAGCACGGCCTGCAGATGCAGGACAGACCCGAGGCTGAGTGTGAACCAGCTCACCATTGCTCGCTGGAGGAAGTGGCACATTGGGCGGCTGCAGCCGGTATGAGCTTGTTAATCTGGGGGGGGTCGCAGATCCTGGTGGAGGCCCACGGAGAAATAAATGCTGTCGATACTCCAAACCCGGGTTTACTCTGTGGCTATTGACCAAACCCACGGACGGACCGTCTGGAGCGTTACTAACCTCATAGCTGTTAGGGATTCGGACGTGAAGCAGGTCGGAAAACGCAGCCACGACGCTGCTAATGTTCTGGAAGAGAAAGGCCAGTGAGTGCTGTAGCATCTGCCCAGCAACCCTCTGCAGAGCAGCTCAGGCTCTGGACAGAGGAGGCCTCAGGGCTCGTGCACGGGGAGCTGCCCCACAGCGCCTCCTCGGAGCAGAGCCTCGGGCCCAGGCTGCCGCAGCGGGCCAGCCTCCGCACACGCAAGCCCTGCTCAGGGGACCCAGGTGCCGGCACGCCTCAGCGCACCGACTGCCCTCAGGCCGCTGCAGGTCAGACAGGCATGCAGGGACACGGCCCAGGAGCGGGCGCGACACCCCGAGGACGCAGGCTCGCGGGAAAGCTGTGTCCTGACCACCGACTGCCTGCCTTCAGAGAGCGAGGAGGCACCAAACCACGCCGCGGCAGCACGCTGGTGTTTGCTACGAGCAGCTGCCACCTGAACAGTATCTGTACTTTGCTTCCGTCAAGCTTTCATATTGATGGTGGTTTTGTACCGCGTGCTCCCCTGTGTGAACGGCGACCAAGGCTTCTCTCCAGAGCCCGAGGCAGGCGGCCTGCTGCCACAGCACGGGGGCGCGAACCCCACCCTGCCCTTCTGCGGGACTGCGGCTGGGAGCAGCGGCCCAGCGCGAGTTCACAGCGCTCAGCGCAGCTGGGCGCCTGCAGCGACGGCTCCTCCTGACCCGCCTGTCAGTTCTCACCCTCCGGGGCCCTGCCGCATACACCGCATACATCGCATACACCGCGTGGGTGCCGCCGGCCACGCCTTACCTCAGCAGCTGTCGGATGCAGAGTGATGGCCACAGATATGAGACCCGACCGGGGGCCGTTGGGCGGGGGCCCGAACGGCGGCGGGAACAAGGAGGCGCCTGGCTCAGCTTTGATGTCGCCCCGCCTGGACTCCGGCCCTGATGGGGGAGGGGACAGGGGAGGGAAACAGGAAGGCCGGTGTTACCGCCTTCCAAACGCCAAGCGGGGACACCGCGAGTGGGCGCGCTGTCGGAGGACCGGCCGCTCCCCTACCTCTGCCGGCGGTGCTGGGGAGGATGGGGATGACAGGGGACGGCACGGGCTCCGGGGGCTCCTCCTTGACCGACGACAAGTCTGGGTATCTGCGCACTTCCGCCCCCACCACACTCTCGGGGGAGGACGAAGGGACAAAGCTGTCGGGAGTGTCCCGGTCACCACCGTGGTCCTGCAGCCTGCCGGGGGGACACACGCCACACGTCGGCCCGGGCCACCCCGCCCCGGGCCTCCCGCACGGGCCGCTCCACCAGCGCGACTGCCAGGTTCTCTGGACAGGGCAGCGACGCGGGGAGCTGGAGGTTACCAAGGCGACGGGGGCTGGAGGGCAAGTGCGGTCTCAGGCTACCTGGTACGGGGCGCCCTGGGACCTGGTGCCGTGCGAAGGGGACCCTGGCGTGGGCGGCCTCCTGCCCGAGGGCAGCCGCGCAGGCCGCGGGCGGCTCCCCCCAGAGTGGCCGTCGGGCCCGACTCAGCCACTCCCGGTGTGAGGCGGAGGCGGACGAAAGGGACCTGGGCTCCCAGCCTGGCACGCCTCTTCTCCCCGGTCCCCGCTGTCTCATTAGTCAAGGGACAGACCTGGACTGAGTGCCGTGCCATCCGCTCTCAGGAGGGAGGGCGCCCGCGGGACAGGGCCCACCAGCAGTCCCTCCGGCACCCGGGGGCACGGGGTGGCTGCCAGGCTGTCCCCGTCGGGCCCGGGGCCCGGGGGCACTGGTGCGAGGAAGTTACGGAGCCCTGAGCCGGGCGGTCCCCAAACCCCCTCCCACGAGAGCGTTCCCTGCGTCCTGCAGCCGGGCTTTTCCTACAGACTGTGCAAACACCACTAAAGCATGCCCGTCGCGCCGGGAGCTTAGGAGGCCCGTGGCCTGGAAACACTGTACGGGGAGACCCCCGCGGCCTCCTGTCTATGTCGGGATTGTTTAACTTCCCGCCGTCCTGTACACTTTCGACAACCCACAAACTGGCTTTATTCAGTACCAAGAATGTTTCATAAACTGAATTCTGAAGAAAATTATTCACCAGTTTCACCCCTTAAATGTCTTTAGAGACTATTCCTACAGACATTATGCTAGTTACATACTTATATCCATTTCAAGATATGTAATAACTACAAAGTATCTGTGAAGGAAAGACCTCCTACCTCAGCTCCTCCTGGTTGTTGTGAGGGGGTGTGGGGAGGGAGGCTGGGACATCGACCGTCTTCGGGCCCTGAGCGAGGGCTCTGGCCAGCAAGTCGTCCTGGGGCCGGAAGGGCAGCGGAAATTGTTTAGGTCCTAGACCTTTGGTAACTGGAAAAGTGAATGCAAACAGCCATGAAGACACGTGGAGCTGCTGCGGGGAGAGACCACCACACCCACAGGCGAGGGCGCGCCCAGCGAGGTGTCACGTCAGAGCTGTCTCCGTCATACCTTCGTGGGCCACTAACACTCCGGCTTTTCCAGCAAGTTCCTCAGTCGTCGCAAAGCCATTGGCCATCTTCTGACAAGCCATAGGAGGTGGTGTAGGAGGAAGAGAGGCAGGGGGTGTTGGAGGATTACTTAAATTATTCTGCTGCAGGAGACCAAAAAATTTTAAATTACATGCTACTGAGCAAATAAGCCATGACCTTGCTAAACTATAGTTCTGTGAATTTTTAGCACATGGGAGCAAGGCTACCAACATGTAATCAGGATGCCTCTTCCTCTCTCAGTCACACCAGAAAGGAAAGGAGGTGTCCAAGGCCAGAGGCGCTTCAGGGGAGGCAGCGGGCGCTCTCGACCCGGGGGCACACGGCCCTGCTCACTAGGCCCAGGCGCAGGGCTCGGCTTCCAAAGAAGCAAGTTTATACTCTGCCCCATTCGGTTCTGTACAGCGCTTTTCAAGGGGTGTTGGAGCCAGCAAAGGGCAGCTTTCAAACTCAACCAATAAATTGTAGAAAGTTCTCAAAAATTCCTTTATTAAGTTCTCATTAAGATATGCCCCAGTTCTATAAAAAACTTGAGAATTTGTGGCCCTATTTCCATTGATGCAACACACATCCTAGATACTGGAATCTGGAATGTCCAAAATCTCTAAAAGAAGCCAAAGCAGGAGGAAGAATACTGAAGTGACTGAGTCATTCACAGTCCTCCAAACGGCTCTCCCTGCTTCACGTTTGTCACCAGTTTGTCATTGACCTTCGATTGTGGGAATCTACCAATAAGAACATGCAAATCAAGTGCAAGGTGAACTGCAAATGCGGCAAAGACCAAGGGCTCCCTGCAGATGAGGAGCTGGCGCAGGAGAGAGCGGGAGCCAGAGCGGAAGGCGCGTGCGGCTGGGCTCTGCCCGCAGAGCCGAGCCGGCGCCTGTGGCGAGCGCAGCACCGCGAGGGAGTGGCTTTCACAGTGAAGCGAGAAGAGAAGGCCTCAGGAAAATGGGGGATACTCTCAAATATTGTTGCAAAGAACCCATTTTACATTAAGTTGGATATGAAATGAAGAATGTCTAATAAGGCTATCATAAAACTTGGTTTAAAAAATAATGCTGACAGACTCGCCTCAGTGCGCTATTGTTTTAGTAGCCCAAGAATTAATGCATAATTGTAATTAGTACCTAATTAGATAAAACACATTTGAAAATTTTTTTTCTCATTTAATTTTTCAGGGTAAATGCCTAACTACATTTTTTTATCCTCACTGTTCACTGTGAATTTGGATTTCTTGTAAGAGTTCGTAAAGATTACAGGGAAATAAATACAGGGCGGGGCAGAAGGAGGTTTGCAGCTGTTCCCATGGAAACCAAGGCAGTAGTAAGTAAGGACACCAGAATCAGCTGGTTTGCGCACTTCTAGCTGTAAACCTGCTTTTGTCCCGCCCTGCAATTTCTCCGCCATGGAGATGCAAATAATTTTTTTTTTTCACAATTTCTATTCTTTCCTGTACAAAAATTTTAAACGTTCATGTCATAAATGCTTCACCAGGAAAATGTTAATCTTTTACTTGAACTGGAGTTTCAGTGAAACTCGGAAGGTCAGATGGAAACTAGACGGAAAAAACCACCACGCGCTCCGCCAACGCTGCTACGCATCCAGCGAGGAAGCGAGGTGACGCTGCGGCAAAGGAACATACCTTGTAGATCAACTGAGAATAGTAATCCGAAACCCCGTCAAGGGTAGCACTGCCAAAAGCTCCTAGAAGTCGGTTCCCACTATTAAATTGGCCACTGCCATAAGGAAGAAAGTGCGCAAAGTTCACTCCAATGATTGGTTCCATTAGAGGGAGCAGAGAGAGCTGCTATTGAAAAACACATTTGAGAGTAACGCACATGGTCAACAACAGAGGGCGATTCTCAACTTTTCTAAGACCCGAGGCAACTTGGTAAAACAGGCTTGAGAAAAATAAGGCTTAAAAATTTCACGAATTCAAATGCTGGAATAAGTGAGAGCTACAGAATCTTTGAGAGCTACTTTAAAATAAGCTTTGGTCTTATCTGTCTCACAGAGACGCTGCCAGGCATCTAACAAGCAAGCCCACTCCTTATCTGTGCTCAGCTGGAGTCAGGGTGCGGCCGGAGGCCAGGCACCCTGGGCAGGTGCAGCGGCCTCTCCCACCTCGGCAGCACCGACAAGGGTGCGGGACCAGGCCTGGCCGTGGGGAGGGACCGGCAGCCGCACGTCTCTGCATCGGTCGCCAGCGATGCGGACAGAGCGTCTCTGGATGCTGACCATCACCTGCCCAAGCATTTTTACTGTCCCTTAGGGCCAATAGGACAAGCTGCAGCTTTGCAAAAAGGGACGCCATCAGGTTCCTCGTTGATATGTCTTATCCCTGTAACTCTCGCTTTAGGGCTGAATAACTTTCTAATGTTCTCACACCCTTTAACTTCTAAAGGGGCTACCAGCAAAGGCTCACCTGTTTCAGGTGGGTGAAGGTGTCCGGGGTTGAGTACACGGCTTGCTTCTCCTCCTCATCCTTTCTCCGTTTCTTTGAGCGAGGAGCTGCCTTCTCCCCTGTCCTCTGCGTCCGTTTGCTTCGCTGTTTCTTGGTGTCACCTCCTCCATCTGCTTTTGGCAGCTGGTTGTTGCCACATCCAAAACCACCTTGCACTTGAGCCCCCAGAGTTTGCTAATGCGATTGGAAAGGTTAAGAAATGAGTGAACTATTTATATGTGGATTTTCAGTTCAAGCATATTCTACCCCGAACACACTGACAGGGAGAATAAAGTTCTGGAGGGAAGGCGGTAGCACCAAATGCTACCGCTGTTTTCTAAAAATATTGTCCCTCCCTTTCTAAACATTGTTCTCCAGTGTGGACATCGTTGGTGGGCTGCAAAGCTGAAGGGGAGAGCAGAGCCCCCATCCCGGCTGCTTCCCCTCAGAGGAAGCGCCGCCCCGGCCGAGCGCAGCAGCGGGCAGGCCAGAGCTCCCGGCCCTGCGGGGGCGGGAACCGCTCTCAGCTGACGGGGCAGCCCTGCCCCGAGCGCTCACGGTGTGACATGGGGCTTCCCTGAGGCGCGGGGGAAACACAGGCCTGAAGAGCAGCTGACAGACTCCAGGAAAGCCCCATCCTACGCATCTCGCGTCGAGGGGAAGAGCTGGCCTCAGAGGTCAATAAGGCCAACCAACACTGGCCGTTCAAATGAGCTCACAATCACACATCTGATTGAATAATAACAGCTATATTCTTAAAGTCAACAAAAAGAACTTATGGGACAGCAAATAAACCTCGCTTTACTTTTGTCTTTGTAATTAGTGAAAATACACCAGTCCTTTAAGAGGTTTTTAAGGGTGGTGCTATCAGTACATAAAAATTCCGGCTCTGTTTCAGGACCGTGATTTCTACATCTGACAGCTGTGCTCTGCGATGCAGGCAACTCCAGGCGCTGCACACACTTCCACGTCCCCTGCCGAGGGCGGGAGGGCCCTGACGACCAGGCCTTCCCAGGGTGCTGTGAGCAGCTCAGAGCAAGGGCAGCAGGCTCTCGCGAGGCCCGGGGTGAAGGGCCTGGAGCCTCTGGGGGCCGCACGGTGCTGCCCCTGCGCTCCGGCTCGGCCCGATGTGCAGGGCTGGGCGGGGTCCCCACATCCCCACGGACCTTCAACTCATGGACACTGAGCCTTAAGTGTGCTGTGATTTTCACATGTTGAAAAACGTGACTCCTTAGATTTTCCCCAACCACTTAAAACTGAGAAAACCAGTCCCAGGCTCATCCAAAGCGGAGGTGGAAGCAGGTGCAGACCGCCGCCCGCAGCCAGATCCCGGCCTCAGGGGCAATCGCGGCCTCAGGGTGCGCACCCCCTCGTCCTGCCCAGGTCCCCGAGCCTGGACCCGGGAGGGAGTCGCCCGATGACTCGGGCTGGGCCATTGGGTACCCCCCGCACGGGGCCTGCGTGGGACCCCCGGGGCCGTGTGAGAGGGACCCTCTGGCAGCAGGTCTGTGCGGGGCCCCTAGGCCCTGCGCTTCCCACGCGGCCCCCCAGTGAGGCCGCACAGCTGGTGCCAAGACCCGCAAGAGCCTAGGGCTCCCCGGGGGCTCGTAAGAGGCTACAGAGGCAGTTGCTTAGCTGGGCACGAGGGGGCAGGCGCTGACCTCGTCTCTTACCCTCACAGTCTCCCTTAAAAAGGCGGTATTACCACGTTACAAAGAATACTTCTAACTACGGAAGAGCACAAAAGATAGAAAGTCTGCCTGAGGCAGAAACAGCCAGTATTTTAATATGTCCATCTGCGCGCTTTTATCCGCACCTACACATTTTGTTAAAAACACAGTGAGTTGCAGTTTGCATTCTTTTGTTTGGGTGGCTGCTTGTTAAACCTGACACAGGGTTCCCTATGGCACTGAACATCCCCACACAGCGTAAACATTAATGGCTGCAAAAATCCCCTCAGCCGTAACACTTCCACCACCTATAAAACGGGGACAGTAAGTGGTGTCTCAGGGCGAGTGCTCAGCTCGGCCGAATGCCAGGAGTCGATGGGGGGCGTCACCCCTTGCGGGGTGTGCCTGGCCCTTGCTATCCTCTACAGAGACACGAGGACATGAGACAAAGTCCAAGCGCACACGCACACACACACAGCTCATGGCACCCCTTTTTCTGCCCCAGCACCCCCTCGATATTTTTTGTGTCACCACCAGCATTAGGACTTCAATACCAAAGGACTGGCTGTGCGCTAAGTAACGTGTTGGGCACTGAGCACAGAAGGTGCCCCAAAGCGGGCGTGCCCTCCTGGGGCCGTCACGGCAGGGCGCGCTGCAGACACAGCGCCCTTAGCACAGCGCCTCGACACGTGCTTGACACAGGCTCCCGGGGAAGGCAGTTCCAGAACGGAGCTTTCCAGGGGAGAAGGCGCTGGCTGGGGTGCAAAAGAAGGGGCGGCGTCCTGCGGAGACAGCAGCGCGTGGGAGGCGGCCTGGGGGGCCCACAGGGTTGGCCTGCAAGTTCCCAGAGACGGGGCACATCCGCTGCTGACAAACGTCACTGCAGAAGACTTACAAAGACCCCACCCATCTGCTGGGTCAGCCCTCCTGGTCTACTGAACCCACAAACAGGCAGCTGAGAGAACGAAGAGGAAGCCAGCACTCGCTAATAGCGTGGCGTCGCACCACAGAGCGCCATTCAACTACAAGCGTGGAAATGGTGAAACGCAGCGTGAGTGGCGCAGCGGGGAGCTTATGAACACACAGCTTCTGGAAGACAGAGAAGCTGGAGACCCGTCCAGGGCGCCGGAGCCCCAGGCTGAGAACCGCCTCAAGTGCACAGAAACATGGGGGCTGGAATCTGATAAAGGTGTATTTACAAGGAAGCTCTTAGTACAAATGGAAAACAAGAGCAAACTCAAAGAGCAAACTACAGATACAAGAAAAACGACACAGGCAACCTAGCGCCCACGTGAGGGACTGCGCCTGTGTGACACGCAGTGTCACCGCGCTGCGACAGGGGCTACCAGCCGTCCCCAAGAGCCCTGAGGGCCCTGGTGCGGGAGCCCCTCTGCCTTGCTCGTGGGCACACGTCAAAACGTTGGGTCCATGGAAACAAAAAAGAGAAAATAAACAATGGTCCTATAGGGGACGAAAACAGTGGTCAAATAAGCACACTGGAGGCACAACCCCACAGTAACTATGATTTAAAACAAAGGAAACAAGGCCGAGCCGCACGTACCTGCCCTTCTGCTGGGCTCGTCCTCTCCACTGGCTTGCTGTCCTTTGCGCAGTCGTCTTCTGAGCAGAAAGAGCCCTCGGGCTTCTGGTTCGCAAGGGCAGCCGCCTTCTTGTTTTTCAGCAGGTGCTTCAGCAGCTCATTGCCGGCATCTCCTTTGGCAGCAGGGGCCGCGGCAGGGAGGGGAGGGCTCTCCCCCGAGGAGGCGGGACAGGCTGCAGCCATTTCGGCAGCCTGGCTCCCAGTGTGTCCCTCTGGCGGAGGCCCCTCATGGCCTGGGCCCTGCTCTGGCTCGGCCACCTCCGGGTTGTCCACTTCGGCCGTGGCAGGGGTGTCCGGGGGCCTCCTGTCCACCTCTGTGGTGGCGAAAGTCTGGTGAGGCGGAGCTCCCTGGGAGGACTCACTGGTGGGCAGGCTGCTTCCCAGTTCAGTGCGCGGCTGGCCTGCTGCCGCACTAGGAGCCAATGGGCCGCCCGCCTCCCCCGGCTCGGGCTCTCCTTGTGGGGGGAGCTCGCTGGGCGTGTGCACGCTGGGCGTGGAGGTAGCTTCAGAGACACTCGGGGTCGGTGGGGCAGTTATGTCCGAGTGCGGTGTGGACGGCGCCTTGGTGGATTCCGTATCGTCATCTTTCTTCTTCTTTCTTGTTCTTTTCTTTTTTCCCTTTTCCTCTGGGATGATATCGGAGTAGAGCTGAATGAGAGACTGGGCTGAGCCCGGGTAGCCTTGTCCGTGGGCTAAAGCAGGGTCCTGGCCACAGGGGAGACCGCTGCCGGCCCCCGGCGGAACTGTGGACGAGGCGGGCGTGAAGGGCGGCCTCACGGGGGGCTGCGGGAAGCCGGCCCCGGGAAGACCTCCAGGCACCTGCTGGCTGGCGTGGAAGTTGGGGCTCCCGCCAGGAATTGACGGCGAGTCCGGGACAAATGAGGGGGGTCCTAGCTGCCTTCGCTCATTGGTCGGCATGAAAGTCGGAGCGGGGGGTGAATTAACAGACCCGCGTGTGCTCTGCTGCTGTAGGACCTGGCCCACCTGCTGCTGGTGCTGAGGAGACTGCTGCAGGGGCCGCGGGGGCTGCAGGAAGTCACACGGCAGGTCAGGGCTGTAGAATGGGGTCTGGGGCGCGGCCGGCCTCGCGCTCATCTCCATCCTCTGCTGCAGGGCGCGCTGGCGGTCCACTTCCTGCAGCAGCTGGATCCGCTGCCTCTCCTGCTGTTCTCGGAGACGCTCCTTCCGCTCCCGCTCTTGGAAACTTTCGCTGAAAGGGTTGTTGTCATCAAACTCCACCCGCGGAGGCGGGCCGCTCTGTGCGTTTGCAGTGGGAACCGTCCCCGGGGCTGGCGGGCAAGCTTTTGCTGGTAACTGGGGCACTGTAGGTGGAATCCGGGCAGGGTTGAGGGAGAGGTGAGCAGGGGCGCCGGGAGGCTGCCATCCTGGTAGGCTGGGCATCCGCGCGGGGCCGGCATGGCCCGGAGCGACGGTTGTGTGCGTGTGCGGCAGCGGCTGGGCCACCAGGGGGAAGCCGGGCTGGCCGAGGACGGGCGGGGCGGCCCCCGCACCCAGAGGTGGCGGGGGTGGGGCCCGGGCGCACTGCTGCTGCTTCAGGCGGTAGTCCTCCATCAGCTCCGCGTGCTCCTTCTGCTGCTTGCGGATCTGGAGGGAGAGGGGCCTGGCTCACAGACGGGCACTGCGGCTGCCGACCGCAGGCCCTGGCCGAGCCACACCCAGGGCGGCCCGAGCTTACGCCGGCAGAAACGTGTTGCTTCAGCAACGGCACAAATCACAGAAAGATGGACTGAGAGGCACTAACTAAAGGCTGCCAATCTTTTTTAACAATAGGATCTTTGCAAAGTCATCTGTAAAACTTTTTACATATGAAATACCAAAAACGAATTTGACAAAGTTTTCTGAAAGGAATAGTAAGTCTGTCTTACTGTGAAAGTCATAAGCTTTTTAAACTACAAAAGGATGAAACAATAAACAAAAGCGGCACAGGAATCAGCTAATTGTAACACCTTAGACGTTACATTAACACATAAGGTTAGAAAAATGGTGAGATTTAACTCAAATTTTACCATTTAGATGTGTTAAGATTTCATGTCTTCAATGTATAAAATGGCAGCCCCCCCGCCCCCCCACCTTCCCCGGGCTAAAAAGCCTAGACTGGAAAACCCCTTGCATCTAACAGTTACCATGCTAAGAGCTCTGAAATCTGAACGCGCTCCGAGGCACATTTTGAATAGTCCCGACGAAGGCCCTAAGGGGCCGGTGTCAGTTCATTCCACAACCCTCTGCACCCCAGGCTGCTCTCCTGAGGATTCAGCCGGGCCGGGGCAGAGGGGCGGGGTGCTGGCGCTGGGCGCGCCCTTCCCGGTCACTCCGCCTGTGGACAGCCGGACCTCACGCCACTGCTTCTTTCGGCCCCTGGCTGACGGGCAGGCTCTCTGCACACGATGACGCTCACCCGTCCTCCAGCAGCCAGGTGGCCTCTGTCTTACTTTCTCTTTTCTGACCAGTCCACTGCTGAGAAATGGAGTTGCCACTGGACTGGGAAAGCAGCAGGAAACATAAACGAAGGACTCAGAATAGTGTTTGCGAACGAGGAGGCAGAGGCCCCATCTTTCTAACAACCTTCAAAAATCCTTTAAGAAACATCGCCAGCAATCAGCATCCTAACGAGGTCATGCTGGACCGCTGGCAACTACCCAGGGGCAGGCGACTGCCGCGCGAGCACAGCACTAGCTTCCACAGGAGCCAGCCCGGGGGCGGGCAAACAGGAGGCCCTGGTCCCAGAGAACGCACAGAGCGCACCAAAGGCAGCAGGAGGGCTGACATGACGTCACAGGAAGTATCCACGCTTCAAAGGGCACTGACGTGGCGTGAGCACAGCAAACTCAGAGAGAAAAGCTGCCTCTCCCGGGTTAGCCCTAGCTCACGAAACAGACTGCGTCACAGCCCCGTGCTCCCAGCACAGTGCCAGCGAGGCTGGAGCGTGCGGGCAGGCGCCCCGGGTCCGCGCTCCTCACTCTGCGGTCAGAAGGGGCCGGCGCTCGGCGAGGGCCTGCGCACGCCCTCCCTGGGTGCGGTGCTGATCGCGGGCTTCAGAGGGTGACGTCCTGGAACGTTCACCACCCAGGAAGCACACAGCCTATTGTCAACGTGCTCTGAACTTCCCCCTTTCCACTGCTGGCATTTAGATTGCTTTTCAATTTTATTTTAAAAATGAAAATGGACAGCTAGAAGCCAAGCTGACTTTTTGGGAGCCCAGTTCTCTGACGGCTCACACACACACAGACATTAGTTAGTGTAGCCGCCGCCATGATCAAGACGCAGAAAACGCCCTCACTACCCTACTGCTCTGCGGTCAGACCTTCCTCCTCCAGCCCTTGGCCCCAGGAATCACTAGACAACTGCTCAGCTTTATAACTTTGTCATTTCAAGAACGTCATGCACATGGAACCAGCACATAACATTTTGGGATTAGCTTCTTTTACTCAGCATAACATTCTCAAGAGCCATCCACGCCGTTCTTTTCCAGTGCTACGTAGTCCTCCACTGTGGGCACACACCGCCCTTTGTCCAGCCGTTCACCACTGAAGGGCACGTGGGCTGTCCCCAGTTTTTGGTGACTATAACTAGAGATGATATAAACATTCACGTACAGGTTTTTGTGTGAACCCAAGTTTTAAATTCACGTGGTTAAATACCTAGGAGTGGGCCCTTAGCCCATTCTGAGCAATGTTATTTATTTTATTGTTCTTATTGATTGTAGAGAGAAGAGAAGGGAATGACAGAGAGGAGAGAAACATCCATGCAAGAGGGAAAACAGCGATCGATCGGCTGCCTCTCACATGCTCCCGGAACAGGGACTGAACCCGCAACCCAGGCCTGCGTGCTGACTGGCCACCGAACCTGCCACCTTTCGGTTTGCAGGCGATGTTCAACCCACTGAACCTCACTGGCTAGGGCTGCTAATGGTTTTATTTTAAATAAAAAATTTAAATTTTAGTTCAAGTATAATTGTAATTTCAATATGAGCACTTCGAGAAACAACTGGTTTATAATGGAAGATAACAGAAGAATGGTTTCATTTTTTTAGAAAAGAGTATTTTTAAAATACATTGGTATATTTTGTAAAAATGAAAATATTCAAAGAAAATATTAAAAATGTATCATGAAAAAGCATCACCAGGATGCTTCAAATGCTATATGAGATCCCACTAGATACCCAGGAAGTAAGGGTGCTGGTCAGGAAAAGATCACCTCCAAGGGAGCAAACGATTCTCGGGCTCAGGCCGTCCCCCCAGGCACCAGGGTCCCCGCGAGCTCTGAGCTCTGGAGGGCCGAGGCCCAGGCAGGGAAAGCACCCGAGTGCCCCGCTGCGCCCAGTTTCCCAGCGGGGCGTGAAAATGGCTCCTCTGGGTGCGGCCCGTGAGGACGTCCCCGGTCGGTGCTGCCTGCGGAGCGCCTGCCACGTGACCAGCAGCCCAGGGCCAGGGCCCGGCCGCGGTGCCGACGGCCTACCTGCTCCAGCTGCTTCTGCACCATGCTCTGCTGCTCTGTCACATGCTTGAGCTGCTCGGCGTCCTCCTCCGGGAACTCGCGCCCGGCCTTCTTGGCGGTGCGCTGCTTGGCAGAGAGCGCCTTCTTGGATTTTCTGTGTGCGCCGATTTGCTCCTCGAGGTACTTCTGCTGCATCTGAAGCAGCTGCTGGGTCTCCTGAAGCCACTCTTCATACTGCTTGCGCTGCGAGTCATCTGAGGAAAAAAACGAAACCTTCACTGCGCTGGGCCTCCACCGAGTCCCCCAAGAGAAGTGACACAAACCCATTTGTAAGGCAGCGCACTTTTACCAGGCCCTTGCGGCAGGTATTTTGAGAGCGCAATTATAAACATTACACCATAATATGGCTATGGAGTAGGAGGTTTCAGAAAAATATTTGAGAGAAGCAAAGAATGCATGTTTTTAGGGCATGAGTTAACCTCATACTTATCAAGACTATAAATCCAATCTTTGAAAAGCAAATGACTTTTATGTAACAGATAAAAACAATCTCCTGATCAAACTGCCAAAACCTCTGTTGTGTTTTAAGTCAGATTGAGAGACTTTGAAGAGACAGAGACAGACACAGCCTATTAAGGTCCTGAGCGCACATTAGGGACCATTTCCTGTGCCAACAAGGTTACAAGGTTCCCCCTATTTCTTAATAACGAAAATAGGCCCTAAGCTGAGAGGGAGGGGACACAAAATGGTTCAGAAAGGACCAATGTGAAGTCTATGTTCTTTTACAAAGGAAGTTTGTAAGTTAAAAGCATTGGGAATTTTTCTGAATTTTTTAATTTGTGCTTCCGTAAGTATGCAAAGACCGGGATTAATTAACCAAGTAAAATCTTTTCTACTTTTATGACTGTCGTGAATATCTCCCCAAAATGATGGCTGTATCTCTTCATCTTGTGCCAACAGCCCTTTACTCTATAAGGGCAGCACTTCACTCCCCTGACACAAAAAAATAAAAATAAAAAAAAGTCATCTCATGTAGCAAAATTCAGAACATACCTTTTGACTCACTATAAGACAAAGAATGAATAAATACCATTCCAAGAAGGACATGAGCTGAAAAATTACATCAATGATATAACAGAATATTGTCATACAGTAAGAATGCACCAAAGCCAGTGGGCATAGGAAAGCCAGAAAAAGCCAGTTGGTTACAGCAGTTTGCTTGTTTTTAATGCGAATGTGTTCAAATCACGATAGTCATTAACGCAGGGTCAATTGAAAGGGCCAGACTCTGGGTTTGTTCCTAAACCCAGAAGCCCCAGCGCACGTATGAACTTGAAATCTAGTCTAAATTTGCAGGGCGTTTCCCAAGAACAGGCTTTTTCACAGGGTTTCAGAAGTTCTGCTTCGGGTAGAATGAGACCTACCGCAAGGAAAGCCTTTCTGGTTTCTGGAACCAGGAGAGCAGAGGTGAGCAAAACGAAAAATAACGGTGAAAAAAAAGTTAGCTAAACAGTCTGAAGATTTCAGAAAGGCTCAGTCTGGGGAGAACTTTACTACTATCCTGAACCACCGCGGGACCCCGGGAGACAATGAGACGGGACGCAGTGGCATCTGCGCAGCTAACCCCGCTGATTTCTAAGCACATTCCCTATGTTTTTCCCATTTAGTGTCCTTGTCACTGAGGCAGACAGTCATTGGAGCAAGAAGAGGTTTAATTCTACAGATTGTAAAGTGCCCGATCTATATATATATATATATAGATAGATATTTTTAAAAAAACAAAAAACAGCAACAACAGTATTGAAGAGAATGGGGAAGATGATTTTCTGTATTAACATATTTATCTAACTACTTCTTCATGCACAGAGGGAGAAAAAAAAAAAAAAGCAATGAAAATACATGCCTCAAGGAAAAGACGCCTAATAAGGTCTCATAAAAGATGAGGGCACTTAGACTGAAAATAACACACCTACACTAACTTCAAATTTTTAGAACACAAATATAGTGCAAACAAGTAATCCCCAGAAAACAGGTAACTTATTAGATTTATACTTACTGACAAAGCCTGGACCAAAATTTGGAGGATTAGGCCTAGAAAGCTGATGTGTTATACTGCCATCCTAAAATAAGTAAAATTTACAAATAGGTTTATTCCACATTTCAGTTAAAGGGGGAAAAAAACTTTAAAAAGAAAAAAGAAATGGAAGGATTAACAAACCCCTTTCATTTCCTAAGACATCTTTAAAACTCTCATTTTAATAAGTAGAATGAATTGAGTGGCAATGACCTATTTTCTGAAAATTTAAATTAAACTCTCTCTCAACTGTTGTATTTTCTAGATTTCAGCTGAAGAACAATTATACTTGAGGTAAGGGTTATCCATCGGAAATACAGTACAGGGCAAGTCAGGTATTGTTCGCAAGTAGCTAGAGATCACATAAAACCCCACTTTCTGATGAAATCTACCTAGTTTCTTTCGCAATTAAGACACAAATATGAGCGCTGGATTGACTAAATTCAACTCTACAGCACAGTTATCCACAGCAAAAAAGGGTGTCCCTATCATGTACAAACACAGCAAATGCACACTCATTAAACATGCGGCTGTGAGGCTGATGCTTTTCCACCGCCTGAGACGGTTTCTCTTCTTTGAAAGGTGAAGAGGGTAGTGCTTAGCGTAACACACCTAAACCACAACCGGCTGGCCAGAAACTAAAATTCCACAAAGACATGCAGCAGGTGGCTCAGCAGGCAGTTTCCTCTTTTGTCCCAGGCAGACAGGTATGAGCTGGGCGGCTCTGCCTCCCCTGACACTGCCTGACACTACTGAAGTGTTCACACTCAAAGCTGATTATGATGAATGGTGAATCGTCCAACAACTAAGTTATTCCAAGGAATAGATAGAAGAACATGACTTTATCTGAATAGAGTGATTATAACCAGTATTTGCTGTAAGTAACATTGTTTTAAAAACAATGAATTAAATCCAAAAATGCAGGACGTGAAAATGTCCTTGTGGAGTTAAAAATAAACGAAAGTAATGCCCAAAACCCTATGCATTTGGTTTCCCTCCATGTGGATTTCTAGCCTCAAACATACAGATCCTTTTCAGAAACTATGGTGAATGGTTCACCTTACTTTGTCTTTCCCTTAAAAATGAATTTAAAAAACCGCTTTGTTTCTGCTGAGCCAATACCTAAGGCTCCCACTGGTGCCAGAAGTGGACTCCCTCTGCAGAAAACGCCAGGTTAGGAGGGACGGGGACAATACCTGTGGAATGGCCTGCGGCAGGAGAGCCTGGCCTTCGCCTGTCTGAGCCCCAGGCAGCGACTGGCCCGGGAAAGGGAACCTGTGAGCAAAGCACAAGACAGCAGGTGACCAGCCTTTAGACCCACAGTTATTTCACATGCTTCACACTGTTCTCTTCCAGGGGAAAAGGAGTAATGTCAACATCTTCGTCACCACGAATGTCAGCTGACACCGTCTGTGTGTGCTGACCACACTTAGCCCCACCTCCACCCTCTATAAAGCGTAGACTCTTCCGACTTCAGAGGGAAGGAAGCGTCCGAGAGGTCACATCGCGTCCCCCACAGTGACGCGCGGGCTGTGATAAGCCAGCTAGGCCGCGCCAGGGTTGTTTCTCTATCAGACCCAGCGCCACTACACCTTAGCCTACAATGAATTCAGGTCTCTTGAATAAAAAGAAAAAAACCAAGTGAAGAGAGTTTTATTACATGCATTCTAAGAAGATTATTTCTTCCAACCTCTATTTTAAAAACTGCCTTTTCTGAACTAAAACCATAAAATAAAAAATAATTGGAAAGTGAGCTACTTTGTATTCTAAATAAAGGTGTATCTCTCAAGAAGTTTCACACATTGTGGTACACTTTGGTACATCTAATGTTAAAGTAAATTAAAAATCAGTCTCTGAACAATAAATAAAAAGTCTATGTGGGTGAAAGTATTGGGCCGCCGGGTGGGTGCCGAGGACCCTGCCTGCAGCCTAGGGCGCAGGGACACGCTCCCCTCCGCGCCCTGCCTCCCCGCAGCCTCCCGCTGCCCTGAGGGAAGGCTGCTGCCCCCGCCGCCGCCGCTGCCGCCACTGCCTCAGAGCACCCAGCAGAACAGCAGACCCGAGGCCTGCACGTGACTGACACACGGTCCCTCTCCAGTTCGCAGGGTATGATGCTGAACCAGCGGGGGCTCTAATTCCAAGGCCCATCTTTTAAACTAGGTGCTACACCAAGTTTAGCCTAACTGCCTTCTATTTTGCCTTTAGACAGCAAACTACAGTATTAGCGGTGCCATGACTTTGTCATCACTCTCATGACAAAAGCTGTTGCACACACCTAATAGGGCCCATTCAGTTTCATTACTACTTTGCAGTTATAGTAATTATTCAAGCTGCTACTGAATTTGTTAATGCATCAAAAAGCACATATACTGTAAGTTTTAGATTCAAATAACTACATTTCAAATCTATGTCCTTCGTAACACTGCTTTTGGCTTTGCATAGTCAACGTCCTGAAGGCGAAGGCCTCGCTGGAGGCCCGGAGGGTCCCACGAGGAAGCGGCCCTGCGCAGGCAGAGCGGGGCTGAGGAGCGCGGTGGGGCGGGGCAGGGCAGGCCGCTGCACCCCCAGCCACGTGTCAGACCCGCTTCCACGCTGTCTCAGCGGGCGAACTGAACCTTTACGAGCCGCTCATTTAAATGAAGTCTCATGGTTATTAAAGTTACGTGGGTTTTTAATTTCTTCTAAATTTTGAAAGAGTACATTTATTAAAGCTGGGGACAGTGAAACAAGAAGAGCTTGGGGTAGAAGTAGCAACAGCAGGGCCTTGGGGACAGGGTGAGGGTGTGAGCCTGGGAGCCACTGCCGCTGCCCACCGCTCCCCTGGCTGCAGGCCTCCGGAGGACCCCTAGGGTTTGGGAGATGCGGGGCTGTGGGGGGCGTGGGGGGAGGGGGAGTGGAAGATGCGGGCGAGCTCCCAGGAGGGCGAGCACCTCATCCGTGCAGCCTTCATGTTCCGTTCCATAATCATCCCTTCTATAAAAAGTTTTCAACAAGCGAACGAGGCTCAACTGAGGCTCTATCCCTCCTAGTGGCAGAGGCTGTTGAACAGGAATCTACGTGAGAACCATTGGCACGCTTGCTAAAAACGGACGGACCAGCACCAACAGCAGACAGTCTGATTCGGCAGGTCTGTGTCGCAGTAAATGAAAGTGCGTTTAAAAAAACCCAGCCTCCCACATTAATTCGGATGGTGGTCTATGATCTAAGCCGAGGATACTGCCCCCGGGGGGGCATAACTACTGGGACTCTAGGAATTCATACGGCCAAACAACTCACACTCTTCTTTAATGTGGAATTTCCTTCTTTATGCTCGCAGTGAAAAGGTGCACAAATTCTCCAACTGCTAACTTTCAAATGCCCTCTTCCCCTCTTCACATTTTTTTCTTACTCAAATTTCGTTTATGGGCATTTATTTTAGAGCCTTACTCACTATCTTTACTGAAATGTTCCACATTTTTCTCTGCGTTTTTCCTTTGACGAAATAAAAAAAAAAAAAAAATCACAGGTTTAAATAAACTATCATCTTAACAGAAGAGTGTTAAAAACATTTTAAAAACACACTGGATGTCCTGATTAATCAGGTCAGTCTCCCACACCTTCCCTACGACATTCATTGCGTTCACCCTGACACTAACGGAAGCCCAATCCTCACACGCGGTCACATCAGCTGGCAGCACAACCATCGTTAAGGGCCGTTCATTCCTGCAACACGAGGGGGGACCAAAACACCCTGGAATTTATAGAAATTGTGCATTGCTTCTTACATGGTTCAGCTTCAGTCACCTTCAAAGTACCCTCCCCATTTGATGCAATACACCTCTTGAGACTTAATTACACTGCTCAAAAGAGTCTTTGAAACTTATCGACTTTGGTGTCTTTTACCGCTTCTGCCATTTTTTGTTTTGCCTCTTCCACATCAGCAAAATATTTCCCTTTCAGGACTTTTTTCACTCAGGGAAACAAAGCCGCTTGGGGCGAGATCTGGTGCATGGGGAGGGCGGGGCACAGGGGTCCCGTCCTTTTTGGTCAAAAGCTGCTGAGGACTGAGCGTGGTGTGGACAGGTGCACTGTAGACCACCCATCATGACATGGCCAAACGCGCTGACAGTCTTCAAAAAAATTTCACTGAAGCTGAACGCAGCCCCTCCCAACAACGCCCGGTGGCCCACTGGTGCAGACGGGTTCCTGGAGCATCCACCTCGTGGGGGAAGCCTGTCCCACATGGGGCCCGCCCCCCAGAAGACAATTCCAGTTTCTTTTGGGTCCCCCTCATATAAGTTTTTGAGTTACTCTATGTTCTTTGTAGGAACCAGTAATAATTTCACGCACTACTTCATACAAAGGCAGAACAAAGGACAGGACACCCTCACCTACCTGCTCATAGCCATTGGTGGCATGCCCATATTGTTCTGCGCCATGACTTTATTGATGCCTTTAAGGGCCACCATTTTGGCTTTCATTATTGGATCTGTAATTGCGTCAAAATCTAAAGAAGAAATATATTTTAAAGTTATTTGTTTCGTAGTACTCGGTTCAAGTTACACTTAGAGGTAATGTAAGTATCACAAACATTATACAGTTTCTAGACCCTCCACTATTATTTAATAACTGCTATTACAGAGTTCTCGACCAGGCAAGGAACGATGTGACCCTAAGAACGTGGGCCTGGCCTCGATGCACGTCAGGGATCCATAACTGAAGCAGGCTTTCCTGCCTTAGCCCCGCAAGAATGCGAACAGGAAGCTCGTCGAAGACAAGGGAAATGCAGCAATAGTCTAAAGCGGTGGAATTCCTTTTCATCCAAACTTTCACATGCTAACAATCAGAACTGCTTCTTCAGTTATGTTAACATGCTGAAAACTTGCAGTTATTTCTAAAACTAAGGAATTCCACTAAATTAGTTATCACCCTTTAGGAGAAAAAGATACAAATTTCTTGAGGACATACCCTGGCAGCAAGGGTAGGTGAGAAAAGACCTCTGGCGTGTAAGCGAAACAGAAACGGCCCCTGTGACGCCAGGGGTGACGTGCGGAGAGCGGAACGCTGCCGCTGCTGTCGGGAGAAAGCGCCCGCAGACCGGTGTCCTCGGACGGCGAACTCTGACTATCAGAGGCACTCAGGCAATTTTGCTGCATTGCCATTTTGTGGGGGGTTTGCCCCCAAAATTCATAAGCTACTGGAAGTAAGTTAAGTAGCTTTATATAACAAAAACCTGCCGAGCACTTGTACACAAATGGAATTAAGAAGTTTAATTCCATCGTAATTTCTTTAAACACACGGCCTCTGAATACACACGGCAGCAACGGCCAGCAGGACAGACCTGGGAAGCAGCCTCGAGGGCCAAAGAGCTCGGGGCTGCCGAGCCGCTGCCATTCTAAACTTGCAGGCGGAACGGGAGCACGACCCCTGCTGCTCTGGCCCCTGAAACCGAACCCTGAGGCCTCACGGCACACGCCCACCACCCCAAGGCCCGCGGCGACCACGTCCGAAGTGCAAGGCGCTCCTACCGATGTTGGGGAAGAAGGGCTCCGACCGCTGCCGGATCATGGCCTGCATCTGCCTCTGCTGCTGCTGCTCCTGCCTCTCTTGGTCCAGCAGGTCCTGCAGCAGGAGCGGCTGCTCCTCCAGGAGCAGGGGCCTCTCTCTGCCCTGCTGGGCCAGCGCTGGGGGGGCCATCAGCGGCTGCGGCCCAGGCTGGCTCGGATGAGGCATGGTTTGGTTTGCAGGTGTCCCTGTCCCGAAACCGTGGGTGGCTGCGGACGGGCCCTGAAGGAACCCTGGATTTACCTGCGCGCCCGGGGGGAAGGCATGGCCTGCCCGCGGGCCCGCTGTCATGCTGGCGTTCATGGCACTCTCCAGAACAGGGCCAGGCGGCGTCAGGAGAGGCGGCGGCAAACTGGACACATGACCAGAGGGCGAGGCTGGCAGGGTTGGTGGTGGAGACCCCAACGGCCGCAGGTCTGAGTTATCCGGTTTTTCGTTAGCAAGTAAACTAGAAAGGACAGGCGCCGCCCCAGTTGCGCCGCAAGAATTGACTGCGTCTTCAGCAGGCAACGGAGGGGGCCCCTGGGCGCCGCCGGCGACGCAGGCCGCAGACTCACGCTGAGGCCTTCTGTCCGGGGGCTCGGCTTCACGGGGCTGCGGAGGAGCCGCATCCGCCCCGTCGCCGCCCTCTGGGGGGGCGGCAGCCTGGGAGCAGGGCGTGTCACCGTGGCCTTTACCCTCCTCGCTGTTGTCACCTTCACATTTGGCTTCCCCTTTAGAAGGTGGGGACGGGACTTCTGTCTTGATGTCGCTGGCAGCGGTGGATTTTCTCCATGGAGAAGGTTTATCAGGAGGCCCCCCAGTTTCATCTTTCTGCTCCTTTTTTTTTGGTTCAGTAGATACACACTGACTGTCTAACTTGTCCTCCACTGGGACGTTCAGGTCGAGTTCCTCGTTGAACATGCTTTTCTTATCTCCGAGGTCCAGCTCTGGGTCTGTATATGCAATGATATCGAATTCTCCCGACCGCAAGAGGTCATCCAGGTTGGGATCGTTCGTCTCTAAGTTCCCTAAAGTATCCAATTCATCGCCCTTGCCGTCCTCTGCATCTAGATTTAAGTTTTCAAGATCTTCATCATCCAAGTCTTTGACTTCAACCCCCTCAAGGTCTTTAACATCTAGTTCTTTTACAGATGGGTCATCAGAATCAAGTTTTTCTTCAAGACCATCCGCAGGCTGGGCAGGTGCCTGTAAATGATCAGATGGTGTTTCAGCTGGTGTCGACGCTGACAAAGGAGTCTCTGAAAATTCGCCACCTAAGGGCTGACCCAGCGACCTCATGACCAGAGATGAGTGGACAGGATGCCCCTGCTCCGGGCGAGGCGGCGGCACCTGGTCCAGACTGGGATGCACAGGTGGCGGATGAGGTAGACCTTGGGGAGGCCGTCTCAGGGTGTCAGCGTGCCGGGGGCCTGCCAGGTCCGGCCGGGGCAGGAAGGCCCCATGCCTCGGGGGCGGGGGGCCCTCTAGTGCGCCGCCAGGAGGAGCAGCGAAGGGCAGCCGAGGCCTCCCCTCGGGGGCCCTGTGTCTCAGCTCAATGAACGCCTGGCCCAGGATGTTATGCTGCTGGACAGGCAGGCTCTGCGGAGGGAAGTGCTGTGCAAGCCCAACCGGACTGCCCATCTGCGGGGTGGCCACGGGCCTGGGCACATCCACGGACATCGACCTTCTCAGCTGCGGGGGGCCTGCAGGGCCTGGCATCTGCTGAGGCGGCACGAGGAAGCGCTCCTGCCCGGACAGCGGGGCGTGACCGCCTCCTGGGAACCCAAACCTAGGAGGCGAAAAGGCGGGTGGTTAATATTACGCGTTTGACTGCACTTAATATTAACTTGAGAAAAGGAAAAGTTTTAGATTAAACTCAGATACAAGTGTTGCTAAATACAATGACTTAGCAAAGACAAAAACAATCATGATTAGAGAGCACTTGTAATGGGCCCCGTATCAGCTCTCAAGACACATGTGTGCCAGGTAACAAATGAAGGCACAGGAGCAGTGACCACGCAGGTGGAATCGACCATCCGGAAACAGGCATAACACTGTTGGAGCTGGCGTGAGTCTGTCTCTCTTTTCTACAGTCAGGGAGGGTCTATGGAGGAGGCCGGAATGAAGGCAGGTGGTCTTACAAATGGTTCTAAAGAGTCTGACAGGCCTCTGTACAGAGGAGACGAAGTGGAGCCTGAGGACTGGACAGACTGACCCGTTTGCTTGAAAGGGAGGAAGGCGGGAGGTAGTAAGAGACAAAGACCAATAGGTATTAACTGTAAAGATTCAGCAAATGAATAAAGTATAAGACTGCCTTAGTATTTATATAGTACCTCATTCTAGAGAGAAGTAAAGGCAGTTTATAAATAAGCATGAAAACAGAGCAGCCATAAGTTAAAATTGAGGAGGAAAAAGGAAAATAAGGGTAAGACAATTGACACAGAGGTGGCTCTGGACTGAAAGTGTGTCCGCCAAACCTAGAAGAGCATCTTAACTCGCTCCTCGGCACACCTGGGCGCATGTCAGGCTTTCACCTTTCCACTCGCCACTTCAAAACAGAACAAAACACCCGTTAACTTTACAACGCTATCTCCTCACAAAGAGCTCCCGGAGGAGAGCATGCTCTCGCTGTGGGAATCTCCGCGGTGTCCACAGTGCGGACTGAAACCGGAAGCTGGAGGAGAACCCGCATGCCTCCTGGCACGGGGCGCTGCGACCGGGTGCGGTGGTTCCTCTCAGAGCGCCCGGGGGCGGCTGTGATGCAGCCCTAACACAGTCAATGCCTAACAACCGAAGGGGCGTTCAGGGGCTTCAGAGTTGTTACAGATAAAACAATCCAAAATTTTAAATTACTTGAGAAAATCACTGGCAAGAAGCCCAGCTGCGGAACCGGCGAGGTCCGGGGCAGGACACGGCCGAGACCGGCCCCGGCCCTGCGGGCAGTCAGGGCGAAGCCGCTTCGGGGCCCACGTGTGGTCGGTCGGGTGCTAAACCCTCCAAGGACGGCGCCCAGCGTGCTGCACTGGCCGAGACCTATCTATGGTTCACTTTTATTTCTGTGTAATTCATTCTAGTCCTTCCTGACCTCAGCTTCCACAAGTCTGGACTATTCTCAAACAAACAAAACTCTTCTTTCTAAGGGTAACAAGAGAAAATGAAGTAATTTCCAGAAAGAAAAAAAATGTTTAAATGAAAATAGTGTGTTTTTTCCTGCCATAAAATATGATTCAACTAAAAAAAGAAAACAAAAAAACAAACCACCAAGCAACATAAAAATATACAATATAAAACATCACCTTAAAATTTTCTGGTAACCACTGTTAACCTGGTCGGATATCATTCAAGACATTTACCTACGAATTTATGTAGTTGTACACATATGAAATTGTTTATAATCTATTTTTCCAGCTAAGCCAAAAAGATCTTTTGTATCAATCATGAAAGCACAACGTTTTTCACAGCGGTTCTGTACTCTACAATATAGATATATCATAACATATTTAACTATTTGAGTCTTATGCCTCTCTACCTCTAAGATGAGTATAACTGAACCAATGCAAAGATTTGATGAGATAAATCCCCCAAGTGCATAGAACAGTGCTTTACACAAAGTAAACACTAAATAAATATTAGCCATCACGATTATTTACTATTATTGCAGATGGAGATTTAGGTAATTTCTACCTTTTTTTGACTGTTTAATAACCAATGGTTAAAAGAATAACTTTGGATGTTTCTTTGTGCCTATAAATTCCTATTAAGTGAACCCTTCTGTAAGTCAAAGGTATTGCTGAGCTGTCTGTGGTTGAGCCAACCGACATGTCCATAAACTTGACTGTTACCTATTTTTCTGATGATCAATCTTTAAGTATTTTCCAATCTCAACAAAAACTTGGTGTTTTTAAAAAATCCATGACCTCGTGCCCTGGCTGGTGTGGCTCAGTGGACTGAGCGCCAGCCTGTGAATGGAAAGGTCGCTGGTTCGATTCCCAGTCAGGGCGCAGGCCTGGTTGCAAGCCAGGTCCCCAGCTGGGGGCATGCAACCCACAGATGTTTTGTTCCCTCTCTTTCTCCCTCCTTCCCCTCTCTAAAAATAAATAAGTAGATTTAAAAAAAACAAACAAACTAAAAACCCATGACCTCGCATCCATCAGAGGAGATACCAGTGGTCACATCTCTGCGGGATGAAGTAAAAAGCAGCGACAACCTATCGGGAGCGACTGCATTTGTCTAGTCCCTCCTTCGAATCGCAATCTAAGCGCTTTAAGCCCGGCGTGGAAGGAAAGGCATTACCTGAATCCATGAGGTCGCATCCCCATACCAGTAACATCAGGGGTGTAGGGTCCACGCGGATCTTTTGGGAAGACAGGGTACCTCGGCCCCAGCGCAGGGATGACGGCCGACCGGAGGCCCCCAGGGTAGGGGGGCGGGGGCCTGCTGAAAGCGGGGCTGTTGCCCTCGGGCTGCCAGCGCTGCAGGGGAGGCGGCGCAGCGGCCGGGCCCGGCGGCCCCTTCTCCTGCCGACCTGCCATCTTCTTCTGCTGCTGCTGCTGCAGAATCATTTCACGCAACTTCTGCCGCTGGAGGAAAGAAGCGAAAGTCACTGGGATTTCTGGTAACTGATGGCTTTCTAAACCCTCGTGCTTCCGATATGTGACTATGGTAACGTTTAAAAAGTCTTAGGTTTTAAAGTTTGATGAAGCACTAGTTACACTTAACTATTCAATAGATTATAACACATAAATTGATCATTTGGGGTCTTTTCCTTGCCCGACGACTATCACAAAATTGAAAGCTCTCCTACTGAAGAAGTCCCCTAAAAATCCATAAATACTGAAAGTAGATTTGTAATAAATCCAACTGAACTGGTGTTAATTTTACAACTTTCATTTTTCTTGTTTGTAGTCTTACAAATTACATAGAAGATACACTTTTACATTTGTGTAGAAATTACTCAGTTTGATGAAATGATTAACTTTCTCAAATAACCCAAGCAGCGTATCTGAAAACACACGATGTGCTCACCTGTCTCAGCTTCTCTGTGTCCGCCTGAGACATGTTGACGGTGCCCTGGGTCTCGGCGGCCCCTGAGGCTGGTGTGGGGCCAGGAAGCTGGGAGACACTGGGAAACTGTGGGCCTTGAGAGTTCATGGGGGCATTGGGAGGGGCACTGAAGTTCCCCTCGGACCCGGGCCGAGGCTGGTCAGCAGTATCAGGAGCAACTGGACTTGTCCCGAAAGCGTCAGCCTGAGACCTTGGAGTCATGGGGGGCTGGTCATAGGGGTCCCGAGCAGCAGAGGGGGAGACGCGGCTGAAGGCGTCCGCCAGGCCCGGTCCAGGCGGCCCGGGTGTTTGGGAACAGGTATCGGGTGGCCTCCCCGCTGGGCCAGGTAAAGCCACGCCCCGGCTCTGCGCTGCCTGCAGGAATGCATCCTGACTTGACATGAGGACAGGTCTTGTCATTGACGACCGAGTAAAACCCTCGGAAACCCTTGGCCTTGGGGTTGCTGGTGGCTGAGAGTAAAAAACAGAAACTCCGGGTCTTGGTGTTCCAGGAGGATGAGCGTATGGGTCAGGGTGCCTCTGACTGGTTGCAGGCGCGACGAACAAGTCTGCCTGGGTCGGTGGCCTCGGGGTCGGCGGCTGCTGACTGTAAGGGTCAATCGTGGGGGGTCGGGGGGTGCCAGGGGGCTGAGAATAAGGGTCTGGGTTGGAGCGAGGTGGTCCTGAGGGCTGAGAGTACGGGTCCTGAGACGTCGGCCTCGACGTGGCTCCGGGCGGGGGAAAGGCCCTGGAGGGGTGGGCAAAAGCCTCGGCCATGGCCGGGTGCGGGGCGAGGGGCGGCTGGCCGTACGGGTCGCTGGACTGGCTCGGAGAGAAGCTGTCCGCGGGCCTGGGCGTCAGGGCAGGCCTGTCGTAAGGGTCCACGGGCAGGCGCCTAGGTGCCTGCGTGCCAGGCCCGTAGGGGTCCTGAGAGGGCGGAGGAGGCTGCATCGGAGTCTTAAAAGGCCCAGGACCACTATCCAGAGGTGCGGGCGTCAGCAAGGGCCGTGCGTACGGGTCAGGGATCCGCTGCCTTTGAAACGCGTCTGTCCGCGGAGATGGCTTCGTGAAGGGGTCGTTGGGGGCAGCTGCCAGAGGACCTTTGGCGGTTTGCTCTGAGACGACTGGAGGGTGGGGCAGGCCCAGGGGCTTGGGGCCCGGTTCTGCCGCCACCGGCCGGGGCGTGTCCGGAGGCTTTGCATAGGGGTCGCTACTTGTCGAGGAGGAGGAAGAACCGCACTCTCTGATGGGGGACGGCCGCCTGGCTGTGTTCTCGCCCACCTGAGCGGGCCTCGGTCCTGAGGACAGAGATGCACAGCTTTCCACCGGGCCCGCAGCAGTTCTTCTGGAAAAGCCATGGCCCCCCGGAAGCGGCCTTGGGGTACCAACCATTTTCGCATAAGGGTCCGCTGGAGACGGCGGTCGGGAGTTGGGGGGGCCAGGCGGGAACACCTGCGGGGAGGGCGGCTGGGCGGGCGGCAGGCTCTCCTGGAGAGGGGCCCGGGACGGGGTGGCGGGAGGAGGCGGGGCCTGTGGCTTCACAAAGACGTCATCGGCCGACGCAGACGTGGGGGTGCCGGGGAGCGGTTTTGTAAACAGGTCTTTATGGAATGACTGTGCAGGAGACAAGCTTCCGCTGCCGGGCTGAGGGGTGGAGGGGCTCTGCATCCCGCTGCTCGGCGTGTCTGAGCCGGACGGCACCGGCAGAGGCTGCGACCCCGACTGCTGCAGCTGCTGCTGCTCGCTCTTCACCTGCTCGAGCTTCTGGGAGGCTTCGATCTTCGCCTGCTGCTTACTCTTCTGGCGCATTTGCTGTTGAATTTGGGAAGAGGAAGCAATCGTGTGGTTAAGGAAGAACGTAAGTGTCACAGGGACAGGCTGCTGGCTCTCTCGAAGTTAATTCTTAGCTCTGTTGAGAACGCACGCGTCTGAGGCTGCCCGCCCTACCGGGGCACACCCATGCCCGAGCCGGACGCCCCTGTGCAGGAGGCGGCATCTCTGCGTCCTGCTTGGCTCATGCCCAGCACCTCTGCCAACGTCTCACAGCAACTTAGGGATGTTCTACTGAGAAAGGAAAGTCTGTTTCTAAATAAATGTTTATGTTCTAATAAGCCCATATCCTGAGATGACATAAACAGCTCTCTTCAAGCAAAAATGCAATTTAAAAAAAGCCGCTTCTCACACACCACAAAGCCCCACACACCTGTCGGAACTTCCACTCCTGCTCGTGCTCCGACTCCCGCTGCTTCAGAGGGTCCTTGAAGAGCTCCGAGTCTGCCCGAGAGCCAGGGTCCGCGCTGTCCTGGTGCTGCTGCCGCCGCAGGGAGTCATTTGACATCTGCACTTTGTTAATGCGCAAGGCAGCTCTGTTGTCTCTGGCTTTTTGCTTTGAAAACAGGGTAAGAAAATTATCTCCAAGTACACACTAACAAGTTTTAAGAAATAAAAATAAAACAAAACTACATTGAGCTTCATCATATAAAAGCAAGAAAAGGCTGCATGGAGTAAGGCAGAGCCCTTCGGCCCTCACAGCCCGTGCGCGGAAGGACGCGGGCACCGCCCCTCCCGCTCCCTCCTGCCGCGAGTCACCGTCTGTCTGCATGGGGCTGGAGACCCGGATCATCTGGTGTTTGCGACCCTAATTTTCCCAACAGACCCTTCAAAACGGGAGGAATCTACAATTCGCTCAATTTAGAGAAAAGAAAAATACCACAGTGACCCTCCAAATCTACAATCTGGAACTTGAAGCCTAACACCAAGAACACTATCTCGAGCTTGTCACTACTTCCCACGGTGAAGGTAAAACAAAAGTGTTGTCGACATGTCCAAAATGATTTCTCCTGCGTTCAAACAGTTACTGTTACTGACAGTATGTGTGCAGAAGATCAAGTTGGAAAATAGCTGTGTATGTTTTTTCAAAACAATAATATCAATTTAATATGCTTTAAAATGAAAGCAAGGACTTGGGTCCAATTGACAATCTTAATTTGGCCTTTTGGGAAATAATTCATCATCAGAACTATGAATCTAATTACTTCCTGAATGATTCTTCGCGAAGTGTGTATTTCAAATGCTCCATAAAGGTGTCTAGATATGTCTCTTTCAAGTTACAGGACAATTTTCTACTGAACTCTATACAAAAGTAGCTATTGTGTCAGAAAACAATGGCACATGAATGCAATCTCACAAGTGCTCTTCTGAAGAGAGAAAACAATTTTGAAGTGAAATGAATTAAACATGTTCCTAAAATAACTGACTTCAATCTTCAACATCCTGGATCTGTTAATATAAAAATGCCACACTTCATATTCAGACATAAAGATTTAGGAAATCACTATGAAAACAAAGCTGTTTGTCAGATGTACAAGTACTAACATATGCTTCTGCAATGCGAAATCTTTTTATTAACCTAAGACAATAAAAGTACAGCACAGGTATTATATTCCGAGACAACGCATAGGACTTTTTAGGTAAATACCACGTATGGCGCTCTTTCCTGTGAACTTGCTTTTCTCCACAACTTAGCAATCTGTTTCACTCTGGTGGTCCAGTCTGCAACGAAAGGAAATGGCGCGCACGTTTCAGAGTCCAGTGGGGACGTGGCCCAGGGCAAAGGCCGAGGGACTGCTGACACCTGAACTCCCCTTGGCTGGGTTTTCACAACCAAGGGGCCCTGTGCCACGATCTCTGTGCAGTGCAAAGTTCATGAACACAGCTGGTTAACGAAATACTTTCTGAGTAAAGTGTGTGTTGCCTTAGTAACAATCTCGTGATAGAAGTAGGATGTTTTTAAACCAAAGGGGCTAGGCAGCCAAGATAAATTTAAGCCAAACACAGGGTCCGGCACAAATAATGCCCCTTTTTAATGACAAATTTTTATTACAAAATCATAAGCACATCATTCTGTAACGTAACAATATCACACTCAAGCGCACCATAGGACATTTTAGGCGAAACATTTGCATTAAAACTATAAATTATCACACCCATATTATTACCCTACCAGCCACACTCAAGCAGGCCTTCCTTCTGCTGGACTCTGTACAAGAAGTTCCCTCAACCAAAGCTGTTATCAGAACCAAAGCTAAAAGTTTTGTAAGACATCGTCCTCAAGAGGAGTCTGTCCTTTGGACCAAAAGGAAGTCAGTGTTATTGTAGATAAGAATCTCACAGACGTGGAGAAGTGACACTTTCAAGCCATTTCTATGCAATTCAGCATCAGGACAATATAAGCGAAGTTTGGGTGAGATGAGCAGTTAGCAGTTAAGGCACAAACAATTAAAATTGAGTCCACTTTAAAAGGAAGGAGGGAGGGAAGGAGGAAGAGAGGAGAAAGGCCAGTGGTAAAAGATCTCAGCTGACAGGCCAGCAGCGTTGAGATGCTACTTCATGGGGGTCTAGAATCTCACAGGGAAGTCGTTGGAAAAAATTAGGTGCCTGAAAAACAAACTTGCCCTCTACTCTACGGACAACTGGCACCGATGGCAAGTGCCTCGGTCCAGCCAGGCGTGGTGCAGGCAGAGGACACCTGTGGGCACTGTGTGGACAGAACCCTGCGGAGGCTGCACCGAAAACGCCCCTAACAGAGCGGGGCCACCCAAGTGCAGGTGCCTGGCGGCTTGGCCTCAGCGTGGCAAAGTGGCACCCGCACACAGCACCCTCCCCGCAGCGTGGCGTCACCCCAGGGCTCGCCCCGGTCAGGCACGATGTCCAGAAAGGCTGCCATTGTGTCGCCTGCTCTCTCCATGCACTCAGACTGGACGCAGGGAAAGAGACTGTACCTGAGTTAGTTCTGAGGGGGCGGGACTTAAGAACTGAGCCCGATGTCATCTAACAGTATTTTTTACTCTGTTCCAGGAAAATTTTTGTAGTTACGCCTATAACACAGCACTGACTTCCACATATTTATAAAGTCTCTAGGAGCTGGAAAGCAGATCATTTCATGCATTGCAATTAGCTTCTGGGGAACAGGCCAATGGGCCCAGGGCCTAGGACCAAGGAAATGGAGATGTTGCCAGAGATTCGGGGAAACGTTGCGTTGCGCACAGTCATCCTAGACGAAAACCCACGCCGCGAGGCCAGCCCTCTGCGGCGGGCCCCAGACCCGCCCCGCCAGGACTCACCGGGGAACTCGTCCTTGAGGCTGGGGAAGTTGACGTTGGTGTACAGCACGGGCGCCACGGTGGCCATCGCACCCAGGGCCTCTTCCTTCTCCCACTTGAGGGTGCTCCTCTGGGCATTGGACAGGGTGTCGCTCTCCCCTTCCACAGGGGGCGCTGCCGAGCCCCAAGAGCTGGTGGGGTCACTCACCATTGGATTAAATGCTCCGTTTTTATCTCTGGCAAACAACACACAACATTAGTTCATAAACACAAAGCAGCTTTCAAGTAGGATCTCATTAAAACCTATTATTACAAAATAGCTAAAATGTTTGATGATTTTTAGCAAAGACCATGACCAACGTAACGTAAGTCAACATCATGCACAGAAACGGACTAACACCTCCGTCACGAAGGTCACTTCCCTTCCCACAGAGGTGAGGCGCGGAGTACCTGGCGTCGGGGTAAGGGGACTGAGGCATGGCGGAGAACGCTCCCAGGCCGCTTCCAGGAGGCAGAGGGTTATGTGGGAGGTGAGGGCCGGGTCCAATGAGGCCATTCATGAGAGGCATCCGTGAAAAAACATCTTAGAAGAAAATAGTAATTCAGTTTGCATACTGTTCGTAAATACTAAAAAAGCAACAGAAATACTTCTAAATAAAAACTGGCAATATGCTATTTAATAAAGTCGGGGGTTTTTCCCCTCAATATTATTCTGCAAAGCAGTGCTTAAAGAGTGAGTGGGCATACATTTTTAAAATCTGGCCTCTGTGGTTCTGTCTCCTTTGTCACAGTACAGAGGCAACAGCTTGTGTTAGGGGTCTGACGCCCTGGGCTTGCGGGTGAACTGCTACTAGTCAAAGGCAGAGCCAACCACGTCCTCTGTGAAAGGAAGGTGCTCCATCCTGCGGGCGATGTGGCGGGTGGCGGGCGCCGGGTCCCGGCACGGCACCATTGTGCAGGAGCTGCTCAGTGTGTACTGGCGCTACACAGAGAACACATCTAGGAAGTCTTATCGAATACTCTTAGTCTTCTTCATCCACAACTTACAAACAGACATTCTTCTATTTTACTCTTATTCCTATTAGCACAAAAAACCCTGTGATTCTTAAATTGGCACTTTTTCGAAAATAGTTTCCAAGATCAAATGGATCATTACCGCTAAAAATACACTGATTCTGGTTTTGGCCTAATTTTCATTACTTGCAGTTCCGGCCCAAGTACATTTTCGCTCTCATTCCAGATTATTCACAAGCTTCCAGTATCTTATCCTCTTCCTTCTAAGCAGACATGAGGCAAACCCCAACGAGACCTGGTGTTTCCCTGTTACTGTCCTCAAGCAGGGCAGGGGACTCCGGCCCTACCTGCGACTGTCTGCTGTCCTGAGCTAAGTAGTTTTCCAGTACCAGAAATGACGACCCCTTTTCTCCGCGCCCCCTCCAGAAGGCCTCTCAATTTGGTGTCAGCCTCTCAAGCACTGATCTCACGGCCTCTGTCGGCCTGACACTCAGCCCTCGGAAGACCCACGTTCTCATCGCCAACAATTATACCCCTGGAAGCACAGTTACCGTGTGACTAGCACTCAGCACCCTTGGTAGAACGAGTGTGAACCCTGAACCTGAGGACGTGGTCATACCATTAAAAGAAAAAACCACCCAGCGCAGCGTCTCGCCCACAGAACGTCTCTCACTGCATAACATGCCTTCACGAAGCCCCAACTAAGGCGCACAGGACTCCAGGCCCCGCCGGCCGCTGGCGGGTCCCAGGGTTTTGTCTCAGAAACTTCCAGGTCAGTGCTCATCCTGCCCAACGACAGAGCCGGGCCCACTGATCAGGACTCCACAAGCGTCTCGAGACACTTAAATTCACTCCAAGGTTAGATTAAGCAAAATTTAAGAGAGACCATGCTGGCTCAATTGTCAGCTTCCGTGAAAAGCAGGCTCCATTAAGGAATGAGATTTTATTGATAAACACCCAACATCTTTAATGTGCTTGGGGCAAGCAAAAGCATCTTGCTGGCAATGAGAACGCGGTCCGCCCGCCACCTCTCCATCAGCACTGACTACTGCGAGCACAACGCAGCCTCTCGCGATGAGGAGAACTCTACGGCTTCCTAAGTCCTTGGCGTCACGGCAAGCGCCGCTGTGAAAGTGTTGTGTGCGTGCGCTGCTCGAGCCTCACAACCGCCCTATGAAATGGATTATTACACTTTGCTCACTTACACAGAGAGACCCTCCAAAGTTACAGTACCTTGTTCAAGGACACATAGTCAAGGCAGAGCATTTATTGTGTTGTAATTATTCTAATTAAGAGGTAGTCTCCCCACCCCCTCCCCAAGTGTACCATACCTACTCCACCTGGCATTGCTAGTTTATGAAAGCAAACTTTCTTCAAGACACACATGGCGAGAATTGAGGACTGCGTAACGTCAACCGAAAGTGATTTCAACTCCCGCCATCTCAGTCGGGATGCTCCCCGGCCCCGATTCCTGGCCTCCAGCGTCCCGCCAACGCGGTGCCCCGCGGCTCCGCGGCACCCCTCGCCCCACGCGGACTCTGCCAGCGAGCTGCCGCCGCTGCCGCCCCCGCCCGCGGAGCGCCTCTCAGCACACGCCCCGCTTCACAGCGGCTTCTGAGAGCCCACACCTGTCATTCGACATCTCGCTCTCTCACTGTTTCGTTTTCCCCTAACCCTCGAAGAGCAGAAAGAAACACGTACCTGCATGTCTGACATAATCGGACAAGTTAAGCATGTAACTCATCCCGTTTACTTCTTCAAAAGTCCCCAGCCCTCTGACAGCGCTCGCTCGCCCTCCCATGACTTTGGATCCCCCTTCCCATGGGCACTAGGGATGGCTCCCCCAGGGCCGAGGCACCGCCTGGTCCCAACCGCGGTAAGCTCCTCAGTGCGGGTCTCCTCCCACGTTCTCACCCGAGTGGAGCTGCCCAACAAGCAACGCAGGCAGCCCAGGGCGCTCAGAGGCGCGAGGGAGGGGCGGCCGCTGGCCCTGCCCGCTCTCACAGGGCGCCCGCCCCAGCCCCACCTCCTGGAACACTGCCTGCGGGCTTCACTCCCTGGTGCTGCCATCCTTAAACACCTGTCAGTCGCCCGCCACGGGGCCTGATCAGGCTTTACCCTGGACCTCTTTTCTCAAACACAAATGCCGAAATCAGTTGCCATGTAAATCCGTTGTGTGCCGACAGCCCAGGATACTAGGACTGTGAAGCCCTGCGGGCGGCGGCCTCACTCAGCTCTGCGTCCCATACTCCGGGGTCTGCTGTGCATAATGAGCCCCTGCGTGTAACACGCACCCACGTTTTTGGCCCAAACTTTCAGAAAAATATTTTGTTTCAATTAAGATTTTTATTTATTTATATTTAGAAACAAAACCGATTGTATTTTGCATATACTGTTGTTGCTTTCTAAAGTGACACTTTTAATGCATAAGCGTAAATAAAAATTAAAAACCTTTATATAGATACAGAATTATTACTACCCATATATAATGCACGTCATTTTTCCCTCCAAAATTCGGGCAAAAGAGTGTACATTACACATGGCTAAACACGGTAGGCCCCTAGCAAAAGATGTCACCTCCTCAAAACATGTTAACGAGGCCACACAGCAAAATGATTAAAATGATTGTAAAACCTTTTATAAAGGAATGCATCTTCAACTTTAGTTGATTTCTAAAATACATACTTTCAGTTTCAGAAAACATGGTGATGGATCTTTTTTATATGTCAAGAGAAACACTGAAGAGTTCTTAACCATTAAGAACGCATAAGGGATAAATTTAGTCCAGCAAAAATCAAGGCATATTTATGTTTTGAGGCTAAACTCATGGAAACTAAAACATTTTAATTATGTACACTATGGAATTCCTCATGTGCACACAAACTTGAGAGTAAAGATAACAACACTAAATCATTTGCACATTTCAGCACCTAGGACAAACAGTGGAAGACTTGAGGAGAGGGTCACTCAATCATTCGGCTCAGCACACGGTCACAAAGCGGGGCGATGAGCGGGACCAGAAAACGGCCCGCTCCGGGGGGGCCCGCCTCTGCGGCACGCACACGCCTCTGCCCCCCCCCCCCCCCCCACAGACCTCCAGGCTAGGCCGCCGGGAAGCGGAGAATTAGGCCTGAGACTTGACTTACCCTGCGGCTAGTCACAGGACGGGAGAAGAAAACTGACCGAACAAACAGGCCCTCCTCCATGCAACTGGGAATGTGACAGGGACAGAGGCATGGGGCGGAGTGGACATGGTCAGAAACGGACGCCCGGCCGTGGGCACGCGGCAGCCAGGTGAGGGGCTGAGCTCCCCCAGCACGTGTGCAGGGAGGCCCGGGTGCAGCGAGCTGAGATGCGCGGAGGGCCCCGGGAGGCACTGCGGCGCTGTCCCCGCAGCCGACCCAGTGAGCAGAGGGCCTCGATCCGTGCGTGGGGCGCCAACCCCCGCGGCGATCAGGGAGTGGAGGTGTGGCCTGGGGACTCAGACGGGGCTGTCCTTCGCCACAACAGAGGGTCCTCTCCTACCTGCCCAGGGCCGAGCCTGCTTTCGTGAACACGGAGCACGCGCACACACACTCAGCACCCTCAGCAGACCCACACGCAGGCGGCGTCTCCCGCTGACGTACCCTGGCCATGCATGGGCATCAGCGGCGCTGCAGGGGGCGGGGGAGGCTGTGCCAGCGCGGCAGGCTGAGCGGCCACAGGGCTGAGCACTGCCGTGAACAAGTCTTCCACGTCCTTCCCGCCGAGCTCTAGGGGCACAATGACAGTGCGATTGGAGTCTCCCCCAGCCACACAGGGAAGGCCACTTTTGTAAATGAAAACATCACAACACAATTACCTGGAATTTTATATAACTTCCCAAGAATTGCTCCTAGGATGGAATAAACACACAGAAATAGTAACAATTACCACTTCAATATACTGATACAAAAGAGCATGTTAGAAATCATCAGAATAGAATGTTAATTGTGAAGAAGCATGCAGAAATCTTTGAAAATCATATTTACTCATGTCTTTTAGAAAGCCTAGATGTAGGGCAAACATTTTACCATCTGTGACCATCTTGTCCAGCTCGGGACTAAGGATGCCGTCCAGCTGCTCCTCGCTTAACGGCCGTGAGCTCGGGCCGACGGACGGCTGAGGCAGAGAGGACGGGCCGTCGGCCGCGGGGCCGATATCGATGCCAGCTGGGGGGACAAGGCGAAGCAGTTACAAAGTGAACGCCGAACACGCACACAGAACGTGTTAACACTATTGACCTGCATGAATGCACAACTTGATTAAAATTGAGCAAAGAAAATCTGTAATTCTGAATGAGTCAGGGGTCTTGTATGAGTCTGGATCGTCAAAATTAGTTAAGAATAGGCACAGTCTGCTTGTAAACTCGGTGCCACTTTATTTACCTAAGATTTTTAGAGCGTTTCATTACCGTGTGGGGAGCGTGCCCTGCTGTCCCGTGTGCTGCACGTGACAGCTGAACTGCACACCCGGGACCCCCATTTCCAGGCTAAAGCTCTTATTTGTGTAGTGAATACTGTGTTCAGAATATTCGCTTAGAGGCCTGTCTTAATAATGTAGTGCTTCTTTTTCGTGGAAATCAGCATTAGAACCAGAAGGGTTCTTTTATTCCTCAGAAAATATACTTATTTTGATTAAAATATAACTTTGTTCAGTACATATTATCCTTGTAAATAATTTCAACTACAGATCTTATTTTTGAAATATTCTATGGTCAACATACAAAATATGGGTTGTATTTATGCCACAACAGACTGCCTCACACAAACTGGTTTTGGAGCAACTCCACATATAAAAGCCGTCTATCGTCTACCTTCTCTCCCCTGCTTCTCAGTGCTACCATCATCAGCAAGTGAAGTTTAGTCCGCTCCATTTAATTTTACATTAGAAACTAACTCTATAACATTTGGGTAAAACCATAAATTATATATTAATAAAAATAAAACCATTAAAAAAACAAAACAAACTCCTGGGAAAGTCCCCCGAGCCCAGCACAGCTGTCCCATGCTTCAGCAGCACGCACGCGGGGAAGCCAGTGTGATTAGTGACACGCTAGTGCTAGGACAGACGCGCATGCACCTACAGGCCGGTTCAGCTGAGATCGCTATGCAAGGACTACGCTAGTCAGCCGTCACCCAGTGCTCGGTGTCTTACCCAACGGGAAAGGTGAGCTGCCAACCTGGAAAGTGCATAAATCAAGACCTACAAGACCCAAACCAAATAAAACGGGCGATTACCACAGGAGCGGGAGGCGGGGAACAACGCAAACAAAAGAAGAAACGAGACACAGCAGGACTTTAGGGCCGCAAGCCTTAACCTGGACGCCATTAGGAAAGGCAACAGAGAAGACCCGACTCGCCCCCACCCCCCAGCAGGAACGTGAGGCAGGTCAGGTCTAAGACGAGTTCTCTGGTAACGACAGACACGTTTTTTCAGTTTCAGAGCAAAGACCTAACTCGTTCTGTACACGCGCACCTCGCTCTCACATCCTGCGTGGGCCATGGGGCCAAGAGCACTCACTATACCTGAGTGGTCGACCGATTTTGCAAGGTCATCCGAAATTATTCCCAGAATGTCATCCTCTGTGTTTAAGACTTCTGATATGTCAGCTAAGGGGTCGTCAGCGGTACCTAAACAGAGCAAGCACATGTTTAATGTCTTGATTATTTTCCTAGACATTAAATTCTAAAACGCTCTTGCTCATTCAGCCATTTACTACACAGGTCTGAGTACAGCAGATGCTGAGGTAAGTGCTAGAACGATAAAAAATTAAGATAATTATTTCTGAAGGGTTTTAATAGAAAAGGTACTCCAGTGTTTTGAATAACAATGCGTTAAAGATTAAAGGCCTAAAGACACAAGTGAAATAAAGTACTATAAGAAACAAAGCAGAAAAATTAAGAAAGTGACATCTCTAAAAATGAAAGCTGGAAAAGAAAAACATGGAACCCATTACTTAGAAACCCCGTCGAGCACGAACCAGATACCCTCTGGTTGGCCAAGGCTGACCACACCTCCCTTCTCTCCAGACTCTGGCCTGAGACCCTTGCCGGCCACTGGGAGGGAGGACAGGACAAGCAGGAAAACATTTAGCCAGCTTTGGGAATGACATTAGTCATTGAGGTTAGGGAGCATAAGATTTTTTAATCCAAATGGGACAAACAGTCTTGTCCCATTAAATGCATATTTCCAAATAGGAGTCAAACACAAAAATTTAACTTTTCAAACTGAAAGGAAATATAAATATTATGGGCCCAAATATTTGTAAAGTTTTAAGAGAAATGAAATTATTTCAATAATGTATTCTCTAGACAACAGTACACTGGAAAGAAAAAAATTCTGGATAATTCCTTCAAGGGTAATCTAGTGGGAGTGTGATTGTTTTAAACCAATGGAGTTCTCTACACAAATTATAATATTTTTTTAAAAGATCGTGTTTAAAAAGTTTGTCCCTAACTGAATAGACTTTATACCTTGCCAACAAATTATTAAAGCTGATGTCATGGACTACACGGAATGAAACACAAAAAAGAAAGAATGAGTCATCACTTGTAAATGTCTCATCATAAAGGCAAAAGAACGATTCAACCGCAAAGCACAGTACGTTTAAGTTTGGAAATGTCTCTCTTACTCTAGTCCTCGTGTCTTGGATCTATCACTAAACCATCTCCTGTCAGCAGTTCTGCGAAAACCAGCGCCCCGTAACGCCTTCCCCGTCCCAGCACCGCCTCCGTCCGACGGCAGTTCCCGCCTCAGAGAGCCGCAGGGCAAGCCGCTCCGCTTTAAACAGCTAGGCCTGATCTTTACCGCAAGGCACATCTTTCACAGTTCGGGCGTCCCTCGGAGGGGCCTGTGAGTCTTTCACTCCACGTTAACAACACGGCAACGTGGCCAAGAGCAGGTCAGCCCTCAAGACTACGGAATGAAAGGAAAAGCTAAACGGGCGTGGACATGCATGCGGGTGCTGAGATGCTTCCAGTTCCATCACGAAGTTCAAGTCAAAACCGAAAGCCTGCCTCTCCATCCAGGAAGGTGCCGAGTTAATAAAGCTGTAATGACTTAAGTGTGTCCAGTCGTCTTTCAGTGGGAGATTTTCTTAAAGAGTATTTTTTAAATCGAGTTTATAACATTAACTGAGCCAACTAAGGCGATCAATGGCAAGGGGGGGGGGGCGTGTCAGAGGAATATTGGTCTGTAATGGTTAGTGAGACACAGCGCGAGACACAGGCCGGCGTGGGGAGAGACCCTGGGATCGCAGCTCTCACCCCCGCGACTGGCTGGGTGCCCAGGGGCCCCCGGCACGGGCGCAGTGACGCGCGTTTGTGCACACGTTCAGTTCGCAGACCTCTCTCCAATGCTAAACAGAGTCCTCGCGTTTCCTACATCTAAGGCCACAGCTGTCGATCGGGGGCATTTCTGCAGGGGGCAAGCAGCGCTATTTGGAGACACTTCTGAGCATCATGACAGCATCAGAAGGGGACAGAGATGCTGGCAAGGCTCCCACATGGCCCGGGACCGCCTCCCGCCTCCAACACAGATCCCCCAGGCCCAGGCCGTCGGTGCTGAGAAACTGACGTAAGGCGGCAGAGCCCACCTACCAACACGGTCCCTACTGTGTCGGGACTGCCCAGCCAGGTCCCTACGATGGCATTCTTGTTTGTCCTCTTCTGAATTTGGGGGCTGTGTAATTAACAAAAACCTACCCTACTTAATTTGAAGAGTATTATATTTACAACGCATGGCCAAACTGAACTCCCTTTTATTACCTTCAGCCAAGTGCAAACCTCACATTTTCCTTTGCACTCTGGTGGTAGCTACACAGATAAATGTATTTGCCAAATACTACAGACGTGTCCACTTAAAAGTTACCTTTACTGATTACAAGTTACATTTCAATAGGCTGATTTAAAAATGCATATGAAGCCAGCCTTGGAGCATTTTCAAAGGTTTAAAGAAAAGGAAGACGACGGTCGTATGACAAAGAACATGCCACGTACCATGAGCTCCCGGCTTTGCTGGGGCTGAGGAGGAGCTAAGCAGCGGGTCTAAGGAGGTGTCCAGGAAGTGCGTGTTCACGTTTGCTTTATACATGAGCGGAGCTGTGTCTTCTGACAGATTATCCAAGCTTAGTTTGTTTTGTCTACTTGTATCTAGGAGATCTTTTCCAAAGAAAGCTTCCTAGATAAAAAAGAAGCACATATAAAAATGACTTAGTTATAAAATTCTAAAACGACAACAGATACTTGTCACCATTTCTGACAAGGCAGAAATAAACTTGGTATTTAACAACACAGAAATATCCTGTCATTTTTTTATATAGATTTCCCTTATTTTAAAAGTACAACTTTTTGTAGTTTTACTAGAAACAAATAACATTGTACAAACAATACCACACAATTTGACATTCTGTCAAATGTGTTTCTAACAACAGCAGTATAATAATTCAGTAATTCCAGATTAGGCTACAACTAAAATTAAAGACTGATACATTTACAATACTAGTGGTACCTAATTCATGTAATAAGAAAAACTCAGGCTTCATGAACATTATTATTATTTATAGATTACTTGCAGATGATAGCACAAAGGTTTGATCTACGACTTTAATACGTACAAGCCTCAGACAGATCAGAAACCTCATGTGGACTCATAAGCACGTTATGAACCTGAAAGGGGTTTTTATAGCCATTGTAATCTTAGTATGTGCACAAGATTTACTTCCCTTACGGGCCTTTGGCTTTTTATTCATTTACTCCTAGGAACGTTTCTCCATTTCAACACGCGTTCTCTACCCTGGAGACCAGCATGTCACACTGGGGTAGTTCCTTACAACTCAAGGATCAACAAAAAGGACAAAAGGAAACCCTGGGGACACCCCTTCCCTTTAACTCGACAGCCCACTGTAGCCTGTTTTCTGCAATGTGGTCTCACGGGAGAAAGGGTCCTCTGCGGGGCACAGCTGTGCAGCCCAGGTCCACATGTAATGCATTCTTGCCAAAGAGACACACACAAGAAAAGTTCACTGCAGCATTTTTAATACCAAAAAGTTAAATCTGCCTTGATGTCTGTCAAAATGGATATAACTGAGTAAGTGAGAGACACCCGTGCAGTACAGCAATTTTTAAAAAGGATAGAGAGCTATGTTGTCAAAGGAAGGCTCTAAAATACAGTAGTAAAAAAAGTGAGTGCATGCCCAGATAAACATAAAATACAAACCAAGACTATTTGGACTGTGCAAAAATAAACTATTACAAAAGTTACAAATGGGTAAGGCCCAGGCCGTGAACAACGCTCCCTCTGGATGGAACAGGGATGGGGGAGGTGGTGTGTGACGTCTGGCGCAGGTCATGGCCATGTCACTTAAAATTTTCACATTTTTTAAGCAAACGAGTTGTTTCACTATGAAGAAAAACTGAAAATCCATAGGGCTAGATCACTGGGTAGCAGACAGGTTTGTTTCTTAAGAGTTTTAGAGCTCCTTTAAAGACTTCAGTGTAAATTTGAGAAATCTGAGACCACAGTTAGCAAGATTTTTTTCTTACTAAAAGATTCCTGATGCCTCTGTCTTTATCGGAAACTTACAGTAACATCGTTATTAATTTGGCGGGTTTTCATTTCCAGGGGTCCCACGTGGCTCCTGGCCCGACCACATGTCAGCGGCCCCCAGAGCCGTCCAGAGGCCCTGATATCATGGGCTCCGCGGCCCCACGGCACCCGGGAGACGACCTGACACTTCCACTGGGCAGACCCTACTGTTCCTTATAGTTTATCCCGACACCGTGCTGATTAATAAAGAAAAGCTGGGCAACGCTGTTACTGAGTTTCTAGTGGGTTCTGGTCACCATGTATTCTGCCTCCCCCGCCCCCCTCGATGGGGAAAAAGTGCAACCGCCATCACCAGGTGTCCGAGGAGCAGCACCACACAAAGGCTTCCTTCGCTCCTTCACTGAGAAACAGCCCCAGCCAGCTGGCTCGGACTCCGCCGGGAGAGCAACTGCTCGGTGCGCCAGCAGACGCCGCCCAGCTCTGCGGGTGAGGGCTGGACGGGAAACAGGACATCACATCCTTTTGCAAACGTATGAAAAAGCCTGTTTCCATACTTGCGTTAACAGCGAAAGAAAGCTTCCTAAATAGAGATTACGCTTCGCGGGAGGAGGCGGGGAGCAGCACCTGGTCTACTCGGCACGGGCAGGAAGGACAGTTCAGAGGGCGTGGAGGGGGCAGGCGACAGCGGCAAAAGGGCGCAGCTGAAGACAATCCAAGCCACTAACGGGCCTGTCTCCTGACCAGTAAAACTGCTGCTGTGTAATTGTTAAATAGACAAAACTTGGATAAATGGATATTTAATGGAAATGGGGGAAATAAAACTTCATTCATCAGAGACAGTGGGTAAAACAGAGTTAAGCACTTCACACAGTTACTCTTGTTTAGTCTCTCGGCATTTTGTGCGGCAGGTGCAACCACCATCTCACAGGTGAGGGCGCCGGGCGCGCAGACGGTAAGTAGAGCGAGGGGACTCAGCGCTGGCCGCGGAGCGGAGCTCAGCCGCAGGACCTGCCGGGCTCAGCCCCTCGAAGGGGACACTGCGCCTCAGGTGTCAGCTGTTTACCAAGGAGGACACGCAGGAATGTTACTATATACTCACCTCGGTGCCTATGCTTCAGAGTTTTATCTGGTAAATACATAAGACTTTTTACTTAAGTGTTTTACTTGTACGCTTCTTATGCGTGAGAAGAATGAGCAACATGCCCAGCAACGTGGGAGCAGCCTGTGGCCGAGCCAGGCGTCCCACCTGGGCTCTCTCCTGCCCAGCGCGCGGCCTGGAACCCTTCCGTGACCCCGTGGACACGAGGCGACCCAGAAAGCTGTCCACCTGCCTGTAGTCTGCACCTACCCGATACACATTCTCCCTGCAGCGGGGCATTTTCTGCTCGGCCCTTGGGCTCGCAGGCCTCCGAAAGCGGCCAGCGGTCAGCGAGGGGGCAGCGCCGGCTGCAGGCAGCCTCTCCCACTCGGAGGGAGACGCTGCTGTGGCCCCGCGGGCGCTGCCTGTGTGCCGTGAAGAGCTCTGAACCTGGGACGCCTGGCTATTTAGTCAGGAGCCCTGCTGACCTCCTTTCCCTTAGCTTCTGGGATAAAAAATGACAACCGTCAACAAAACAATAGCTGTCTGGCACCAACGAGCCAAAATCATGCCCTCTCTTGGTGTCGGGTCAGTGAGAGCCCGTGTGCGGCGGGGCCGGGAAGGCCACCGCGCCTGCCGGGCGACGCCATGCGTCCCTCAGCCCGCAAGTGTCCTCCTCTGTCTTACGAAATATTTAGAAGACAAAAACTGGGACAAAAAAGAATTTTGTGGAATGTATCAAAGCACAAGAAAGTAAATGTCAACTTTTATGAGCCCCTGGAAGGTTCAAATACCATTTATGATAATTGATTAAAACAAGTAAATTAACAAAAACAACAAACCTGTTTTTCAAAACTCAGTACATTTCTTTCATTAACAAACTATATAATGTAATACAAAGCAAAATATTACTTGTAAATAGGCAGGGAACGTTTCTTCAAGCTTGTTTTTCCTTTTCCGGTATCTCTTCTTTATTTTTTCAGTGTTTTCAGTAACAGACGCGGAGTCATCAGCCAGAGCATCTGGTAACTGTTCACTCCAGCCTGAAACAGTCGTCACATTTATGAACACACGATATTTAAAGTTTTCAGACAAATTCACCCAAAGTAACAGTATAGCTTACCAATCAATATACACAGCTCCATACAAACAAACAAGCTTTTTCCTGTTTTCTTCCATTTCACTGAGGTACAACTGACAGGCAACACTGTGTAAGTTTAAGGTGTACAGCATGACTTGGCAAACAAGCTTTTCACAAAAATACCTCCAAGCAAGTGTATAACTTTACATAGTATCAAAAAATTTTCATTTCATGACTAGTTAGTATGGGCATGTTTCTTATTGCACCTTAATGAAGTCTTCCCTGCACCGGAAGCAGAAGCTTGTTTCTTTTTAACCTCAACAGTTTGTTAAAACTAAAAAGTGACAACCCCCAGAGCTCCTGAGCCCAGGGAAACAACCGCCTGCGCTGGGCTAGTTTAGCAGACACAGCTTCCTGTGGAGTTCACGGCAAATGTCCAACAAAAGGCTTTCCAGAAACGTGTGTCTTTCAACCCAGCGATTCCAGTTTCTAGAGCTTACAGCAAATGAGGGTTTTGTAATACATACCCATTGTGATATAGGACCACCTATGAACATGCCCATCAACATGCGATGAATGGTCACTCTTAAATTTGAGAAATGGAAACAAAACAGAACCCTGGACCATGGAATTCACCAAGAACCCGAGCAGCACGTAAAGCAGGCAGAGCACTTAGTGACGCCCTCGCCACTTCTGACTCCCTTCTGAAAAATCACTTCCGTTGTCAGAATACATAGGTAGACTGACTCCTCTCAAAAGAACTAAAAATAGTGGATAAACATTTTTAAACAATTTTTATTTTAATGTACTAGTAATCTAGCCAGAAGATGAAGAATTCTCAAAGATCTCAAAGACCAAAAATTAAGGTAAAACAAGAACAGCGGAAATTAGGGAAGAATTAAATAAAACTCTTAAAATTTGCTAAAATCCAGTGACCTTGAACTCTGGTTTTCACAGCCCAATGATGAATGGGGACTAGAAGGCAAAGTTTAGGGCCCCTCCCCAAGGTGCAGACTACCCAGAGGAGCCATGCAGGGCAGCGGGATCCTGAAGGGCAGCGGGATCCTGAAGGGCGTCTCCTTCACGCTCAGGCTGGTGTTACAAAAACACTCCCTCTTGTTTCCCCTCCCCCCACAGCAAAGAAAACTGTCATCCTGCCATAGAATTTGGCACTGGACAGAAATGCAAAAAATGAAAGTCTGCCATGAGAATTCATAACCTCAGTATAGCGCTAATGGGTAAAAAGCCTGAATTTATATAGCCTAGGTGGACCCAAAAACTTCAGTCTAAGCATCTGGCTCCAAAAAGTCCCAGGGCAGGATCACCTCCTGTTCCCGCGTTTGACAAATGCACACAGTCCCTGAAGCAGTGCCCCTGCAATTCTGCTCTCAGAGTGCGCCCGGCGCCCGAAGGAACACACACACTCAGCGCAGTGCCCTCAACATGCGCGCGTGGCCAGCAGCTGGGCGCAGGCCCCGGCGCTCCCGGCCAGTACGACACAGGGAGAAATGAAGCCTCAGGGTGGGCTGTGGAGGGAGACCCCTCAAGTACCAAGAAGGCAGTTCCGGAAAGGGTGAAACACCAAAGAATGGAAAACTCAATGGACGGCACAGATGAAGGAGCAGAACGTTGAACTAAAAGAACTGAGAAAACAGAGACAGAGATGGAAAACACAAAAACATAGTTTCATTGCACACAGCAGATTTCTGAATCAGCACTTATTGCAGCCATGTTAGAAACTTCTTTAAAACCATCACTGCGCTTGCTTTTAACAATGTGCAGCAATTTCTGTTACTGATTCACAGAACCAAACCCCATCTCCTAATCATGGAGGCAACTCTATTCAGAGCGCACGTTGCAAACAGTGAGGCCCCCCACGTCCTCCATGAGGCATTTACAGCAGCTGCGCACAGAGCCGGACCGCGGCGACTGCCGGGGTCTCATCAGCACCGTGTCCTCAGGCTGCGGCCCAGGCAGTGACTCGGCCTTCTTTGACAATGCTAAGTGAAGACGACAGACTGTTCCTTGGAAGACATATTTCTAAAACGTTATACAACTTTGTTAAAAATAGCTGGGGCACCGTGCCCCCTTCAGCTACCCAGTCTACGCCACAGCTTTACGCCGAGCAGCGGAGGCCGTCAAAGACAGGCCTGCTGTGAGCTGGCCACAGGGCGTCCGGCGCGTGGCTACGTGACTCAGTCCCGCAACTACCTGCACGTGACACAGGAAAGAAGGGAACTCGTGTAAAAAATCGCAAAGGAACAGAGCCACCTAGGTCCCTCTTGCTTCCTCATCGCCTGCCTGGTGGGAACCACCCGCAGCACGCGGGTCCTCCGGTCACAGGCGGCGAGGCGGCCGCGGCACTCTCAGGACAGCGCTCCCCAGCAGCGACAGCAACACAATGGGGTTAAATCAAACAAAACCCGTACCGTCGTCTCTGCCAGGGAAGTGCTCAGAAACCGAGCCCGAGGAGTCTTTCCTGATCACAGATCTTTTGGCTTTTCCTTGCCCGGTTCGACTTCTTTGCCGTACCATAAATCCACCAATGCCTGTCCAAAAAAAAAAGTTGGGTCCACTCGTAAGATAACTAATTTCTCTCAATACTGCTACAGTATGTAAGGTGGAATTGCTTAGTCTTAAATAGAGAAGCATTTCAGATTCAATATGGGCTAATTTAAATAATTTCATTTTGATGCAAAATTATATGAGTTTGGAAATGCACAAATAAAGGAAGTTAAAGCTATTGTTACCTCATCATTAAGCAAAACAAATAAAAATTCATTAGGACAGCAAGACCATATGCTTTTCCTCTTCTGAACAATGTCAAGAGTAAATATTCTTTATTTAATAAATATTATTAACACATCTCATTGCTTAACATTATTTGTATATGAGCTGAGGGAGAAGAGAGACAAAATACAAACTAAGCTACTAGGTAATCCAAACAAAATCCAAACAACTTGAGCGGTGCGGTGTCTGGGTACCACACGCTACGGCCCGTCGGCACGAGGTTCGCCCAACCCGGAGCCAGGCACCGGAATGCAGGTCACTGCCGGCCTCTGGGCGGGCTACTTAACTTTTCAGTGCCTGAGGCTCCTCGTTGGTCAAACAGTGACACTGCGGTCACCTCCTCATACCTAGGAGGACGAGACAATACATTCACAGAAGCGGGGCGCCTGGAAGGGGGCCTGACATGCGCGCAACGCTATCAGCTCGTGCCACGTGATCCAACAGCCTCACCGAGCGCTCTGAGACTTAGTGGGCCACGCCGGGGGGTGGAGGACTTCCAGATAAGGCAGGGAGAAGAAAACGCAAGTTCCTACAAGGGATCTGCAGTGTCTAAAAAGAGTAAGTGCGCTTTTATAAGCCCATCCTTAGGAGGACATGAAGGCGCTTTCGTACAATGACGTGGATGATGCTAGTCGAAGTCCCGCCAGGCGTGGCCTATCTATCAGGGAGGTTAGCTCTGCGGGTCCCACAGGACACACACAGTGAGCAAGTCCTTCCCTACGCATCAAAAGGAATTAGATCGCTCTTACCAATAACAGAAGCAATCAGGAGAATAGCTCACTGATTAGTAAAAAAATTTAATGAACTGCCTAAAGAAAGCCTACAAGTTCTGTATTGTGACCATTTCAATAACTTTTTCCAATAGAGCAAATAAAATTTGACAAGCAAGACAGCTTTCTCTCTACCCGCCCAAGGCAGAAAGAGCGAGAGTAGAAGTGTTTGAGCGTCACACTGCTAGCAGGTCCATGGCTTGTGGACGGCAGGAGGACCCCAACATGCCGCCTGCACATGGCACAGGCACTGCACTCCTGTGTAAACCCTAAAGCAAGCTTAAAAAACAGAAACAGTAGAATGGTATACATAAAAGACTTCTTTCCACTAAGGGGTTTAATAAAGTGGGTAATATTTGTGATGAGGCATTAAATAACGATTTAAGGTGAAGTACCACACATTCAGCCTAAGGAATTTGTCACCTAAAAAGCATATTCCAATTGTTCAGTCCTTTAAACATACAAGTTTCCATAAAGAGAGTGGACAAGAAGCTATATTTCATCCTGTTTAGTTATAATTGAAGCCCTATTACATCTTTCTTCTATTAACTAAGTTTTTATCAGATGGAAACGTCCGCTTCAGGCCCCGTACCTGGCCGGTAGGGCTTCCTTTTCCTCTTTTTGACACCGTCTGTTCCTTCTACGCCCTTGGCTTCCTCATCTGCAGCTTCCCGCTCGGGACTAGATTCTGACTTTCCATCACAATCCATAAGTTCACCTTCTGGAAAAGAGCAAATGAACAGATAAAATCGGAAAAACCTATCAAACACATAATTTTTTTCCATATGATGGTTCTAAGAGCACTTAGTTGTCTTTAACTTCACTTGAAACAATTTTGTTAGATTGTATTGTGACAACTGTTATATCAGCGTGTGTTAAAAAAAAAAATCACATCAAAAACTGGAGAATTTTTGTGTGGCTACTTTAATATGGAATAAGCAACATCTTTGGCATATTATGCTTTATTATTTCAAGAGAGGTAAAAACACAACTGAAACACAAAAACAGATTTGTGCAATGTATCAAGAAGGGGCTGTGACGGATCAAACACGTCAAAGGTGGTTTGCGAAGTTTCGTGCTGGAGATTTCTTGCTGGATGTGCTCCACGGTCAGGTAGACCAGGTGAAGTTGAAAGTGATCAAATCGACACGTTCATTGGGAACAATCAACATACACCACGTGGGGAGTAGCCAACATGCTCAAAACACCCAACTCAATCAAGTTATTGGTGAAAATAAAAAGCGGGTCTCTTTCATTTTACAGGGAAAACCGCTCGGATGTCTCGGCCAACCCACAGAGACAAGAGCCCGCCACTGTCCTCTCCGGAAGCCCCTACCTGATCCCACAGCGAATGCGGACTCCTTGGGCGCCACCTCAAGGCTTGCATGATGCACCGAGTCACTCTCCGCTCCTGCCCTGCCCTCGTCAGCTCCTTGCAGCCCCTGGGCTCGCTCTGCTGGACACCCCAGGCTCCGCCACGCGCCTCACGCACGCTGGGCGCACACGCGCGGGCCCTCCGCCGGGGCACGCCCGCTGTCCTGGCGCCCTGCCCTGGGCTCGCTCCCTCGACTCTCCGCAGTCGGTGCTCAAACGCTGTTCCCATTCGCCCGATCCCTCAGCCCACTGCCCGCACCCCCGATTCCTCTCCCCACTGTTCTGTTCACTGATGGGACATCCCACAGCCGGCTCACAGGCCCGTTCAATAAATGCTGTTCAGTGAGATGTGACAGAAGAAAACCCATCACTCAATTTCTGAATCAAGTGCAAAGAAATGACTGCCCTGAAGATGAACAAGCCTGTGGTCATCCGCTTCAAAGATAAGCAAAAATGTAACTCATACTGAATGCAACGCTACTAAAAATGGTTTCGTCATCTCAAGGACTCAGCTAGAAGAGTCTTGATATTAGATCAGGGGAATAGTTTATGACAAACATAGTTTATGATGAACACCCGCGAAGGGGAAAGCTATGCTTGCAGACCAGTGACACCGCTCCATTCCTAGCATGGAATGCGTGCTCCCGCTCGGCTCTCCCTGGACCACAGTGCCCGAGTGCACGGCCTGCGAGGGCCCCGCCCTGACTTCCCCATCTGCGACCCCAGGCACACGGGGCTCCAGGAAGTTTCTGTAAGGTAGCTCAGTGCGAGGTCACGTGGCAAGGGAGAGAACCTACAAAGGCTACATCCGAGAAGACCACCCACTTAGAAAGCACAGGTGCCATATCGAGAGTTGGCTGCGTCAGTGGAATCTACCCTTACAGAACCCTTCGTAGTTTAAAACGGCATATGCTTTAATTCTTGCAAACATACTACAGGGAAGCTCAATCAGAATTACCTCGACTATCGTCCATTTCGCCGTCCCGTGAGTGCTCAGACTGGATGTCCGGCGGGGTCTGCAGGACGGCCACGCTGTTCTGGTTTATGATCTTCAGTTTCAGCTTTGGTTTAGACCGCTTTCTCCTTGGGGCTGTGGCTATGAGGCTCTGGAGCTGAGTCATCCCCGACTCGGTCAGGCACACACCGTCCTGGGTGTAGGTCTTGGGTGGGTCTGCAGGGACAACATCCAAGGATACAAATTAAAACTCACACTTTAACGCTGATTCATAAGTTGATTAATGAATACAAAATATCCACATCAAGGGAATGTAACTTTTCTAAAGCAGTTAAGAAATGCACGAAAAATTAAGTTAAAAATAGTCCATTAAAATTAAGAGTCACTGGCCAAACTTCCCCAAGGCACAGGCAAAAAGGATGCACATTTTTAGAAAGTGGTCTTCCTGGCCCTTCTTGGTTCACGTGTTCAATATAAGGCTTCAGAGAGAAAGTGACGACACCGAAAGCAATGCTTCGGTTTCTTAACCGTGAGCCTTTTCCCGGGGACTCCTGTCCGACTAAAGGGTGAGGGTCAGTTTATATGCGAAAACAATACTCCAGAAGCCCATTTGGAAAGGAAAGTATCAATATAATCACTTATAGGGGGAGGCATAAATAAAGAGAGATCCTGTCACTTTTTAAATCCACAAAATTTGCTGTTCATTAGAACAATTTCTGAACTATCTAAATATTTATCAGGTGATACCAAATTGAAGTAAACAAAAGAATGAGAGTTTAATAGAAGTGTTATATTAACCACCATTCTAGGCATATGTAGTTCAGGAAAAAAATAGCAACCGATGAGTTAACTCTAAAGGAACCTATATCCACGGGGCTGGTAAGAGCGCACAGCAATGCGTCAGTGAAAACACGGCAAGCCGGGAGCCGAGAGGATTGCAGGGCAGGCGCTTTTCCCTGCCCGCCGGGAGAGGTTCACGGGGACCAGCCTCGCGAAAGCGGTCAGGATGAGCATCTGCACAACGACCGCAGAGACGGCGACCAGCGCCGGGGGGTGTGGAAGGGGCGCCGCGTGTGGCGGGCGGGCCGCTGGCCTTACCCAGCTCTTTCACCTTCGTGAGGGTCTGCACCGCGAGGGAGGAGTCGCAGCAGTCTGAGGAAGGCACTGGCGTGAGGGAAGAGTCACAGAGTCACTTTTTTGGAAAAGGTGAAATATAGTTAAAGATGTATAAACGATGGAAATTTCTATTTCTACAACCATTGTACCAACATTAATGCTTGGGCACTAACTAGAGTTTAAAGGAGGTCTTTAAAACAAGCTGGTGAAGGAAACATACAAGTAAGAAGCAAAAACTGGTGAAGGTCCTGGATTTCTACGTCCTGCTAACAACCCCGAGGTCGTGAGTCTTAAAAGGCAAGTTACAGCTCATATCTAAAATACATGCTCATTTTACTTTAAGCAAGCAAACTGTTTTATTGTGTTAAGTTGGAACAACAGAAGTTAATTTATAAGAAAAACAACTCAATTTCCGTAAGATACTTGCTCAAACAATAGTTTCAGGATGAGAAAAAGGAACTAGCGCAGAGGCCCCGCTGGCTGTGGACAGCAAGGCACATGTGGGACAGAGCACAGCCCACGGCCCAGGTCGCCCCTACCGTTTGGCGTGGGCATGTAGGGCCCGCACATGCTGCAGTCAAAGCCGACGTCTGCCGCGCTCTCCACTTCCTCTTCCGTGTTTAAGTTTTGACAAACTGCATGCATCCATCTAGAAAGACCGTTAATTATACAATCAAAAAAAGAAACAGACTGAGAGTAGTTTTCTTTTAAAAATAGGAGCTGGCAGTCTCCCAGCGTCCAGCCCCTAACCCTCAAATGCTTGCCCTGCCTGAACCAAGTTACCCTCTCTTCCTAACCTTGCCCGCTGACCCACAACAACGGTCAAGGCTTGGAAGAAAAAGGAATGAAACCGAGTCCTAGCAAGAGAGCAAGAACACCCATGTGGGGCGGGAGGGGTGACGGTCTGCAGTGGCCACACGCCGAGGGCTTCAGAAGCCCCCCGGGCAAGAGCTTGAGGACTCAGAGACGCACATGGGGCCGTGGCTCGAGGCCTGAGGCCCGAGGCCCTCAGAGTGCCCCCCACTCCCTGAGCAGGTGCAGCTGGGCGGAACAGGGACAGGAAAGGCGCCATGCTGCTGTAGAACAAAGCAGCGGTGGTGGAGCCCCGAGACACTGCCATCAGGTGGCCAGTGCCAGCTGCTCACAGGGCAGACCCTGAACCCCCGACCCCGGAGGCGGAAGCTGCACACTAACCACACAGGGAGAGCGGGAGCGGGCATCCATCTCAGTACTTACTATCTAGAGCTTTAAGGAAAAGAGAACGTGTGAGGTTCTTTGTAAAATCTAAAAAAGCCCTCTGAATCCCTCCTAGAAAAACGCATACATGCAGGCAGTAACTCTGCTGCCTCTCATTTCAGGGATTTATAAACCCTCAGAAGGCCCCAAGTTAAAAATCTTCTGTCCGAAACCAAGACTAGAGAACAATGGGGTTCCAGAGGTTTCTAGCCGACTAAAAATCTGGAAAACAAAAGCGCTGCTTCTTAAATTGAAGAGGAACGTGTTTTCCGATTGCCCCCTGCCACGTCCACGAAGGCGCAGAAGCCACGCGCCGAGAGCCCCGCCCGGTACCTGTCGCACTGCCTGCACTGCAGGATGAGGTCCTCCTCCCGGTAGCTGCGGAGGCAGGCGGGGCAGGCCGACAGGCTGGCGCACGGGGCGCACTGCGTGTAGTTGTTCTGCCACTCGCACCGCAGGCCCGCTGACGTGGCCCCGCAGTGCCGGCACCACACGCACCTGAAAGCCGACACCCCACAAGTCTCCATTGTGTTCACTTATTCAGTCACTGTCAATCAAACAGCTACACATAAACAGAAGGGGGAATTACTGGACGCATATTTGAAGCAATTCATTAGTGCTTTCTACCATGGTAAACACGCATCAGGCAACTAAGCCGATGTGGCTGCTAACGTCTGCAAGCTGTAGTAGCGTGAGGAAGTTCGGAACTGAAAGACGAGCCCCAGAAACGAAAGCCTGGCGTACCATTTGCACTTCCAGCCCCCTTTGGGGACGGTCTGCAAGGGCGGGTCCAGGCAATAGGTGTGGTAGCTGATGTCGCAGTCATCGCACAGCAGCAGCCGCCCTGGGTCGGTGGCCTTCCCACAGGCCTCGCACACCGTGCACTCCAGACACCGCCAGCCTTTGCTGAGAACCACCTTCGTGATCTGGAAAGAGACAGCCGGTCATGCGATCTAGGCATTAACCTGCACAATGCGCCCGATCGGATATGCCACGTAAAGAAAGGCACATGGGGCTGATGGGCCCAAAAGCAGGACAGAGGCACACAACTAACACTGCGCGCCAGCCGGGCCCCCCGCTGCCGTGAGTGGGCACATCCACATTCTTTTAGGGGTCCTTCTGGACAGAATAACCGAAAGCAGCGCCTATTTTCCTAACCGCCTTCGTCCCCATAGCTATCCTGTACTGTGGATTTTATGTCCACTTTACAGATGTGGTGACAGACTTTATAGAAATCAAGAAAACTGCCGCATTATTGTTAACAGGACATTTAAAATGTGTCCACGTAGTTTCCCCTCAATGACAGTTCATGAATCCATGCTTCTGAAACTTGTGTATACTGCAAAGGCATTTGTATATTAAAGTCGATATCAAATGCAATAAATAAAACGTGAGTTCCCAAGAACATTTTATGATCTCAGAGGATTCCAGCTCTGAAGCTAGGACTTCGGAAGTTCGCACTCACTCCTCCGTTGATCCTCTCTGCCACAAGGGTCTGAATTACCTTGAGAATCTCTAGAAAAGTCTAAGGCTCCGTATACTTCTGGAAAATTCCTTAAAGTAGCCACATCATGAAATACTAAGAATTTGAAACCAACTTAAAGATCTCAAAAGACTAGCATCACAAAGACAGACAATCGTCAAGGGCCTGTGTCGTAACGAAGGGGCACCAAGACGAGGAAATTCAGACTGTGACAAGTCAAGTCTAAAAGCAGCCTAAGAGGAAAACAAGAATTAAATGAACAGCTGCTGAAATGGAATCAAACTTTGCTTCAGCAGCCAGAGTTGGGAAGTTTCCAGTTCTACAAGAAAATACTTTTCAAGGGACAATCCTTAACCAAGTAAGCAAGTAACTCAGAGTGAAAGCTTAATTCACTTTTAGACATCCAAGGATTCAAAGGTCAGCTCCCAATTAACCCCTCTAATCAAGTTCCTTACAGACAGGAGGAACAAAATGAGGATGTACCAAGAAAAGGGAGGACCGAGACTCAGCCCGCCAGCAGCCTGGCAGGACGTGTGCCAGGTGAGTTTCAGGGTGACAGCGGAGCCACAGACCCGGAGCCAGGCTGGAGGGGGTGCAGGGAGGGGCGGCCGGGCCGCCGGCTGTGGCTGTGGCTGTGGCTCTATCGCAGGTGCAAACATCACCACAAGCTAGTGGAGAACCATGAATCATTGTTCCCTTCTTGCTACCAGAAACTCCATGGAAAGGAGAGTCAGTCACGGTGCGCCATCAGGTGTGCTGCGAATGTCCCCGAGCCGCCACCAGCACTGTTCATTGACTGATGCAGCGGAACCCCATGGGGAGGAGGCCAGGAGGAGGCAAGGGGCTCTGAAAGAGCCCAGGGGAGGGGAACAGGGAGGCTTAGAGCAACAGCCGCCCACCTTCCTCGGCAGAGGGGCAGGCAGCAAATATACCAGACTCCGTGGGGCACAGGGTCTGCTGACCTGCACAGCTCGGCCACTGCGGTGTGAAGCCACCTACAGGCAGGTGCAAACAGAGCTCGCCTGAGGTCCAGCAGAGCTTCGTGTACACAAGCAGTCGGCGGGCCCGGCTTGCCTGTGCCGCAGTGTGCCCGCCTCCGGTGCCGAAGACGAAGTGGGAGGCAAACCCAAGGTCTTCATCTTCATTCCTGCCAAGCCCTCCTATTTCACAGACACCTGCGCCGCAGTCCTTCACAGCCTGACTCCCAAGTGACTCAGTCTGTGTTCACTCTCGGACACACGAAACCTGGTCGCTAAGTCCTCATTGCCACTGAAAGTGCTCATGACTCCCCAATGCAGCTGACCTATCAGCGTGTGTGCCTGACCTCTCTGCGCTATTTCAACGCTTGAACAGCCCCTCACCCCCAGCCAATTCCCTCTTAGGACAGAGGCCGGGCTCTCCTGCCGACTCTTGTCCTCCAATTGTCTGGATTGGTCTTTAAGAGCTCGCGCAGGAAAACGTCCTCCAGGGCACCATGTCTAAGCGCAATACGTCTGTTTTATGGTCTGTAAGGCAAACCTGCCTCGGTTGCAGTGGACCAACTGGGACGAGACCTCTCCCCCCCATGGTGAAATGCCGGAAGCCAGGACACGGTGTGGGAAGCCGCCTCTGCAGACGCGGGGCACCAGGCAGCCCCGCACTGCGGTCTGGAGCAGGAGTGGGATGAGCAAGGGGGGCCCTGTGACCTTCGGCCTGTACACACCTTCCCGATGCTGCCGAGAGCGGGAGAGCCCAGCGGAGCACACCGCCCCTTCCTCAGCCCCCGCAGTTCAGGACGCAGGGCAGGCTACCCAAGAAGAGGCACAGGGTTTCCCTGCAGCCTCTGACTGACCGCCAAGCCACACATCTAGGGAGCCAGACGGAGAGCCCCAGCCAAGAGAGCAGCTTTCTGGGCAGACGTGCCTGGCACAACTATCAGAGCCCATGGACGGTGGAAACACCTGGGTCTCAGCCTGTGCAAGCAAGGACACTGGGGCATGCGCGGGGGTTGGGGGTGGCGGCCTGCAGAGGCGTGGCAGCCAGAGGCAGGCCCCACCGGTGCGGCACCCGAGTGTGACCTCGGCGCCCCAGCGGGTCCACAAGGTGGGAACCGCTTCCACAGCAGCACTCAGAGGTCGTCCACGCGTGGCGGTGTCCGCAGAGGCTACGGGACACCCACAACGCCGTCACACTGGCACCACACAAGGCTGTGCCTGTAGGATTTTGTGTTTTAAAATATTCCCAGTTAACTTATAAAATGAAAGTTGCTATTTATTATTCTTATAAACAGAACCCTGAGGGTGGTACGAAGACTGACACGCGTAAGACCAGCCCCTCATTGTGAAGGGTCACTCGTGTGACCCAAGGGAGCCTCCGAGGAAGCCCCGGAGGGCACGGGTGCAGCCACAGACAGCTGCTGTCCCACCAAGGACGCCCTGCTGTGCGACGGCGCAACCGCCGGACTCCCTACCCTGCACTGTGTCAAGCACAGCGCCCACATGCCATCAAAAATCGCCAGATGCTAAAAAAGCAGGGAAACCTCTCCCAATGAGGAGAAGGATCCGTTAACACAGGGAGAAGTGCCAGATAAATATATACAAAGACTTGACCGGGGGGGGGGGGGGGGAAGAACTTGAAAAAGTTTAAAACTGCAAGATAATAAACTATAAAATGGGTCTGAGATTGAAGAATGCAGTTATCTGAAAACCCCACCGGCGGGGCCTAGAACAGATCACACAGCCCGTGACAACAGAGTCTGAGGAACGTTACAGGAACCATTCAAACAAATGCAGAGAGAAGAATAGTGTCAGGAACCTGGGGGAATGCTACACAATCAATCAATCTCAATCTCTTTCTCTCTCTCACGCGCGCACGTGCATGCAAACTGGGGTTCCAGAAGGTGGGGTAGAGGGAGGAAACAAAAAATTTTGAAGAACTAGGGCCATGGTGGGCCCACACTGATTACAAACTATCAGCGCGCTGACGGCAGTGGCGGGACGGAACGCCCTCCACACCAGCCTGGGGCGGGGGCGGGGGGTGCACGCGGGCAGCCCGGGCTATCCACGCCGTGTGCTCTGGGGCTCTCAGCTGCCAGCACGGCCAGGGTGTGTGGACGAGCCCTGCGCCTTAGAGAGCAATAGTGCACTGTATCTTTAAATTAAATGCATGCATTTTCATGTTTTACTTTTTCAAGACAATAGCAGATAATTACTACAATTTAAGACAACAGATTCATAGAGTTAATTTCTTCAGGGAACACTTAAAATGCAATAATGGAAGTACTGCCACATATGTACAATTATCCTAACAATACGTGATTAATTATAAGACTCGGAAGCAGCATACCACCCAAATCAAACCAGATTTAAATGCACTGCTGTTAAGTGATTGAAACGTCCACTATTTACCTTAATACTGACACAGTACGGATGGTAACACTGACCACACTGAGAACAGGCAAGTAATCTCCCCTCTGCTCCTTGGCCAAAACTGCCACAGACTACACACATATCCTGAAATTAAGCACATGTGAACATATTTCAAATTATTTTTTAAAATATTTATTTATTATGAGAGAGAGAGAGGGGAAGGGAGAAAGAGCGAGAGAGAAACATTGATTGGTTGCCTCTTGCCCACCTCCAACCAGGGACCAGGCCCGCAACCCAGGCCTGTGCCCTGACTGGGAATCGAACCAGCGACCCTTTCGTCCACAGGCGGGTGCTCAGTCCAATGAGCCCCACCAGCCAGGGCAGGTGAACATATTTTAAATGGGGCACTGAGCTAAGACTGCACTACTGTACTAATTCTATAGTTTTTTAAAAGTACGTTCTCAGCTAATACAGATTCAGAGGTAAGTATCAGATGGCTTCAGCGCACGTGAGAAAAAAGAGAAAGGGGCCGGGAAGAAGTCAAAAGTGGAAAACCACAAACAGCCAAGTTCGAACCTGATGCAAAGTGAACTTGTCGCTACTGGAAAACAGCACAACTGTATTGTGCATGGAGTTTTCTTCTTCATCCTTATTTGATGAAATATCGGCAGCAGACACCTGTAAAAGGCAAAAAAGATAATCACAACCAAATAGAGTTTATCACAGGAACACACAACAGCTTCAGCAGTTAAAGAAGCCAACCGAGGCAACTCACCATGTCAACAACTGGCCATAGCCTTATCTGTATAAATGCAGGGAATGCATTTAAAGACTCCAACTTCTACTCCGGGTTAAAAAAAAAAAAAAAATCTCAACAAATTATGGATAGGAGCTTCCTCAAACTCACTTAGGATGTCTCTTAGGGAAAACAAAACTAGAGCTAACGCCATAGGTTATGCTAACTCCCCAAGATGAAAACAAAGACAAGGTTACCCGATCTCTACTGGACACCGTGCTAAAGGCGATGACAAATGCAATGAAGAGCAGAAGTGAAGGGCCTCCAGGGGGAAAAGACCCAAACCTTTCTCATGCACAGACATGACTGTGTGGGTACAAAATCCGACCACCTCTTCAAATGAGCAACTAGATGCAATGTGGGAATTTTAATAAGGTTGTAGGATAGAAAAATCAATACACAAAAATGAATACTGTTTCTAGATACTAGCAACCAACAACCCCAAAATTAAGGAAACACTACCCTTTACAATAGCATAAAAAATATGGAAGACTTAGAAATCAATCTGAGCAATGGCATGAAAGATCTGAACGTTGAAAACTAAATAACATCACTGACAGAAATTAAAGACTTGGAAATGGAGAAGCACATTAAGTTCTTGGGTTAAAAGGCTCAAGATGGTATGAATGTCAATTTCCCCCAAGTTGACCTATAATTTGAATGCAAACGCAGTCAAGATCCTACCAGACTTATCTGTGGTAACTGACAAGCTAATCCTATAATTCAAAAAGAAATATAAAGGATTTAAAAATAGTCAAAACAACTTTGAAAAAGTAGAAAACTACAAGACTTGTAGTGTCTGATTTCAGGAGCAGTTATAAAGTAAAAGTAATTAAGAAAGTTCAGTATTGGCCTAAAGATAAAGAAAATAAACCAATGGCATAGCGTAGCAATTCCAAAATAAGGAAAAAAAAAACAACAGATAACTAATTTTCAAGCGTGATACAAAGGCAATCATAAAACGGTAATAAAAACAGCTGGGGAGTGAGTATACCAAAAATAAAACTCTGACCCATATTCATACCGTGCATAAAAATTAACTGAAATTGGATCACAAATCTAAATGCAAAGCCTAACACCATAAAACTTCTGTAAGAAAACACTAGATACGTTTGAAACTTTAGGTTATGCAAATATCTCATACACCATAAGCACAATCCACAGAAGAAAATAAATTGTACTTCATCAAAACCAAAGCATCTGGTCTTCAAAAAACACAGAAAAGACAAGCCAAAAAAATAAAAGTAAAATAAAAAGAATGCAAGAAAATACCTGGAAATCATGCATATGATAAAGAACTTAGCCCAGAATACATGAGAAATCTCAACTCAAAGTTTTAAAGCTACTCAATTATTAAAATGTGCTAAAGGTTTGAAGAACAACTTTATCAAAGATGTACTGATGGCAAATAAGCACCTAGAAAGCTGATCGACAACAGCCTGAGTAATGCGCAGAGGGAGACCAGGGCCCTCAGAGGGAGCGGGGGCGGGATGGGGGGGTGCCTACGCTCGCCGTGTGGGTCGGTGTGGCTCTCAAGGGTGCCTGCATCTGTCAGCGCCTACAGAAGCGCACGCCTCAGACTCGGTGTTCATGCCAACCTACCTCAGCGAGCCCATCAGTCTGGGGTGGGAATCTGCCTTCTTTGAAAAGGGCCAGGATCTGTATTTCCTTTAGTGCTAAAATTAAACAGTCCCACCGGTCCCCTGAACTTGCCAAATACAGTATTTATTCATAATGCGTCAACAAGCAAATATTTACCAATTGCAGAGTATGTCAAAGGTAGTCAGATATAAAGCCTCCAGTTTCGAGTCCAGACCAGTCTGCAACCTCTTTAGTTTCTCCTGCGAACCACTACACCCAATCTCTTAAAACGCCAAGAGAATGTTTTCAAATGAACAAGAACAGGACAGGAGCTTGCCATTTTTTAAGTAAAAGAAAATGTATTACATTTGGATTTGGGAGAGGGTTGGTACCGAAAGAACAGTCGAGGAGGACAGCAAGAAAAGAGAAAAGGGATAGGAAAGTAGAAAACCTAACCAGAAGTTTTTGGTTTTCTTTAAATCAAAGCAGAGATCTAGTAAAATAAAAGTTTTGGCGTCTGAAGAATGCTACCCCCGAGGCCCCGTCGGCCAGCAGGCCAAGGGTCACAGGGAACGCGAAGGAGGCGTCTTACCCCAGGCAGCACCACGGCGCCGATGCCGCTCTTCAGCTTGGACCGGCCTCTGCCGCCACGGCCGGACAGCCCTGCGCCCCGCGGCCGCCGCTTTCCGGGGAAGCCCGACCCGCGGCCCTGCAGAGAGAGAAGGGAGAGTCAGCGAGCTGAACGGCCCCAGAGCACATTCAAACCCACACGTGAGGGGCAACATCTTACTAAATGTTACAAGTAGCTGCTTGTTGCTTTCATCCGATCAGATAAATATGGAGAAATCAGGGTTATTACTTGTTTCTTTCAACACGTATCCTTGACTTCAAATTACTATACATACATGATGCCTACAGCCTAGCATCGAACTGTGCGTCTGCAGTTGTGACCGCCTGCACCGGCGAGCCCGGGCCTCACTGTCCCCTCCCTTCACCTGGCATTCCGGGGGGCGAGAACGTCCACAGCCAGCCCGGCACCGCCCCGGAGCACGCTTGGCCCTCAGCCACCCTGCTAGCTAGGTCAGCTGCGTTTTATAACCCCCTATTGAGAGACGAGTGCTCCGAGGGGCTGAAAGGCTAAGTAACTTCTCCAAAGTCCTGGAGCTGGCAAGTCTGGTTCTTCACCACTCTTCTGAACTGCTACATTGCATGAAAGCTAATTTCTGCTATTACACAACAGTATTTCTCCTTGCCATTAACACTGGCGATTTCGCTTACTATTCAACAGCTGTCAATATTAACTGAACACATGCCTCATTCTACCATAGGCCAATTTATTTATATATAGGAAAACCGGTAAAAGCCTAGCTTTGAATCATCTAGATAATATTACTTAAAACAAAAACAATTTATCTGAATTTTTACCTAACACAAAAATTCTATAGGAAAACATTAAATTCCCTGATACTGGGGTTATTTGTTGCATTTTCCCCCCGTTTTACTCAGATTTATTTATTACTGCCTCAAAAAAACCACGGCATCTGCCTATTCTTATATATTTAAAATTATTAAAATACTCAGGAAAATCCTTTGGTACTCACTCCCTCATGAGTTAATAGGTTAATAGTATGTCTTATGTTCAGCCAAGGTCACTAACCACAATTTCAAACGCTGAACTTGTCGCCTGTTTAGCAGAATGGTTTCTGAGTCCATAATTAATGATCATATCGTGAGCATCAGACAGACGCCCATGAACACGGGGAAGGAGCGTCTGTTTCCCCTTCAGTTTCAGCGAGTACAGCCCCCTCCGGTTTTCGAACTGCCTCCCCTTCCCCGCCCCCCCTCCACTGCCCTTCGGCGCTCAGGAGCCTCTTTGGACAGGGGTGCTGTAAGGCTGAATGGATAGTTCCTGCTTGTTCTTTTGCTAATAGGTATTGAAGATGTCGTGAAAGTCTGTGATTAAATCATGACTATAATAATCTCACAGTTTATTTTTCTCCAGCATCCAATGACAAAAAATGTGAAAATTTTTGGTGGTATTTGCTTTGAAGCCATCAAACAAGACATCTTTTATACTCTTAAAACAAAGATTTATACTTTCCACACCTTACATGACATCAGAATGAGTTTAAAACACAGTTCCACGGTGACAGAAAATAAGAAAGGGGCATCTACAACTCCTTTGACAGCCTTGACTGGTCTACATTAAACACCCTTTTTCCAGAATCACATTCAATGTATGAGATGAAGAAACAGTGTTTTCCAGTCAGTAAAATATTTTAACTTCTCAGGTGGTTAACGGGTCGAAATTACATTTTTACCCTTCAAAGTGCCTCAGAGCCTCAGGCTCTGCGTTCCCTTCGAGGTCTAACAGAGCCCCAGAGGCCTGGCCAAGAGGCCTGCCGTTCTGAGGCCGACAGACTGCAGGGAATCTGTGGCCGCTCTGGTATTTCTTCCCCGTTAGCGCAGTAACAGCTTAGTGCAGTTTTTCTTTTGTTCCTTTCTAAGCAAAAAAGTTTTATGGTATCATGAATACATAACCAAGCCCTTAATTACCTCGTAGCCTGCATGACAAGGATTTCCCCCATACTGTTAATTACAACATAAAAAGGAAGAAACCGTAAAAAAGGGTATTAAAAATTTACACTTAAAATCAGGCATGTAAAAATGGCAATTTCCTCCTAATCCAGATTGTGAAGTGCAAGCACATTGCTTCTTTATATTAAAAACTTTAGATTAAAAATGTGGCTCTGGAAGCTGAACTATTCAGAAAAGAAAGGTTCAATTCCAACTTCTACTCAGCTAAACCCAGAAAGAAATGACACAGGAATGTAAATGCGATTTTATTTACCACTTTGATGCTCCAAACGGCACTGCCAGGAAGCTGCCTGGGCTTAAAAATGTCCCGGCCTTCTGAAATGCCTGGGGCCCAGGAAGGCGGGCTCACTGTGTTGTGGGCGCTCCAAGCCCCCTAGGGTACGGCAGGTGAGAAAACAGGTGTGTAAAACGCAGCAACACAAAAGGTCAAAGCCAGCAACTAAGGAAGTTTAGAACAGCAAAAACAAATGCAGACGTGTGGAAATTTAGGACAAATTGCTTCAAGTTAGAAAAATAAAGTTAGCATTTACAGTGACGTTATACTTAAATGTTTGCAGCTACAATTTACATTAAATGCTTTATTCTGGTTGATACATCAAAACTTTAAAAATTAATGCTTATTATGACATCAACAATGAATTATGAACTACAATTATAACACCAAATATAAATAAAAGTCAATCAAACTCTAAAACTAACATTATGAGAAGCAACTGGGGCATTACTTTCTTCCAACAACGATCACTCCACTGGAACGGAGAATGGATAACCTTAAAGGATGTCATGTATACCGACTGCTACGAACAACCAATCAGCGGGCCAACAGCGATCAGAAACATGGACAGACGCATTCACTTTAAATTGGGGAAATTAGTTACTGTGTAACCTTCAGATGCAAATACCGTTGCCATCCGAGCATTTAATTACTCTTCTGTCCGCGACCATTAGTGGTGGGTTTTGGTTTTCAGTCAGGGGACTACTATTCGTAGATCACATACAAGGGATTTATTTGAAAAGTGAAAAATGTCAAAGCAATTGTCCTAAATTTGCAAATTACAATGCCTAAAGTACCCGATTATTTAAACAAGAAATAGTATCTTATTAAAATAGTTAAAATAAAACTAAGACATTTTACTTCCAAATAACCATATCACACAATACCCTGAACTAATCGGATGAAGACGCTAAGCGGCATGAAGAAAAATGTTCACTCCACAAAGATAACACTTTAAAGGAAAACAGAAAACAAATGCCAAACAAGAACGAACCTATTTGGAATTATGTAATTCAAGAATGCACACTATAAATTTTACTAATTAAATGACCAAAACATAATACAAGAAACACAGTACTTACCAGGTGTCTAGAGTATCATCAAACTAACACATAGTAGCCTATTAATCGTATAAAAATACCACTGGGACTTTAAATAATCAACCAAGCAGCAGCTCTTTACTACCCTTTTGGAGCAGAGTTCATGGAAACACCAGTAATTCAGGAAAAGTCACACAGGGGAGAGGCTGGCCGCACCTCCAGACACCCCCCTACACACCCCGTGCCCAGCCTAGGGGCTGAGAGGGCGCTCTGCTCCTGCAAGGGTCGAGCTGCACGCGCCTGTCCCCACACTGTGCCCAGGGTCTTTGGTGACCTCTCTGCCACTCCTAGTCCCCGCTCTGTTCTTGTTCTACTCAAGCTCTCCCCAGCCACAGACAGCTCGGTCCCCCGCGAGGCCTGGGCCCCTCCCTCCCACAGACAGCCTCCCCCACACGGACTGTGCGCAGCGAGGGCTGTGAACACCCCCTTGGATCTTCCTCTCCCACGGTCATGCCGAGAGCACCAAATCGGTACGGTTTTCGAGGTCCTCTGGAGCGTTTCCATTTTCTCCCCCTACACCGCTCGGGCACACCGTGTCTAAAATCTCTCCCTCGCCCTCGCCCTCGCCCTCGGTCCCACCATCTGACTCACCTGTCGGAGTGGACGGGGAGCCATGGGGCGCACTCCCTTCCCCCCTCCCTCTCCTGCCTCTTGGATCCTCAGCCCCGCCCCTCCTTCAAGCCACACCACTGGTCAGTTTGGTTCATGTCACCCTCCAGTCTCGTCCCTGGTCGCTCTGCTTCCCCCTTCCGGCCCCACGCCTCGCCTGCCCCCACCAGGCCTCGCTCTCCCAGCCTCCTCCTCGCTGCGCGGCCCAGGCCTTCCTCCTCACAGTGGCCAGGCTTTCCGAAACTGCAAATCCGGTCCGGCAAGCCCCTGCTGCCTTAGACCCCTCCGCAGTCCTCGGGGCGCTTCAAGCCCAGCCTCGCCGCTCACCCCGCGCACCCCCGCCCCCCAGCTGCAGCCAGCCCTGCACCCCTGCTGCCCTGGCTCCCACACAGCCTTCCATGAGCCAGCTCCTCCCGGCCCCTGGCCCAGGTCCCATGGACAGACCACCTCCAGCTCCCCCCGGTGCTTCCCCCTCCCCGGGTGCGGCCTTACCATCTGCCCCCAGAGAGAGGCCGTTCCTCAGCACTCCCTTATCACACCTCTTGCAGCTTCTCATTGATTGCAATTTGGGCTCATGTGTTTCGTTGTTTATAATTACTTAATGGTAGAGTGCGGGGGCAAGAGACATCTGGGTTAGTCTTAACATTCCCACTGGTCTTCCTCTGAGGATACCTGGCTAAGCTGCACCTTAAATTCCTTTTGGTAGATCACTTAACGTTATGTCAGTAGGCAGTCCATAAAACAGATCATAAAAAGTCATGTTCAAAGATAATGCTGTGTTATTCATCATAATTTAAAAGTTAGCTTTGGTGCCAAAACTCTATCTCATTTTAAAAAGTATTCATACCTCATAAAATATGGATGGACAAAATGAAGGATTCTATAGATCAAGAATGTTTGGATGTCATTTCAGGGATAATTAGAAAACCACTCAGCTGCTATGAAGAACTTATATAATAAAAGCTTGGGCAATTACATTATGAATTTTAATAAGTATATTATCATACGACACTGGAAGATGGATTGTGTGCAATTTTATAGGAACAGAAGAAAAATTATGATGTACTTAGATATTTTGACAAAGGAGAAATTACCTAATATATTCTTTAGCCCTTAAAACTAAAATACAGCTGTAATTATTATCTTCAGTTATAAATTGTCCTTCAGATCTCAGCTTAGATCAAAGAAAACAGACTGTTCATAGGAAGTTAGCGCCCCCTGTTGACTGCAACATGGTTTACACCATTGTGGCGCCTGAACTTACACAATTTACACTTAACTACACTTGCATGTAATTGTTGCCACTAGAGTATAAGCTTGATAAGAAGAGACCATGCTCTTTCTGTTCACTGCTATGTTAATCATTCTGTTCAGCACTTATTGAACATCTACTTTTTTTCTGAGCATTTATTACTTTTTTGCATGCATAAATGTATCAATAAACCCTGTAATATATGAAACATACTAATTCACCCATCAGTTATAGTCTAGACTCTTAGATTTCCTCACCTTTAAAAAAATTAACAATCTATCCAATACACTGCTACTCTTTACCAAACACCTATAAAATGCATTAAAAGCACAAGGATTCACACTGCAGCCAGCAGGAGCCTTTAAGTTGTAAAGAAAGCTAAATAAATAGAGCCAACTTGCCATCAAACCTTATAAAAACCTAAAAAAAGCAAAACACAACACAACACAACACTACCTGGCAGAGACTGGGATGATATGATCCCAATGATAATTACAGAGCACCACACCTACTGAAAGTCGGTCGCCATCTTTCTGCGTTGAGGCCTACTTCTCAGGTAAGTTCATCAACCTTGTAGACTCTGCAGCTGCTACGAGCACAGTGGGACAGGACATGGAAGCAGCGAAGGCCAGGACTGAGGGGCAGGACGTGGGAACGGCACGGGCTGTGAGGACCGGCCGTTGTGGGCCACCTCCCAGGGGAAGTCTAACCCTGCTGCTGGCTGTGGAAGAGGGCCGATGTCACACCCAGAGGCCAAGAGCGCCCCACATGACTGAATCGGCTCTGAGCGGGGCCCGTGTGCGTCGGGGGCCTCCCGGGCGGGCCTCCCGGGCAGACCTCCCGGGCAGACCTCCCAGCGCACTGTGCGAAGCCAAGGGGCACAGGGAAGGCGGGCCTGGTGGGGAGAGCAAGCACAGGCAGGAGGACCACCGCGAGGGCAACAGAAACGAGTGCATAGGGTCTGACGTCAGGGCGCAGGCGCTCACTCACACACACCGCAGCCAACAACGCACTCCTCGAGGCGCAGAATCCTTGCCGCGTGACCAACTCTCACGCGCAAAGCTGAGTTCGACATCGGCTGGAACAAGGAGGTGAGGCCTGATGTGATGCGACAGGACCAGCGCACAGAGACCAAACGCGCATGTGGCTGGTGCCAGCACTGGTGCCGGTAACAGCCTCAGCAACCTCGCAGCGGGCCCAGAAAGCTCAGAGGGAAATCCGACGCTCCCGATCCACGTGTTTTTGTTGGTGGCGTCCCGTGGCACGAGACATTTCTTAGGTTTAAAACTACATCTTACTTTTTAATGGTTTAGAGTAGTGCTTCTTGCGAATCTTTTTAAAATATACACTTTCATTCCCGTTCAAGAGGGCCTGGGCCGAGAGGGGGCCAGAGGGTGCCGACGCCCAGCAAGGGGCAGGGGCCCGGGGTGCACTCTCCGGGCACCTCCCCACGTCCCTGGCGCCCTGGGGCTGCCGCTACTCCAGCCCCCACCACACACAGGATAATTAATAGGCCGTTCAGTCCTGAGGTCTGTGTGGCCACCGTGTGGCTTTGGACTTGAACCCACTGCATGCTGTGTTCGCTGAGAGCAGAGTCTGACTCCGTGAGGGCCTATGGCTCATTTCACTGGCTTTTCAGCGCCAACTACTAGCCAATCTGACTGGCTGTGGCACCACCACTCCAGCGACAATACCCGACTACCTCCTTCTCGAGCCTCCATTTTCATAGAATGTCATCTGCATTAATCTGTGATGCAAGAAAGAAAACAGGTAGCACTGCCACTTGCCGTGTGTTGGGTGCTTTGTGCGTGTCACCGTTCGGTTGTGATGACCGCCACGGGATGTTGTTTTACAGACGCAGCGAGAAGGCTGTTAACTAGGTGCCGTGCTGGGTGCACACCGACAATAACGGAAGGACTGGACGTGGCATCCCAGCAACTGCACCACAGAAATGTTCACGCTGACTTTTACATTGATCAGTCTTTCCTCGGACCAATTAGCCAGAGTAGAAATTGATGTGAACAACACAAAATACTTCTCAGAAGTCACTTCTACAAGGACAGCCTACCCTGGCCACTCAGCCACAGGGAGGGGCGCTGGCCCAACCTTGGCACATGCTCAGCCCTTTCTTCTCTCGAACTAGCCCTGCTCAGGCTGAACTGAAGAGTGAGGGAAGGAAAAGAAAGAAAAAAGACGACGTTGATCAAGGGTAGAAGCTAGCAAATAACAAGCCCAGAGAGAAAGCGGCCTTCAGGTGGCTGCCCTGGAAGCTCTGGCTGACTCTGCCCCTCTCCTCATCCCTCCATAGGAGCCCGGGAAGGAACCCGCCTGATTCAGAATAATTGTGTGTGACTCTATAAACACACTCATGCATCTATACCGAAATACCACTATGCACATACTCATTGTCTGTATGTGTATATATGCACATGTTTATAAATATGCCCATGTATGTGACTATAGATGGCAATGAGTATATGATATGAGTGTATATAGGTATATGGAGTGCTATATATTGATAATCTAATGTATGTTGAAAATACAGTGATTTGTTGCTACAGCTAATGGTTCTGTTATGTTTTAAAATGTGTCCCATGAGCAATTGGAGGAAGCAGAATATTTGTATTTGTCCTTAAAAATAATGAAAGCATAGCAACATCTTTGGTTTTATATCCTTAGTCAATCTTAAATTTGTTTAGTATTTTGTTTAATTCCACCAATATTCCGGAACTGAGGTCCTCACATTTTTAGGAGCGTCCCGCTTTGTGCTGCTGCTACAGCAGCCGCTGGCTGCGTGAGGCAACCGAGCCTCACAAGTTCCACAAGTAAATGGGAAATGTCGCACTCAAAATTCTTACGTAGTTTAAATGCTAAAAGATGCTGGGTTACCCAAAACATTAAAATTTGCCTCTCTGCTTCTGTTTCGCAGTGGGGCTGCTGGAGAACTTGAAATCTGAGTGCAGCCTTGGGCGGCCCCGCCTAACCCACCACTGGCAGCCGTACCCCTCACTGGCAGCCCCCACTCGGGAAGGCAGGAGGCAATTAACAGCCGTCACTCAACCTAAAGCTTCCCGATTTCCTTTGTTTCTAATTAAAGTAGCCATTTCATTTATAAGTAAATTCTTGGAAAAGCTCATGTAATATTAAAATGTGGTGAAGATAAAGGGTTGACCATTACAAAACAGAATTTTAATTGCTGAAACACACAGTTCTTTGGTTAAAATGGTAATCGCTATACTGGTAAAGACCATAGAGCGGATGACAGTCTATGGAAATGCCAGTGATACTAAGAATTCAAAATGAAGGATCTTGCTTATATCACAATAACTGCTATGAAAATCCATCTCATTTCATAGCCAGTCCACACTGCCAGAAATATGTAAAATACTAAAGAAAACAAAAAATATAAAACGGTAATGCCTAATGTTAAATGAACTCATGTAATAGAAAAATGGACTTCAGGGTTCCCAATATAAGGACGTACACATTCCTGTGTAGGTCTGCTATGATCCCAGTACCTCAGCAGTGATTAAAAAAAAATGCAAGTGCTGCCTTGTTCTATGCAATGCACCCTCTGCAAAACACGGCCTGGCGCGTCCACAAGCCAGGACTCACCGGGTGAGGCTGCCGGCTGCACAACTACAACCAAGAAACCGGGGCAGTAAAACACAGCCCACAGAGCGCGTATGACAGCGCGCAGTGAAGGAGCAGCAAGACAGGGACAGCTGCACAGCGAGTAGGACCCCACCAGGACTGGTGGGCGACAGAGGACTCGGCAGCAGTAAAAGCAAATATAAGGACATGGTGCATGTAAAATGAGATAAATCTGGACAAAAAGGAAACAGACATCTCACACACACACACACACTCACACACACACACACACACAATTGTGGAACATAAGTCAACAGAAAACTAATTGTAATAGTTTCTCAGTGGGAACAGAAATCTCTAAATAAGGAGAAATACTGTAAAATTTAACAGGAATATTTATGATGCAATTACTCTTAAATAATGCAAAGTATCTGAACCAAAATTAGAGAATCAAATTTCAATTGCTAACATCTTTTCAGAGCCAAAACTACATAATTATTATATAACTATTCAAAAAAGGAAAAAAAAAAAAAGACTAAGGAGCAGGCAAACTAGTTTGAGAATAAAACCTCCCTTGGTGTAACTGTGTAACTTGCTGTTTTTAGAGAATGAAAATACATCTGGACTTCACTTGGAGAAGACTAATTCTCACATTGAAATAAAATATAATTATATTTTTATACTGAGCTTACAATTCCACAATTGGACTGTCAAGACAGTATTCCTATAAAAAGCCAAACTTTTAATCAATTTAAATCACGAGGCATAAAACTCCATGTTATTATTATGACTACAAGTCTCTGCGCTGTTTCCTATCGGCCATCATATAGAAATGTCCAGAAGCAGGGCTGCTGCAGAGCACACAAAGGTGCGTGTCTTCACTCTGCACACAGTTTCATTTAAATCTCAGCTGAAAACAACTGCCACTTACCCTCCAGGGATGAAACTCACTCATTCGCAACCACCCAGGAGGAGCTTCCTTCACTTTGAAAGATCAACAAAATCCTAAGATTTTTCTTGAAACCACTGATGTACATCCTGCCTTGAAATGTAATGCTATACCCAAGACTGTTTTTCAGGCTTATTGTTATTGTGTGGCATAGAACTAAAAAAACAAAACAACACTGTTTTCTATTAGAAACTATCATCAAATAGGTTGCAACTGCATGTCACAACAGGGCTGAAATTCCAAATAAGTTTAAACAGCATTAAAAAAAAAAGCCAAATAACCTAAGTCAGCATTACATGTACATTCTACCTGAAGAGAGAAAACAGTGCCCCCAAACCAAAACCACACACACACCTTGCTTTATGGAGGTGCGCCAACATCGTTCGTCACCATCATTAAAATTGCCCTACCTGTTTGGATCGAGGTCTACCCGGAGAAAATTTCCTTTTGGTAATAGCTGGTTTACCCATGCCAATTTTTGGAGTGACTGAGAAGTACGTGGTGGGCATGATGTTTCCAACAGAAGCACTGAGCGCCGAGGGGTAACCGTGCAGCATGTCATGGGAAGGCAATTCTGTGGGGCGGGCTGGGGGGGAAGACGCGGGGGCCTTGCTCCTGTCCGCTGCCGATGGAACTGATGACCCCGTCCCCGATGCCAATTTTACAGATTTGTCTTGGCATAAACCATCCTTCACACAGCTCTCGGCTGCAGGAGTCGTTTCGAAGTCCATGAAGGCAGTGGAAGATTCGGGATTTTCTTTCTTTTCTGTTTCTTCTTGTACCCTTTCTACAGCCAACTGTTTCTTAGAACATAGAGAGCTTTCCTCGCACGGGGACATGAGGGTGTCTGGAGAGACGGCGGCAGGCTCAGCGGCTACTTTTGGAGGCCTCAGCTCTTCCGTGGATGCCGCTGTTTTAGGGCCCTCTAGAGGCTGGAGCTCCTCTCGGACCGTGGCCGGGTGCGCGAGGACTTCCATGTTTTCTGTCACTTCCATTTTGTTTTCATTTTGATCTTCATCACAAATAAGTGTCATTTTAGAAGACATTTCTATTTGGTAATTATCAACTGCATGAGATATCTGATTTTCCAATTCAGGATGCATTTTATCTTGAGATGATTCTATAAAATTTGGAATATTATGTTAATAGACATACAAATTTTTAAATTTCTAATTATGAGTAGGTATAAGACATTAACATTAAAATGTCTATAGCTCTGAGGCTTAAAAATAATAGGCTTAGACAGAATCAGTCACAGATCAGACAACAAAACCTAAAAAAAAAAATCATCTAAATAGGATCCCCAGAGTGTACAGTATTTCTGTTAAGAATATTAAAATAGAAATTTCTAATATAATTCTATTGCATATATATGATGTGTTATAATTGGAGCACTTACAAAAGTATTAAAAGTTCTGTAGGTGAAGACTCACTAAACAGCTGGGAAAACGAGGTTCAGGGATGTTACGTGAGGCGTCCAAGCCTCAAAGTGCGAGCTCGTCTAGAACACAAAGCTGCTGCGCAGCAGCAACCCCGGATCAAACAGAGCACTGCAGCTCACGTGCATAGGTACCTTGGAGCGAAAAGACTCCTTTGGCTGAGCTGGACCAGCCAACATGCCCTGTGTAATTTTTGGACCCTATTCTTCCCCATCATCTGTTAACTGAAGAAACTAATCCTGGCAAGTCAGTAATCACAATTAGGTGTCGGAAACATTTCTAGTCATCAACTCTGAAATTTTAAAACAGGGCACTAGAGCATCAGACGGTTAACCCAGGCTTACTTAGCAGCAACTTTAGAGGTCCAAGCGATAAGCCCTAAGTGCCCTATCGCGTAAGACTGCGGAGGATAAAAAGCATGCATTTCAATTACCATTATGGCAATTTCTAAGTTGCATTAACAGAGATACTAATTTCCTCATTTACGATTTACCATGGTGACTGAAGGTTATCTATGGTCTCATATGAAAATTAAATCTCACTTCTCATTCCCACTTTATTGAAAGACTATAGCTGAGGATAAAGAAAAAACATCAAATAACAGATCGCTGGTACCCAATATTTTTAAACACAAAAATCCTTCACAATTACCTAACATAAAATTTAACACACATGAAGAGTAAACACTTATGGGCTTAAAACCAGAAGTACCACTGTTTGAGTGGCTCAAATAAAAAAAACAAAACGAACCCTAATATAACAGGAAGCCTCCATCACCTGCAACTAGAAGACCAAGGACCTCAAGTCACACTGGCAGAGGGCAGCCTGCCTCACACCCAGACCAAGGACACCCCTGCTGTGCCACGCTTGCTAGGCAGGGACGCTAGGATAAAAGGGCAGACACAGCGTTCTCCAAAGTATAACACTAGCAATCCGCTGCTACTGTTATACAATGATTTTACTCTGCCTAAGTAAGAACATTCGATTTAGCAACTCTTTATATAAAGGGACTATATCCTCCTTCAGAATTCCACGGCCAATCCTGTGCAAGAAAAGGGCGACTTAACGAAAAGATTTCCTTACTATAATGTGTAAGTAAGCAATAGTTAAACGGGGCTTTGCAGTAATTAATTTGAAGAGTCAACAGGCTACACACAAACCCACGGAGAAACTGCGGGCACGGCTGTGACTCGGCCAGGTGAGACAACGGCGGCACTGCCGAGCGGGGCGAGGAGCCTGCAGAGGCTGCACGGAGTCCCCTCCCACCGGGCTGGGAATGGGGCCGGCAACACAGGGGTGCGGAGCCCCGGCAACCAGCGCCCTGACCCTGCTCTCGCAACAGTCTCTTAAGCTCGACTTTCATCCTACTGCCAAATGCCAATTTCCCCTAGAAGCACAAAACACAATGCTACTATTTATCCGTAAATCGGATGTGAAGGTGGGCATGAAAAAGAATTAGGATGCTGATTACGCACTATGTTAAGACTTACTACAGATAGCTTTGTCTTATTTTTATTCACTTTACATACTGTCTAATGAGTTTAGAAAATATGAAAAATCTCAAAAACTCGGAGACTTTTTTATATATTCAATCGGTAAAACACACAATTTCACATAAACTACAACAGACTGTCAGAGGAACCCAAGATTAATTTTGGTAAGGAGTTTTTTCCCAATCTGGTCTCATTAATTTCAGATCCTCATGTACAGTAATAGCTTATTATCAATATTGCAAAAAGCTTAATTGAAATAACTGAAATAACCCTTAATAGGACCATTAAGACAATCAAAAATAAACCTTTCATTATCTCAGCATGAAACACCTCACAATCAGCAATGGCTCGAGTTAGTAACGACAAGTGTAACCCAAGAAGGAGAAAGTAACAAATTACTTTTTAATGAAAATCACTTGATCTGTACACAAAGTGTTTATTTGTGATTAGGCCTAGATTACAGCTGAACTACAAATATACACGTGCCCTTTCTCCTATTAATTTCTGTCTCAGGTTATTTTACTAACAGCTCCTCTCTATACATTTCCGAAGTACTAACCTATATCTTAGCTGATTTTTATTTACGATACAAACATTTTGACAGACATTCACATATTCACTGTATATGCACACTTTCCCTCCAGGACACGGACTGTATCGATGACAGAAAAGGCCCTCACCGTCTGGAGCAATTCCAGGGGCGGGCTCCCGGCCACAGGCGTCTCTGCTGCTGGCTCGCTCCGGAAACGGCAGTGGGTCTTCGGGGCCTTCCACGTCCATCTCGCTGGTGTAATCTTAACAGAAATGTGTGTATTCTTTAGCTCAGAGTGAGTTTTCATGGTCTGGTTAACTAGGTCAACAATATCACCCTGCTTTACTGAGGGTAAATTACCACCAACAATGCCATAAATTCTTCATCACATTTTCTTATTTTGAACCCAATATGTATTTAATTTTAAAAAACATGGAAAGTGTAATGAATTAAAAGGTAACTGGCATTTTAAGATTTAAGGAGGATTATTCCACATCTGTACATTTTAAGATTTAAGGAGGATAGCGCCTAGAATTAAAACATGAATAATTAAGCTGCACCTACTTAAAACCCTTGTAGATAACAACATAGGGACTTTTAAAGAAGCTGCTACTCATACAGGTAACAATGAAAAACAATCTGGAAAGAAGGTCAGTTTCTTTACCATCTAAGAATCTTGCTATCATGTTTATAACCAACAGCACACGACTAAAAATACCTGAGCAAATTTTGGGGTCCAGAGGTGAAGATTAACATTTAAGAATGACACTCTAAATCTGAAGCTTGTTTAGAGTGAAATAACCCAGATTTGGAAGTGCAAACTGGGTCGTATTGCCAAATGAGGAGGAAGGCGCACGGCTGGCTCCGAGCGCACTGGTCCTCAGGTTCACACAGCGCAACGGCCGGTAGGAAACCAGAGACGTCAGCCGGCAGAGTCGCCGGTGACCAGGGTTGCGCGTGACCAGGGTTGCGTGCGTCTTAGAAGGCTGAGAACTCAGAACAGGCGTTGCCACGGAAGCAGCATACTAGCAACTGGCGGGCGCAAAAGTACCTGCGGGGACGTCGGCCATCTCCTCACCCTCGCCTGGCTGCAGCCCCATCTCTGCGGCCAAGTGTTTGCAACACGTGCAGACATACTCTTCTCTGAACTGGGAGTCCAGGTCGTGATCCGCGGGTTTGTCACATTCCAGGTGAACCCACCTGCAGTGATAAACATTTTTAAATAAACTTGCCCAGTGTAAAGTCAAGCTCGTAACACAGGGCAGAGAGAAGACGCCGAAACCCTGGATGGAGGAGGGGATGAGGAGGACAGACAGGAGGGGCCTCCAGGGTGCGGTCCTCGGGAAGGACCGGCATCTCTGGACGTCATTAAAGCTGCTGGCACGCTTCTACTTCAGGACTGGCCAACTACTTCCTCTTTAGTTTCCCCCCTTAAAGCTCACTTCCAGCCTTATCTTTTGCCCATTCACTTCCAAGGTAACTTAATTCCCCCCAGAGCAGCACTCAGCACTGAAGGACACGGGGCAATGGAGCTCGGAGCGCAGAGGGACGCGGCAGAGAGCAAGCACAGAGACGAGGAGCGGGCGGGGCACCGCAGCGGGGCGGCGGCCCCCTTACCTTTTGCACATATTACAATGCAGCATGTCTGTCTGCAATTCTGGGCTGTAGCACTTCCCACAGAAAGGGCATAAGTTATCCTGCTGCTGGTAACAACTGTCACATACCAGGCAATTGTGGTGCCACTGAGAACTAGACCGTGTGCCGCACTCGACACATATTCTGCAATTCTAAACACCAGGAAAAATGAAAAGAAAAAACCAGTTTGTTATGCATTTGTGTTGCAGTTCTCATGTAAACCTTTTTGAAATCAATGAAACCTTTGTAGATTATACAACATTAAGCTTTAATTTTCAGGACAGTAATTTAGGGTATGTTTTTGAAAAAGCAATTTGTTTTGAACATTTGATAAGACATCACTCAATCTGCAAGAAAACCTCCAGGAAAATGTAATTTGGGGTTAGAGACGTCCAAGAAAATATAAACAGGGAGGGGAAAACACGAAGAACATAGCAACTACTCAAACTGCATAAAGGAAACATTTCAGAAATAGGAAGCAGCTTGTGTGGAACGGGCTCCTCATGCCCCTGCAGGCGGCAAAATGGCGCTGTGGGGGCCCGCTGCGGGGGCCGCCCCGTGAGCCACACGGCACGACATGCCACGCGGGCAGCGTCGCAAGCAACACCCGGACGGCTGCACCGAGGAGACACGACCACTCCAAAGGACTGTGTGCCGGAAGTTGTGAAAATGACCCCTGCAGATCAAACCCAAGTCTGGCTTCTCATGTTTTCAGAACAGAGTGGCACTTATTCTTTTTGAAAGAGAGCGTTCCGCGCGAAGTGCGAGGCCTGCCGAGACAGCCAAGCCCTCTCCCTGCAGTTGGCCCGCCTGCAAGTCCCGGCCCCAACCTTCCCATCTAAAACGCCAACCGATGGGCCTGTGTCTTTGTGAGCCACTGGGCTGGTGTGAAAAAGACTTGCAAGACGAAAAAGAGAAATTAGCATGAGCCACAAACCTGCTCAAGTCTTACATATACAATATGAATGCACTAACAGTAATGCAAAAATCCTGAATAATTATTACATAAAGGCTCCAATAGCAAATTAGGAAAATAATAAGCCACATCCAACTGGAGTTTACACAAGAAATGCAAGGATGGTTAAATATTAGAAAAATCTATTATAAAATTTAACATATTCTTAGGTCTGAGGAGAGTAAATAATTAAAATAGATGCTGAAAAAAGTTTTGACTTATTTAAAACAAACTCTTATTTAAAACCAAACTTATTTAAAACATTCTTATTTAAAAACAAACTCTTGAGAAAATAAAGATGGATGGGCATTTCCTGAAGGTGATATACATGCACGTCTCAACTCTAAAGCCAGCACTTCCTGCCATGGGGACCCTGAGGCTGCCAGGGAGGCCAGGAACAAAGCAAAGATGTCCGCTCTGCCCACCACTGGCCACAGTTCTAACGTCAGTGTAGACACTGGAACAAGGACAGAGGCAGAAGAGTAAGAGGAGAAACAAAACTGTAGATGTCAAGACAGCACACTTGGAAAATCCTAGAGAACTGGTCATAAATTCAATAAAAGAATTTAACAGAGTGGCAAGATAGAAAACAAGCAATGAAAAGTCAATAGAATTCGCATACACAAATAATGACCAGTTAAAAGGTATAATAAATTAGAAAATTCCACTTACAACAGCAACAAAATACACAAAATATTTAAGAATGAACTTTAAAAAAACAAACTAAAATCTATACAAAGAAAATTAACAATGCACTCTTAGAAGGCACTGAGGTAGAACTGAACAAATGCAAAGACATATCTTGTTCTTGGTTAGGATGTCTTAGCATCATCAAGATGGCAACCAACAAACTTAAAGTGACCCCAATAAAAACTCCAATGACATTTTCATGGAGTCAGAGAAACACCAGGAAAAATCGTCAACAAGAGAGCTCTGCGGGGGGGCCCCACTGCGCCGCCCACCAGCCACCCACCACAAAGCCTCCACCACCGCAACAGCAAGGTCTTGGTTCCTCGAAGGCAGACAGAGGAACGGAATAGACAAGAAGTTCCAGAAATAACCCCAACCAAAGTTCAAACTCCAGTCTGGAATCTCACATCCACGGGGCAAAGACAGTCTTTTGAGCAGCTGGTTTTGGACAGCTGGAGAGCTAACTGGAAAAAGATACTTCACACTATGCAGAAGCAGCAACTCCAAAAGGACTAGAGCTAAAAATTAAACAAAAATGATGCAAAAACTGAAAGCAAATATAACTCTTCTATAACCTCAGTATAGGGGGGAGGATAATTTTAACTCAAAAATCCAGAAGTAATAGACGACAGATAAATCTAGCTACATAAAAATAAACTTGTGTGTGGCAAAAAATAACGTAAGCAAAGTCAAAAGGGGAATATCTAACTGGAGGAAAATATATGCACCATATAACACAGATAAAGGCCTAATATCCCAATATACAGGGTGTGGCAGAAATAACACCTGCTTGAATGTGGTTGGTAGGGTAATAATATGGGTGTAACATAATTTATAGTTTTAATTTCACCTAAAATGTCATATAGTGTGCTTGAATGTGATAGTTATGTTACAGAATGATATGCTTGTGATTTTGTAATAAGATTTTGTAATAAAAAAGGATGTTATTTGTGCCAGACTCTGTATATAAAAAATCCTTAAATTGGAAGGTAAAAAAATCAAAATCTTCAGGAACAAACACACATGAGAAGACAACTCATAAAAGGTCAAACTTATCCTTACGCATATATAAAAAAAATCAACTCCACTCAAAAAGGAAATGAAAATTAAACTACACTGAGGTATCAGTTTTCATCAAAAATAGGCAAAAATTCAAAGGTGGAACACGACATTCTGTTGGCAAGGATAAAGGAAAAGAGGCTCTGTCACCCTTCACTTGCCTGGTGGCCCTGTGAACTGCCACCGAGCCACTGGAGGGGGAAGTGACACTATCTAACCAGCCCCAGAGCACTTCCCCAGCCTGTAATCCCACCGGGAGGAATCTGTCTCAAGCTCCTCTCCACAATTCAAACTCCCCCTGCAGTAGGTCGCCAACTCCAGCATCATTTGTTATGTAAACTACCCTCCACTACCTTGACCCCAGGCCGCTGGGTGAATCAACTACCGTGCGGGGTTAGGAGAGGGGAAGGGGAGCAGGAGGGGGATCCCTATGAACTGCTATGAAGTGGCCTGCAGACTTAAGTGAAAAAAGCAACATGCAAAAAAACGTATGTAAGATGCTACCTTCGGTGTAAAGAGAAAATAACATATCTGCTTATCGTTACAAAAAAATACAAGGACAAACCAGAAAGCAAGTTTACCTAGAGTGTAAACGCGGTGGAATTCAAGTTGGAGAAAATAACTCTGAGTATAACTTTTTATATAACTATGAGTTTTGAAAGCATGTTAGTATCGTGGATATTTGTAAAAAACGGAATCGCTAAAAAAAGGGGAGTAATATCTATCACTGGGAGGAAACTGAAGGCTGGTTTATTGCGCTGAGCAATGGAGTCAACGCATGGAGCACTGCTGGGGCCCAGGATTCACAGGCCAACGCGTGGGAAGAGCCTTAGTGGGCGGGGCCGGCCTAAAGCCATCACTCCCCGGAACGGGAACGTGCGAGTGCCTGATTACTGTGTCCTGCACATGCGTGCCCGTGTTTCCTGCCCCATCTGCTGAAAGGGCCAAGCAGCAAACAGCCCCCGGCAAAGAGCAAACCTAGTGCCCAAACCTAGTGCCCCTTCTCCGGGAAGAGCCCCTGGCCTAGAGAAGAAGACTGACTCCACTGCCAGGGAGGAGGGGCAGGGGAGGAGGGGCGGGGGAGGAGGGCCCGGGGAGCAGACAGGGACGCCTTGGACACCTCCTTAGCCCACATGTGAGGAAGCGCCCAACACGGGGCGAGGGCCTGTCACAAAGACAGGAGCCAGCTTGAAGAGGCTGCCCCAGGGAAATACAGGACAGTCTGAGCCCAGAACAAATTAGCTGCAGTAGTGAATTATTTTACAACCAACAGGTAGTAAAACCTGCATCAGGCAAGGGCCCTAACATCCTGGGAGAAGTTCGGAGGAGCAGCTGCTCTCCAGGGAGCATAGGAGAGAGGCAGCCCGTGGAGAACCTGCCTGCGGGCAGCGGACCAAGCCACCAACCGCCACCTCCTGGGAGGGCGGCCAGCAGCAGGCACACCTGGCCGAGCCACCCTAGAAGGGCGCTTGTCACGGGGGCAGGATTTCAGTCAGAAATGCGTAACTCTACACAATCATGAGAAATTATCAAAAAAAGACAAAATGACCAAAGTTCTATTTGGGGGAACAAGAACAGGTATGTGGGGGAAAACTGTTCAAAATGTATCAAAAAAGACATGAGCTTAGGGAATTTTCCAGATTAAAGAAGTCAAAAGAGACATAACAACAAAAGGAACACCTAACTTTAGTAGACAACATTTTGGACCCTACACGGGAAGGGAGAAAATGCTATATGGGACCTTAGTTCAAATGACAAAACTGAATATGGATGGAAGATTGGATGGAAACACTATTGGGTAGGCCAAAAAGTTTGTTCTCTACTAGCACTTAGTTGTCTTTAACTTCATTCGAAACAATTTTGTTAGATTGTATTGTGACAGTGTCACATCAGCATGCATTAAAAAATCAAATATGATATAAATTTTTATGCCATTTTAATATTGAAGATGAAAGAAGATACCCAACATTTTCAGTGTATTATACTTTATTATTTCAAGACAGGTAAAAATGAAACTGAAATACACACAAAGATGTGTGCAGTGTATGGAGAAGATGCTGTGACTGATCAAACATGTGAAAAGTGGTTTGCATCCTGACTGGTGTGGCTCAGTGGATTGAGTGGCAGCCTGAAAGCAAAGGGTCACCGGTTTGATTCCCAGTCAGGGCACCTGCCTGGGTTATGGGCGAGGCCCCCAGTTGGGGACGTCCAAGAGGCAACCACACATTGATGTTTCTCTCCCTCTCTTTCTCCCTCCTTTACCCTCTCTAAAAAATAAATAAATAAAAAGACTTTTTAAAAAGTGGTTTGCGAAGTTTCTTGTACTAACTGACATTTTGGCCAAATAACTTTGCTGCGGGGCTGGCTCTGCACAGGAAGCTGTTGAGCAGCACCCCGGCCTCTCTCCACTTAGAAGCCAACAGCGGGAGAGAGCGACACACTCAAAAC